GACAAGTAGTGTAGCAGCCTCCGGGAAGAACATGTAGATGCCTATATTTTTATGACTCTGATCAAGCCTTTAACTCTTTCTAGTTCTTTATCAAGCAAAAAGTCTCCTTTTCAATCACAAGGCTGTGATATCTACCAACCAAGAAAGGACTGAAAACCAAATCAAAGCATTGCATCTTCTCCTTTCTCATCAAAGAACTTCTCCCACCAAAAGGAGAGAGCACTATATATCTTCCTTGCATTTTTAATTTTATATAACAGCTTTATGTGAGCATTCTACTCGTTCATTTTCTTTATCAAAGCACTGGTGTCCAGGTGATATCAGCATTCCTCTAGAATACTTCCTATATATATATCAAATATTTTATCGATAATTAAACTAAAGGCGTAAACAATATAATAATTAATATAATATTAAAAATAATCTAAGAATAGTAAAAATAGTATAATAATTAAAATAAATATTGATAATCTTTTGAATTATATTTTATCATAATATTTCAAAATGAATTAGAAGATCATTTTCTTCAATTTATAAGAAATGAAATTAATTATATTAAAATAAAAAAGGTAAAAATAAAAATATTACCAGTTATAAACTATAAGTTCAAATACTACTGATGGAATAAGTTTGTTTATCAAATATCTTTATTTTAATTAAATAAGCTTATAAAATAATTCAATAAGCTACAAGCTAACTGAAAAATTTTAAAATAACCTAAACAAAAACTTTTACAAACACCCACGATTAGTACTGAATATTTTATTATATTAAATAAATTAAAAATAAATTGTTATTCTTTTGAAATTTAAATTAATATTAAATTAAAAAAAATTAATGCAAACAATTTTTTGGGCATAATAAAAAACTATTTTCTAAAATTATATTTAAAAATTACATTTACAAATTATATATACTTGTCGGCAAATCTTTAATTTTTTCTACACTATTGAAGACCCGTCTTTTCTGCGAGGAAAAAGAAGGTACACCTGTTCCAACGTGAGGAATAAAGGGGGAAAATGAGAGAAAGAAATTTGAAAGGAAAAAATGAGGAGAAAAAAATAAGACAGAATTTAAAGAAGTGTTTTTAATAAATAAAAATATTAAATATATAATAATATTTAATGGAAAGATTGTATATATATCCATATAAAAATAGATTAGATAACTTTTAATTAAGTTATGAAAGAGTTGAATTTTCCAATATATGTTTAATATATCATAATAGATTAATATTTTTTTTATCCATTTAATATAATCCAATTTCAAATTTATCTAAATCATTAATTTGTCACCTTAAGATAAAGTGTCTAATATAATTGCTTTAGGTAGTTAATATTTAACTTAATTCCTTGATCCTTGATACTCAATTAATTTTTCCATAATAAATTTTGGGTTTTGATATATATAATTTTTTGTTTTAACTTTTTTGCAAATTTTTAATTTATTGTTTTTTTTTATTTCTACATCTTTTTGTGAGTTATTAGTTTTAGCCCATTTTACTGATATAAATTATTTTTAAAATTGAACTAGTTACGAACCCAATGAAAATATTGGTTCACATAATTCATTAATGTAACTGTAGTTGAACCAAATTCTAACTAATAATAATTAAATATATTTATAATATTGTATAATATATTTAATAATAAAAAATAAATTATAAAAACTAAATTAAGTAAAATTTTAAATATGAGCTTTTGTTTATCTTAAAAAAATCTTTAAATAAAATATTCAAGAATTACAAAATTATTTTTTTGAAAACTGCTGGTTCAAATTGACCCATGCTAGTACTTGACTGGTTTACCAATTTTGGCCGGGTTCATGACCAGTTTTATCATTTTCAAGTTGAACTAGCTGCTCTAGTTTGATTTTTAAATCAATGGTAATACTTGACCTACAAAATAAGATATGTTACAACTTATTAATTGATCAGTAATTGCATTATTGTTCAAGAGTTATTAAAAACCATAAATATTGAATTTTAATATAAATAATAAATAGAAGATAAAAAATTTACAAAAATATAAGAAAATATTTAAACCACTATTTTTTTAAAACTCATTTCGCTAAATCAAGCTTTTAATGGAGATTCTACACTTTTAAATACAATGGTAACTTTGAAGTTTAAACTCGACCACGGTAAAACCCATTAGAAAAGAAAAAGTGGATAACTTGATTCGTGTACACAGAGAAACTTAATTTAATGCATGGAAGTGGTAATTTATAGTTGATCAACTTTTTATACGTTCAAAGGTTGAATTCATTAGATCAATAAAAAAGTTTCAAGGATTGTTTTTTTTTTTCGTTAAGAAATAAAAAGGAGATAGGTTATTTTTCTCAATAATTTATAAAAAAATTCAAATGAAAAATAATGTATCTAAAATGTTAAAATGTAAAATATTTTAATATTTTTTTATGTATTTTAATATTAAATGCTTAAATAAAGGGATACATAAAATACTAGTGGAAGAGCTTGCGAAGATTTCATCGTAGAGTGAAAGGCGGATTTGTTGTTAGATTTATGTGCAAAGTTAGATCATATTCTTCTGTTGAGGTTGAATTTTGGAGACCTTTATAAATATGATATTTATTTTTCTCATCTAATTAATATGATTAAATTATTATAATAAAAAATAGGCTATATTATGTGAAGTTAATAACTTCATTGATTTGTTAGCTCTCTTGTAATATTTTAAACAAGGCCCTTTCCTCTTTATGAGTTTTGGCCACTATTAATTAGATTTTGCTTTTCTTGTGCTTAAAGCTGCGTATACTCTCAAAAAAAAAATAGATATACATAAAATAATATTATTAAATAGATATACATAAATTTTATTATTATTAATTAGTTATCTTAGCATTTAGAGTTAAAATTAACAATTTTTTTTTATTAAATATAATAATTGATTGTTACTGCTAAGTGGGGACTAATAATAAATGACTTAAAGATAATGCGTGTAATTCTCCAAAAACGTTAAAGCGCTTACTTGTATCTGAGATATTAATTGAAAGTTACCTAACAATGAAGTCAATCGAAGACCAGGACAACATTGAAATAGCAGTAAATTTTGAGGAAGAAAAAACGACCATAACAAGTATATAAGATTAAATATTTTTTAATTTCTATATAATTATTAATTTTAATTTTTGTTATAACTAAGTTTAGTTTTTGTATTTTAGAATACTTTAAAATGAATAAATTTCAATTAAAACTTAAATTAAAAATTGATAATTTTATAAAAACTAAAAATATATTTAACTTAACTATTAACTAAGAATACTAATAAATCCTAAACATAACGAATTTGTGAATCCAAAGGCAGATAAAGCCGCACCTAAATATTGGCCTTACCCTGACCTCACCACACGTCACGTTGAACGTCGAAACTTGCCTCAACCAAAGGGATATTTTTTCAGTCTTTATATTTAAAACATTGAATGAATTAAAAATAACAATTATTAAATAAATAAAATTAGCTATAAAATAGTAATTGTTATGCTTAATTACATTTTTGTCTTTCTAATTTGAATTTGTACAATTTTAATTCTCTATTTTTTATTTGTAAACTGTACAATTTTAGTCTCTAATCAGTTTTAGTGTACTTAAATCCTCAGTTTTATATTTTTTATTTATTTTACATAATTTATAATTGAATTAGAACATAAAATCATTTTAAAATTTTAAATGTAATAAATAATGAACAATTGATGAAATTTAAAATACTCTATAAATGAGAACTTAGGGTTTAAAGAAAGATAATATTTTAAGTTTATTTAAATCTTGGATAAAAATTAATATTATGTATTAAGTTTTGTTTTGTAACTCCTAGATGTATCTTTAAAGAATATTATGTATTAAGTTTATTATATTGTTATATGTTACCTCATATCATTATAATTTTGAATCCATTAAATCCAAATGAAGATACATTTAAGTTCAAAAGTGTTTTCTTTAAGCCTTTAGTATGTTTATTTTTTATATAAAATTTAGCATGTTTTATTACTTCTGTTTTCATTTACTAACTCAGATTAAATCAAATATTTATAATAATAAGCTAACATAATATATATTTAGGGAAAAGAGAGTAAGGCAATATATTGGAAGAGGAATACAGAATGTTGAAGTGCAATAACGAACAAACCGTAGTATATGGGTGAGAAAATACATTATTTTTTTTATAATAAAAATATATATTATTAGAGAAAAAATTAATATTTATTCAAAAAAATAAAAAATAAAAAAATATTTATACAAAATTAAAACGAATGCAATTTTGTAAGTTTAGATATCAATTAGCTAACAAATATTCTCACATAAATTTTGAATCATTAATACTATCACAGGTATTAAAATATTTTAGTTATTTCATAAAAAATTAATAATCATAATATTTTAAATAATGATAAATTTTTACTTAAGGAGATTCATGCGGATTGTTGATGATAAAATCTTTATTTAAAAGAAAATCATAGAAGACAAATTATATATTAAAAATAACCAGATTGACTTTTTTAATAAGATTTATACAATATATAAAAAATGATTATGGAGTTTTACCATTTATATGTCATCTGGTTAATTTTTTTTTTTCAATCAAATTGTCCCATGCGAGTAAGGTCCTTAGATCGATGTGCCGTCACTCCTTACCTCTCGTACTCGAAAATGAACACAAATTATACATCATTCGGGTTTTTTTGTTTTTTTTTAATTATTATGGATATATACAATTTTTAAAAAAATATATATTTGCAGTTTTACCTTGCTTTTTTAAAGTTTTAAAAAGTTAATTATGTGATCATTGTGATGTCTTTTAATTTTTTTTAATTAATAAGAAAAGTATATATTTTTTAAAAAGATTTCACATGTTTAAAAGAGATTTATATAATTATCATAAGATTTTCAAAACACATTTTTTAATGGAAAAATCACTTATTCTAAAAAAAAAAAAACAAATTTTACAAAAGATAGTTAATATCTTAAGACTTCTGAAACGAACATGGCTAAATATAGAAAGTAGAATGACGAAAACCCCCATTTTCTTCCAGAATATTCTCTGCAAAATCCAAAATGAGAACCCACCCACCAGTCTCAGATGCACAGCAACAAATAAGAAAGAGAGAGAGTGTGTTGTGTCGTGACTTGTGAATTTGAGCCACCATTTAAGACCATACCACATGCGTGCTCAATAAGCCATTCCCTTTGTTCCAAATTCTTCATTAACCCCAAACCCCAACCCTAGATCTTCCTCTTCAAGTTCTTCCTTTGCGTCACTACAACTCAACCACCTCTTCCCTTTTCAAACCCAGATCTCTCCAATTCCACAATTCTTGCCTAAACAACAAATCCATTTCATTTTTTTTTTAATAAAAATACTCTTTGTTTTGCTCTGAATCACTTCTGGGCTAGTCTTATTTCTCCACAAGTTTCTTGCTTTTTGCTTTAATTGTTCTGAATTCTGCATTTCGTTTTGTGGGGTCGTCTTGAATTGCGCTGTTTTTGATATAAACTCGTTGTTTCTTTATTTAGATCTAGTTGTGTAAGGGTATGCTTTGTATGCGTTTGTAGTGTAATATTGGTAGTGAGTTCTCATGGCAATGCCATCGGGAAATGTGGTAATACAAGATAAAATGCAGTTTCCAAGTGGTGGTGGTGGTGGTGGTGGTAGTGGTGGTGGTGGAGGTGCTGGTGGTGAGATCCACCAGCACCACTACCGTCAGCAATGGTTTGTTGATGAGAGGGATGGGCTTATTGGCTGGCTGCGAAGCGAATTCGCAGCTGCCAATGCCATCATAGATTCCCTTTGTCATCATTTACGTGTGGTTGGTGATCCTGGGGAGTATGATATGGTTGTTGGAGCCATTCAGCAAAGGCGATGTAATTGGAATCAGGTGCTGCTTATGCAGCAATACTTTTCTGTAGCTGAGGTGGTATATGCACTGCAGCAAGTGGCTTGGAGGAGGCAGCAGAGGTATCTGGATCCAGTGAAGGTGGGTGCAAAGGAGGTTAGGAAATCTGGTTCGGGGTATCGGCATGGGCAGAGGTTTGAGGGTGCAAAGGAAGGTTATAATTCTAGTGTAGAGTCTTATAATCATGATGCAAATGCTGTGGTTACAGGAGGTGTGGAGAAAGGGACTGCACTAACTGAGATGAGTGAGGAACATAAATTTGGTGGCAAGGTTGAGAAGGTCGGTGATGAGGGTTTAATGTCTGCTGAAGAGAAGAAAGGTAAATAATGGGTCGATCAATCTGTATGTATTGTACATTATCTATACTGCAACATGGTGAATCTCAGACCTCTAAGTAATGGTCGTCATTACATCTTTGTGTTAATTATAATCAAAGTGGTAGTGACATTGCTGTTGGAACCTTAGTTTCTTGACACAATACGTTTTAATAGAGTGAGTTTCTGGTGCATTCATGCCATGACTATTAATTGACTCAGTCTTACATTACATTGAATACGTATTATAATTTTTCACTAGTGCAATTTAGAAACAAGTAGTTTTATTCACTTTGGCTTCTGCTGCTGCTCACTTTTGGCCTTCCAAATAGAGCCATATAGTTATACGGAAGTAATGGACATGCAAATGGTGTTTTCTTGGGGCGGAGAGCAACAATTTATGGAAAATTCGGTGGAGATAATTAGATGATTTTATGTATGTGTTTGTGTCTGAGTAAAGTGGGATAAATCCTTGTTATTGTTGTTGTTGTTATTATTATTTGTGTCTAACTGTCTTAGTAAGAATGCAATTTGCTTATGAGGAAAGTGAAGAATCTCTTGTTGAATAAATATTGCAGAAAGGCTAGGTACTAGCAGGATGTAGTATCAAATTGGACTTCATGGTAAAAAACAATTCATGGAAGATTCCAATCGTTTCTGTATAAAAATTGAAATGGTTGAATGTTAGACTTATGGCTGTTATTTCTTTGTTTGCTTCTTGTGATCATGTGGCTTCTGCTATTTAATTAATGAAGAGATAGAGGATCAGTTCACAGATCATTAACACACAAGAAATGCATGCAGTCCATTAACTTGTTTACTCTCTTGTTTGTGTGAGCAGATGCCATGGCAAAGCATCAAACTGATGGAAACTTGAAGAGCACAGGGAGTTCTCAAGGATCTCTGTCCAACTTGGAATCTGAAGCTGCTTTTGTAAATGATGGATGTATATCCAATTGTAAAGGTTTTCTTCCTCCTGACATTGATTTTAGTGAAGATATGTATCTTTTTTAGCTTAAATCAGTTGAGGGCAATGGGATGTAGACTATGCTAGTTCCATGCATGAATTTTAGAAACTAAGAAAATAAATTTCAAACTGTACACTTCACTTTTTTCCCAATTTTGTCACATGAATGTATTGTACTTCAATTTTGTGCATAAAATAACAAATATGTATTTACTGACTCCCTTGCTTGCTTTAGACCATTCACTAAGAGTCCGCATCTCATGCAGTGCAATATCGGATTCTGCCTAGTATCATAGTTTTCTGTGCAAAATTTTGTTTAATATTTGTTTATTACTAACCTCATTATAAACACGAGTCTTTATTCTTAAACATGAAGATATCTTTTATTAAATTGTCTTTCTCCTTTTGATATGATATGAAGCATGGACTTGTAATTTTTTCAAAATTTTGTCTTTTTCCCTAAATATCCATGCAATACATAGGATACTTATTAATTTAATTTTAATTTTATCTCTTGTGAAATTTATTTCCAGGGAATGATTCACATTCTCTGCAAAATCAGCATCAGAGTCTTTCTTCCGTAGCAAAAACTTTTATTGGCAATGAAATGTTCGATGGGAAGATGGTAGGGTCCTTCAAATATTTCTTCACTTTTCTTGATGTCATTATTTCATAATGTGTACTTACCTTTTCACAAATTTCTTTTATTTCTTCTGTCCTTTATATTCACTATTTAAGATGTGACTTTCTATTTTTTTCAATTTTAGATGAATGTGGTTGATGGGCTGAAATTGTATGAAGATTTATTTGATGACACTGAAGTTTCGAAACTTGTTTCATTGGTTAATGATCTAAGGGTTTCTGGGAAAAAAGGCCAATTGCTAGGTATGTGTTATCTTCATACTGGAAGATTCTATCACTGCTTCCCTTTTTAATTTTACTTAATTTATAGCGTATAGGTGTGACCATTTACATGGCGGGCCCTCTGCTGATGTTCTTAAGTTAGAGTTTTCTGGGTAAAATGGTGGTTGACTTGTATCTATTTTTCTGTCTTTGTTTCACCTCAGTAGTTAGTAGTTGAATAGTCATGGACAAAGAACCAGGTGGCACTATTCGCAGTAACTAAAAAATGTAGAGTAGTACACTAGTCATGAGATCTAACATAAATTTAATGACGGTAAGTCATACTGATTTGAATATGCATTTTCCAGCTGTTGTGATATTCCTATATTTGCCTAAGCCTTTAGGTCTAGATCTCATTACTTTTTGGTATGACAGTCACCACTATTAAATTGATGTCTGCTAATGATAAAATTATATTTAAGATCCAAATAATGCATTAGAATAGACATGAATTGACAATTTGGTTTACTAGGGACAAATGAGGAGAAAAGGAGCAAAAGAATGCATATTGCCCTTTTACTGTATTTTATCTGACATTTGCATGTTGGTAAATGCTCAATTTGATGACTGCCCATGAAATAATAGGGACATGTATGCCAGTTTTCAGTCTGATTGTAATATTCTGTATCATCTTGCTGGGAAATAATTTCTGCTTGCTGTCACCCTTTCATAGATCATGCAAACTTTAGCTTGTTTTTTAAAGAATATCCTACAGTTGCTGATTATTTTTTATAAGCAGGTAATCAGACATATGTAGTTTCAAGAAGGCCCATGAAAGGGCATGGAAGGGAGATGATTCAGTTGGGTGTACCGATTGCTGATGCACCACCACTAGATGGGGAAAATATCACAGGAGCCTCCAAAGGCATGTTATATTATGCAATTTTCTTTCATACCAAATTACCAATACTATAGTTACATGAGTTTCTTATTTATAGCCATGGTATTTGTCTTTTACCACGCTTGTGATAATGTTTTTTAAATTCCACAAATTGAATCTGCAGATATGAATGTAGAGTCTATTCCATCCTTGTTTCAAGATATTATTGAGCGTATGGTTTCCTTGCAAGTAATGAATGTGAAGCCTGATTGTTGCATCGTGGATTTCTACAATGAGGTTGATTCTTATTATATCCTATTTTTATGTGAAATGCTAGCAATACTATCTAAGACATTCATTTTAAAACTCTCTTTGATGGGTGAAATCTGGGTGGGTCCCACTTCCAATTTAATGGGATACACTCCCTATTCCGCAGCCCCTGGGACTTAATCTAATAATAAAGGATGTGTTGAATAGTGTCATGCAGTGTATTGTTAGCATTCTTCATTTTTACTTATTGGGATTATATATTGGTCTCAAATCTGCTAATCCATCCTGATATCTGGTTGTCTGCAGGGTGATCACTCACAGCCATATAGTTGGCCATCATGGTTTGGTAGGCCTGTTTATATCCTTTCCCTGACGGATTGTGAAATGACTTTTGGAAGAGTAATTGCATCAGACCATCCTGGAGATTATAGGGGCAGTCTCAAGCTTTCTCTAGGGCCCGGGTAATGCTTATTAATTAACCTTGTATTTTACTATGATAATGCTCCTGATATGATTACTATGATATTGTTTTAGTGAAGAGTATGATCTTATCCAAATCGCAGTCATTATTAATTGTAATTTGGCTCTGCCTCTGGTGACTAATTATGTAATGCACAAGAGAATTCTTTATTTTTTATTGGTGACAATATTTTTCTTTTGCCTTGTGATTTCACAATTAGAAGCCTTTTCGATATTACTTATTTATTACAAGGAGCCATCTTGTTCATTAAACGAGAGTATGTGGGACTTGAAAGTTTTGGGTCATTCTGTTCATGGAGATGATTATTACGATGGAAAACCTTTGTAAGGGAGCATGCCAACTTTGATTGTTGTTATTAGTTTTGGATTAAACACTTGCTGACTTGCAGCATTATTATGTGCATTTTGCATTCCAGGGGTGCTGAGTTGGATATGTGAGTGGAGAGCTACATGTTTTAATGTTATACTGCAGTCTGAAATTCGCTAACCCGATCCCGGATTCTATACTTGAATCTGACATGTTTATGTGCTATAGGTCCCTTCTTGCTATGCAAGGGAAATCCAGTGATTTTGCTAAGCATGCTCTTCCTTCCATGCGCAAGCAACGGATACTTGTTACTTTCACAAAGTCCCAACCAAAAAGGTCACTGCCAAGTGATGCTCAACGTCTTGCCTCGCCAGCAGCATCTTCTCACTGGAATCCACCTCCAAGCCGATCTCCCAATCATGCTCGTCATATAGGCTCCAAGCATTATCCTACACTCACAACCACTGGAGTACTGCCAGCTCCACCCATTCGACCACAAATTGCGCCTCCAAATGGCATGCAACCATTGTTTGTTACTGCTCCAGTTGTACCGCCCATGCCATTTCCTGCACCTGTCCCAATCCCACCTGGTTCTTCTGGATGGACAGCCGCTCCTCCTCCAAGGCATCCCCCACCTAGAATCCCTGCTCCTGGCACCGGAGTCTTCTTACCTCCGCCTGGCTCAGGTAATCCATCCCAACCTTTACCAGGTACTTTGACTGACCCGAACTCGAGTGTGGAAACTTCAACCACACCAGAAAAGGAAAATGGGAAATCTAATCATATTAGTACAAGTGCTTCACCAAAAGGTAGAATGCAAAGGCAAGAATGCAATGGTCACGTTGATGGAAGTCAAGTTGAACAAGCTCTAGAGACACAGCAGGATAGTGATGACAAAGCTGCAGCAAGCCATTGAGCTGTACCTGGCTTATACATATACATAGAGAGAGAGAGAGAGAGAGAGAGAGAGAGAGAGAGGAGAGAGAGAGAGAGGGAGGAAAAGCTTATCAATGGAAAAGGATAGGCTGCGAACTTAACTTGAGTATGAATCAAATGTAAAGCGCGGCAACATTTGAGATATCACCATACTGCAGGGGAGAACAAGGGAAGGAGGCAGAACTTTTGGTTCTCTTCAAAATCCTTTCTTTGCTTCATTCCTTTTTTGTCGTCTTCGAAATATTAACTCTTACACGAAGGGAAACTCATTCTTAATTCTAATTTTGGCTTTTCAAATCTTTATTGTTATTTTCTAAAATGCATCTTCCTGTTTATATCGTGTGCGTGTTTTAATGGGATCTGTTAAAAATGGTATTTTCTAGAATGACAAGTTGAGACAAAATCAATTAGAATTTGACAATTTATTATATTGTAAATGGGTAAATATTCTTCGTAGCTTTAATAAATAGCCCATTTAAGACTTGTCAATGGGATAATTAGCAATTGATTTAACACCAGTTTAGAAAATGGTATACTAATTTTAAGTGCTTTACATGTTATAGTGTCAAGTTAAATGTTTGGTAGTTAACTTAAAACTTAATAGACAAAGGTTGGTAATAACAATCAATTTTATACTAAATTTGAATAAAAGTATTCAGGAATTAATTTTAAAAGCAATAACTTTTGTAGGATAAAAAAATTAAGTCTTTATTTAAAAATATTTTTAGATATCGTGTTTACTAGAATTGAAATTTGTCATATGTCAAATGTGATAATGTTTACTTGAATTTTTATTAGTTAAACTCAATACTAATCTAATTTTTTTATTAGAAATTAAATCTTAAATTTTTGAAAGACTAATTTTAAATAAAACAAATTTTATAGAAATTAAAAGCTTATCTAAGTTTGATTACTTATCTATAGTTTTTCAAATAGCCCAGTTTCCTAGATTTTTAAAATCTTTTTAGATGGTTCAAAACTTTTTCTTAAATTAAATTTACTTTTAAAAAAAAATTCAACTTGCTTATTTAATGAATGATTCATCCATATAAACCAAGCCTAGGTCCCACCGAATAATTGGACCTATCTCAACCAGTGTTGAGATGGTAAAAAACTTTCAATTATAAAAATAAAAGTAACGTCACGTATCTTCTATTGTAAAGTTCATTTATAATATAATAACGAGAGAAGATAATTGTATAGATTTATTTTATTAAAAAGGTAACGTTGAAAAAACACATAAAAAGTTTTTATTAAAAAGAAAAATGCTGATTATTTTAAAAGTATAAAAAATATTTAACGTATTTTTTTTAGATAATTAGAAGAATTCAATTATATATTTTTATGTGAATAACAGATTCAATATAGTAGTTGTTTTAATTGACATCATGTAATTTTCTTTATGAATTTACCTTATTAGAAAAAAATGTTTTATTTTATTTAAATATCAAAATCAAGTTATGCTTTAACAAAGAGTTTAATATTAATGGATTATTAATATAATTTTTTATATCATCAACTAAATAGAATATATGATAAGTATAATTTTTAAATAAATTAATAAATATTATTGATATGAAGTGGGTCATTAGGCAGAGAGAAAAAAAAGGGAAGACAGACGAATACGATCAATTGGTAAGTAGTTGTAATGTTTGAAGAAATACAGACACGACACACACTGCAATAGCGATGTCAGAGGTTGATTTTGATTTCGATCATCAACGACACCCACGCCTCTTCATCCCCAACTTCCTCTCCCTTCAAGAATGCAAGGTTTGTTATTTAGTTTCTTTTGTTATTTGTTTGATTCAACCTTCTCTTTTCTTTTTATTATATTATGATTTTGGTTATTGTGTTGAAGGAACTTGAATTCATCCACAAGAGTTGCAGCAGCGTGGGTTACAGACCCAATGTCTTCTCTACCACTCTATCCCATCTCATTGCTACCAACTCTTCCCACTTCATCATCCCTTTTATACTCATCCGAGGCAATTCAATTCCTACCCTTTTCTCTATCACAACCCATTTATTCCTGTTGCATTAATTTTACTTTTTTACCCCTTTTCTTTTAATTAATTTCAATGAAATTGCTGTTTTCTCTTTTTCTGTTATGTTTTATTTATTTATTTATTTATTTATTTTCAAATTTGATGGCAGAAAGGTTGAAGGACAAGCTAGAGGAGTTTTTCAAATGTGAGTATGAGCTCTTTATTGAATTCACTGGTTTGATAAGGTTGGTTACCTCACTTCACCTCACCCCAATGTTTGGCATTTGTTTTAATTAGCATTTTTACTATCTTGTTTACTGATACTATGAATCAGCTGGAGCAAAGGAGCAAGCATTGGATGGCATAGTGATGATAATAGGCCTTACCTCAAACAACGGCACTTCTCAGTGAGTAGCATTTAACGGGTCAACCCCTTTTTAAGATATTCAATTCCTGTTATATTATACGTAATTTTTCTCTTCCTTTTGGTAATACTATGAAAGGCAGTGTGCTATTTGAATACTTATGGGAAGGATTTCAGTGGTGGACTCTTTCACTTCCAGGATGGTGAACCAACATTAATTATGCCCAAGGCCGGAGTGAGTTTTCATATTTTTTAAAAATGTAATTTAGTCTGCTGTTAGCATCCCTTGGTAGCATAATATGTTCCTTAAATTTCATTACTGAATATATGTTCATGTGTAATTCAAAGTAGGAAATGAACAGTCTTTACTGTGTTTATCTTTTATCTTTTTTATATTTGAGGATGATTGATTTTGTAATTTATTTTGTTTTTCAGGATGTTGTGATGTACACAGCTGATGAACGTAACATTCATTCTGTTGATGAGGTATATTCAAGTGCACTCCTTTCTTTCATGGACGTTTAGAAAGATCTCTTAGAAAGCTGCCAAATATAAGTAGTTGTTTCTTCAAAATAAGCTGAACCAAATATATGCTTACTTGGATTATGCATATTCAACTCTAATATTTCTCAAATTATAAATTGGACTCAAATCTTTATTGCTTCCTTCCCAAGTTCCAACTCTTGAACCCAAGAAAAATTGAGGTTGGCACCAATTCATTTAAACATTGTTTTTTCATGGGAGACTAAATTGACGTGAAAAGCAAATGGTAGTTCAATCATCAATAAATATTTGCCATCTTAAATCTTTCTGATATGAAGTTATCTTTGACAGATAACTGAAGGAGAAAGACTCACACTTGCTTTATGGTTCAGTCGTAATGGTTCCCATGATGAGGATACACAGCTTATTTCTCTTCTTTCACAACATCTATTGCATAAGAGCGTGGCTGATTCATACCTACCTTTGCCAGCATCCAGTAATATGTACTGGTTTTCTCAGGACCAAGCTTCTGATTACCGTTTTGGTTTTAATATATGTTGGGCTAGACTGCATGTTCTCGGATATGACACATATATTTCTCAAGACAGTAGCTGTAAGTCTGATGTCTCTGAATTACTGGTTAAGCCGGTGCGCTTAGTGAGGGGAAATGAGTTACTTGACCAGGAATTTGTCAATATTTTGCATGCACTTCAGGTATTTTAAAAAACTCTATTTCTAAGTTTTATTTTCTGTTAATGTTAAAAGATCAAGCGTATTAAAAATGCTATGGAGAATGATGCTTTCTAGGAAGCGTAGGGTTAACTGTCTACCTGAGGGGATTACACCAACTGAGACTTTCTGTATTGTAATGTTGGAAAAGCAGAACTTTAATGTAGCACATGTTTTTGGATGTTAAGTGTAGCTTCCCGCAAGTTTCTTTAAGATACTTAAAAATACAATTTGTTATCTCTTTAATATGGTTTTTATGATGTAACGTAGTCCCTTCATTTTTCTTTAACTGCATTTACAAATGTTGTTTATGAATCACTGATTCACTAGTTTCTTGCAATTTATAATCTTCATGCGTTTTTGAAAAGTTTCTGCAACTACTCTAATTGTTCTTTGCTTGAGCAGGTTGTCCATTTCTACTGTTGGGAAGGTTCTGCTTTACAGACCAAGGTGTCAAATATAGACTCCAAGGTAGTAAAACTGACCGATGTACAGAGAGAGAAAATCAGTGGGCTAAATTCTGTACTTTTGAATGATGTTGCTTTCGTGTCTAGAGTTTTCCATGGTATGCCTTCCAAAGAAAAAGGATGCATTTGCTTTGACTGGACAGGAATTGTGGCTGCAGCTGCTGCTTGGGAAGATTATGCAGTGAAGTTAAGCAAACAAATTCATTTACAGTTGCCTTACTGGAAAATGCATGAATCAATATATAATGTGCAATTAGGCGAGTACGTTTCCCACAATCGACAATTCCAAGAAAAAAGTGACTTCTAACAAATGTGCTAGGGTTTAAAAATTGGAAAATGGCATTGGTAAAGCAACTTTAGACTTGTTTGTGAAGGTCTGCTCTGATAGCAGTTTTCGAGTCAACATGGTTTTTGGGGAGTTTTAAGACCAAGCTGCTTAGGGAGAGATGAGGTATGGAACTCACGAATAAGATAAATGTAAGTGTTACACATACTTGATGTAGATTGGGTTGTTAGTCTCTTAGCAGTTAGCATTGGAAGTACCCTGCCAAGTAAAGACAAGTACTCTTGGGTTCTCTTGGGTCCATATCTGGTGGCAAATACTGCAAAGTACTGTATGCCTTTTTTTTCCTCAAATTTCTGTTACACGAGTTTGTGTGCAGTATTACAGTACTGCAAGCTCGTTAAGACTGTTCTAAACAACCCTTCTATTTTGTATTTCATTACAAATAGTACATTTATACCAAATTTCAGCCTTAGTGATCTCTCTTTTCAAAATACATAGCTGGTGTTAAGGTCCCTTTTAGCTTATTTGTATCTAGGCTTGAGGTCTTTGGTTATGCTCCATATATGCAAAACCTTGCCATAAAGGTCATAAAACACAATATCTGTATTGGTTTTGGTGACCTGCACAGACATGAATCCTTGCCCATCATAATACAACTTGAGCTCTTCCGGATTCCACTGGTTGACATCACCCCTCCATGCCTTTGATCCCCCTCCACTTGTTAGAAATTGGATTCCACTACATTGTTTATGCGAACCACGGAAGCTTCAATTTCAGAACAGTGGTGATGTTGATGCTAACCATTTAAAAGTAAGACATGTTTACCTCTTTTTGTCAATTATGTGTTCCAAGCAATGATCATGTCCATTTATATATGCATCAACATTGTTTGCCTGGACCAACAACGAAGAAACTGGTTAGAAATTGTAAAAATGCAATGGCTTCAACAACAATAATTGTCATTACCTAGTTACACCATGTCTCATCTTTAAAAAATACTAAGGGGGTACATTTTGTATTAGATTGCAAAGATATCTTGGTATCTTACTAATCTTGAGAGTGTAATTGTCATTACCATGTGTAAGAGACTATGCCATGTATGTCAATCAATTTCAATTGTCATGCTAAACACACGACAAATATTGAAGACGAGTATCTGTTGTATCAATATGAGAATGGCAAGGGACCAAGTGCTCTTATTTGTTGAAATGTGGTTCATTTTATCATTTACCTCTAAGATGGGAACAAGCAGCTCCTCAAGCTCGTGGGTATTACCATGATGCCCAGCACTTTTGATGGTATGATGTCCCACCACCATCTTCCATGTAGCCTCTGATTGTGCCAATGCTAAATCAACGTCCTACACGAAGATCCCAAAATCAGAGTTGACAATTTCCCTTCATTCAAATGTTCGCATGTAATGAAATGATAGAGGTATTAATGCTAATTTTGTTTCAATAATATCTTTAACTCAAGATATTCTGATTTATTTAGAATAACATTTCAAGTTTCGAAATCATGTGATAGTGCCCAATTGTGAACTCCATTTTAAAAAATTGATAACGAAAGTGAACACATATCCTTTTTTTGAAAAATTAATAATTTGTAGGACTTCGTGGGCATTATTTGTTTGTCATTATAACAATTTGAACTTGTAAGTAAAAAACCTTCAAGAGTTCTGAAAGGTATGCTTCTCGGGGAAGCACGCTTTCCCAGTCATAAGTATGCTCTCCAGGGTCCGTAAAGTACTTCTCTACAAAAGGAGTCGTGTCCACAAAGAAAAATTCTACAATTTCTGTACAAATAAGAAAAGAAAAACATAAAAGAAATGAATATTTTTATTGTGTAATCATCACAGAACATTACAACATGAACTATATTAATTCATTTAAATTATGACCTCTTAAAACACAATTGTGTGAATGAACTTATCGTGTTTAAAACATGTTATAATCAAAATTTTATATAGAGAACATAAAATACTATTTTTCCTTAATAATAATAATTTGAAACAAACATGCATTAAACGGATTTATACCTCCGTCGAGAATAAAAGACCTCAGGCAAACCCATCTTCTATCTTTTTGTCTCAGAACGTGACTTAATTGTGCCTCAACATCTCCTCTATAGTCATGGTTTCCCAAAACTGCCACAATAAAATGTAAGATCAAATTTTTTCGATTTTAAGCATCCAAAAGTAATAAACTTATTTAAAAATATTATAATTTTATATCTAAATGTAATAGATATTCTTTTTTTAATTAAAAAATTATTACTTCTGTCTGTTTAAACCCTGCCCAAATTTTGAGGTTAACAAAATCTTTATTTTTAGCAATACTTTTGTGAAATTGGCACTCTGCAGCTAAAGTTTAAACTATTTGCAGTATAAATCGTTTTCAATGAATATTGGTAACTTACCATTGTACCATGTTTTTTGCAGGCTCGGGGCAGTGTAGATGTCGACGAATGACTCGTAGAATGCTGGATCATCATCTCCTGTTAGGCCATCTTCGTAAAAATTGTCACCAGTTGAGATCACGAAATCTATATTTAGTTTCGCCCCCACAATTCCCATCTAAAAAACAACCAATGAGAATAGTACTACTCTATAAACCAAAAGAAAAAAGAAAAACAAAAGAAAATCACACAAGTACCTTAAAAATTATAAAATTGTCACGAATTAATTTAAATTATATTATTTATAATCTTAATATAGTTATACTTTTTTTTTCCTTTTAGTGACTATTTAATTTTAGAAAATATAAGGGAAATATAATGAATCCTAATTATTGATTATTTTAATTAGTTTTATATTAATAATTTTTCATGTAAGTTCATGGCGAACAGTTTCAGTCATGACTACGATTACTGAGATGATTTTGTAAAGTATATACTTACGAAAAAAATTATGTAAGACGAGTCCTTTATATAAAACATTAAACACTGCTTAATTTGTAATGATGTATAAAAAGCAAAAACCAAAAAGAAAAAATCCATTATGGAAAGGCATTTTATAAAACTGAGTCTAATCGCTTCATATTGAAAATGGGATTTGCTATTTGTAAAATCTAATTCCAACTATTTACTCATTTCGATCGTTTTATAACATAATATTTTTGGATTCAAATGCATTATTGACCGTTCAATGTAAACCCCTTGAGCTTATTGTATGATAGAATAGTGGATAAATCTAAATTGAAGCTGCACACCCCAAATGTGAGGAAATAATAGCCTTTCTTTTGGGAATTAAGCTTTTCAGTGGAGTACATTAGAGTCACAATCTCTTAATAAGATCTTAGAGTTAACCAAAACTTCAAATAATAATAAGTAGCTTCGTTTTTTATGACCATGAGTATAATTAGTTTTTAAGTTATATGATCATCTAATTAAAAGTATTCAACGCATTATATTATTGTTGATACCATTGCCAAATTCTTCTAATAACATGACGATATATTTAATTAAACTATTATAGAATTTTTATAAAATAAAAATACGCAAGAACAGTTTTATATATTTTAAAAAAATTACACAAGCAATTGTAAAAAAAGCGACGTGGAGTGGGTCGATTGAAGCCAGTCGGAAAAGAACACGTGGGGTCATAGATAGCATTTGGAATATGCTTATATCTCAACTTTTTCATCGTTACAAGTATTAGTAGCTTCATTATGTTCAATCGGAATATGCTTAGGTATATATCTTTTGCTTCAATTGAAATATGCGTGGGATTGAGAAATAAAATGGAAAAAGGTGTTTGGTCATCTCTGGTTTTTTATTATTATGTGGCTGACATCATACCATTAAAAAAATCTTAGATTTATATGTTTGATATCTATATTGATGAATTGAATTTATCTATTAAAACAACTTCAACAAAAACTTAAAAAGGTTTTAACTAAATCATTTAGATGCATGGTATAAAAGCAATCGATCAAATTGAATAATATAGTTTTTCTCGTGAATCCTGCAAATTAAGGTTAATATACGACCACAGCAAAATGAATCAAAGAACTATGCTTAATTTGTATAATATGATATATAAATATAAGATTAAAAACTTTACTTTGTAATTCAGTGGGTTAAGAAACAGAAGGAGGTACCTGATGAGCGAGCAAAGATTGATTGTAGGTTCCTTTTCTTCCCCAATCTCCAACGACCAAAAAGTTAAGAGGTTGTTGTGGGTTTGGAGTGTGTTTGAATCTGGGAAGCTCAGCCATGGAAGGAGTTGCTAATAAACACAACATACAACCTGCTAAGATCACAGGGAATACCATTCGTTGCTCTAAAGCCCAAGCCATGGCTTTACGCACCTCCAACTTCTCAAACCCAGACACAGACAGTGATTGCAATTTTACGAGATAGTATCATACGTCTGTGTCTATATATTATGTTTGAATGTAATAGATAATCATTTGAACTGTATCTTTTCGCACACAACATTTTTTTTTAAATTTTTCATACAAATTTTATTTCTTTCTTCTATTTATAATATTTTTTTCTTATACGCAAAGACTTATTTAGGTTATTTTTATACTTTACACCCTCGTATTTTTAATATAATGATAATCATTTTAAAAAATATTCTATACTAATAATTTAAGGTTAAATTAATATTTGTTAGTGTAATTATTATCTAATAAAATTAAATTATTAATATAATTAATACATAATTGTGTTAGTATAAGAAAATTAAATTAAATCATATCTTATGAAAAGACTTGTTAACCGAAATAATGAAAGGGTGACAATCATCGTCACGAAAAGAACTGCGTATACGATTGGTTAATCCATGGAAGCTTCTTTCCTATTTCCCATTTTAATATCTGATATTCTTCACTTTTGAATGCGACCATACATTAAAATTTTCTTTTCGGCATTTCGTGTGGTTAAAGTTCTTCCAACTTTGCATCAGTATTTTAAAATTAAAACAAAATTTATGGAAATTTTTTTAATTAAAATGAAGATATCATCATTATTGATGTGCGGTATTAAAATTCAAAGTTTAAGAAACGAATTTATTTAGAATTAATTAAAATCATAATAAATTTAAATTCTATTTATCTTAAAAGTGATGATATTTGTACTTTGATATGTTGTATCAAATTTAAATTTTAAATAAAAATCAAAATTGAATTTAAATTTAAGTAATATTTTTTTAAATGGAATAGCTTTATGAATAAAATTAAATACTAAAAAAATGTTATATTGCTAAATGAAAAAATAAATAGCTTTTAAAAATCCTCTTATTTTTTTTAAAAAGGATTCAAATTTCTAATATAAAAGATGAATTCTAATATAAATTAAAGAGAAAAGTTCATTCAATTTTATGGAAGAAAACTATTCTCTAAGTGATAAAATATTTTGTGTAAATATTTACTTCACAGGAGATTTGTAATCAGAATATAAATTTAGCGAGTTTAATTCAATTTTTTGAAGAAATATATTTTCAAAGTGATTAGTTATTTAATGTCAATATTTAGTTTACTAGACTTTTTTTTTTACTTATGTAGTGAGTTAATTGAGATTTTGTTTCCTTTTTCACACCCCACAAATTAAATTAAATTTGATATTTTTCACTCAATATAGTTAAAATAAAAATTATTACCATACATTTTGATTAAGTAATAAGAAATTTGTTTCCCTTTAAATAAGGTTGTCAAATTTAAAGGCCGTGTACAAGAAAATGTTAAAATGTCCAACTTGACTAACATTAATTGAAAGCCAAAGTAAGAAAAAAAATGTTTTTCCAAAAAAGTTAGCAATGTAAAAAAATATTTATTGCATGGCGAGATAATGTGAAAATAAATATAATAATAATAAAAAATTATCAAATACTTTAAAATGAAATATTATTTTATAAAAATATTTATTGAGTGAAAAATATAAAATCGTTTGATATTTACATTTTAAATAAATAAGAGTGCTTAATAAAATATATTACACATTTTAATTACTGACATTGTTACACTCATCAATAAAGTTATTAAATAAGTAAATAATATCAAGTATGGTCCAGGAAGAACTGTCGTAAAAGATTATTAAAATCATTAAATTCAGAATAAAAATAATGATTATTTATTAATTTAATGTTTTTTAAATTATTTAACTCAGCTATATTTAATTTTTTTAAAAATTTCTTATTTTGGTTGTATTTTATATATATAAAAAACAACAATGACAAAATTTGTTCGGTACACAGGAAGGGATAATTTCAAAACAAACAAAATTAACTTTGATTATGAAAAAAAATTTCTAACTTAACTTTTAAAATTACATTTAAGCATTTAAAAGTAAATAAAAATTATTTTAAAAAAATTTATTTATTATATTAAAGTTATAAAAATATAATAAATATTTTTAAATAAAATTTAATTATTATTAACGGTTAAATTCAATCATACTACAAGTCCAATAACACTTTGCCAGAAAGGGAAGAATAAAACATCCAATTTTATTTTTGTTTATGTGAATATAATTTTGTTTAAGTAAAAATTACTTTTTACTTTAAGCAAGAACATTCGCTTAAGCTAAAGTTTAAGAAAGTTGTGTTGTGCGTCTTCTTTTCCCATGGCCCGTATATGAATATGAATAACAGTTGAAGAATGATACCATGAAAACTGTTTGCGTTCAGAACCAAAAACGACACAGCCATCAAAGATCCTTAGTTTCACCGTCAATTTCACACAAAAGCTTAACCCATCTTGTTTCGGTTCTTCTTAACCCTTTCAACATTCAAACACCCACCCAACAACAACAGCAACAGTTTCATAGTCTCTTCCAGCTTCATTAATAGATGAATAGATGAGCATTCTTTATATATGCATCTGCATGTCGTTACATACACACACATACTTCATTCTCTTATAACATTCAAGCAGCCTAAATATGCCACAATTTCCAGTAATGTAATATCTAAAAAAACAAAGAAAAACTGGGCAATAATTGATGCTTATTATTTACATTGAAAAGTTTAGATGAGAAGAGATTACCTTGTGAAAGTAAAACATATGATATATACCCCTCAACCTTAATTAGGATATACATACGCAAAATCATTTTATTTAGTCAACATATTACATGTCAGAGTAGACATGTTTGCAGGTGTTCCATTCGTTCATGACATTGCCGAAGACATCATAGAAAGCTATTTGAAGCTGAAATTGAGAAATTTGTACGGACATGAAGCCTTGGCCATCGTAGTAAAACTTCATCTCCTCTGGTTTCCTCCATTTCACGTCACCCCTCCATGCCTTCGACCCACCACCACTTGTCAAAAGTTGAATTGAACTGCATTATAGGTTTATGTCAATCAATAGTAATTTTCATCATTTTTTCACTATAAAGTTTTGTTTAAGGGATATAATATAATAAAATATAAAAATTAAATACAGCTAAGATATGATGAGAAAATAATAAACTTTTATTTTATCTTATCATATGTTTGATATATAAGACAGTAAAATAAATAATATTATATCATCCTATTGAACATTTGAAATAATATAGAAAATAATACAAAAAATATAAATTATATTTGAATAATTATTTTACTTTTTATTCAAGCTTAATAAATAATTTAAAAACATTTTTATTTAAATTTAAATTTTTAATAAAAAATATGTATTAGAAATTTAAAAACATTTGTGTACATCTAATATTAAATTTTGATGATAAATTAATAAAATTTTTCAATTTTAAAATTAAATCTTATTTCTTTTCTAAAAATTATAACCAAAACAAAAATAAATTATAAAAGGTTTGGAATTACATTTTATAAAATGAGTAAACTATTTTTTATTAAAATTTCATTTAATATTTTTTATAAAAGTATTAAAGTTATATTTTTTAATAATTATTTTTCTTATAAAATATTAAAAAATATATGAAGTACAAATAGGAAGATAAAAAAATTGTATATTTTCTTGACATTTCTAACTCATTACTCTCCTCAAAATAAAAATTTAAACTATCAGAATAAGTAGAATAAAGTATAAACTGGATTATTTGTTATCCGACGAACACTTAAAAATAAAAGAAAATATAATAAACTACAATATCCTTTTCTCTTACTTTGTCACCGTAAAAGCCTACAAATTTGTTACTTAAAAAGATCCGACAACAAATAATACAGCAAACACACATTACCTGTCAAGGCTACTTATATGTTCCAAGCCATGCTCGTGTCCATTTATGTACAAATCAACGTTATTGGCCTGCATATTTGATACAATGCTTTGGATACAAAATTTGATACAACGACTAATTTGTAGAACATAGTTTAAGATTAAAAGATAAGTAAAGCCGTTAATTAATTGAATCTTATTTAAATGATTCAAATTAAAATATAAATACATATTTTAAAGCAAAATTAGTAGATTAATCTCTTAATTTTTATTTTGTTTCAATTTGTTCATTTAAATTTTTTAAAAATTTTTGTTCCTTAATATAAAATATTTTTAAATAAGTTTTTTTCTGTACAGTGTTAATTCTATCAAAAAATTATAACACATCATCTTCTTCTTAATGAAGTTTAGTGAGAACATAATAGTTTTCAATAAATTTTTTGGCTTTTTTTTTAATCTTTACTTCTCTTTCTTATTCTTCTACTTTTCACACTCCTTTTATTCTTTTTTAACTTTTGACAAGAATTTTCCTTTTTATTTCTCTTCTTACCTCTCATTCCCACAACCCATTTCTTCTACCTCTTTTGAATTTGATAAAAATGTTATATTTTATTTTATTTTTCATTTTCTTCCTTATCTTACCTTTCATCCATAATTTGACAGCATGTTTCTTCCTTAAACTCCTACAAAAATCTTTATTTTTACATTCTCTTTTTTTTTTCATCTTTATTCACGATCTCAAAATATATTTTCTCCTACAAAAAAAATTTACATTCTCAAAAATCTTTATTTGATAAAAATCTTTTTTTTTTTACATTCTCCTACCAAAAAATTAATTTTCTAAAAATCAGAGAAAATACATAGATAGTAAAACATACACGAGGAATAAGAAGAGAAAGAAAAAATTAAAAAAAAAATTGTCAAAATATACTTTATTTTAATCAAAGTTTACAAGAAAAAATATACAATAATTTTATAATAAAGTTAATGTTTTTGATAAAAATGACTTATCTAATTTTTTTTATTTTTAGATAACATAAATTTTTTTAAAAATTAAACAAATAAATAAAATAAAAAAAAGAATCAAACAACTAATATACTATTTTTGTCTTTTTTAAGTAGTTATGTATTAATTTTTAATCTTTACTGTTGTGCATAGCTGTATGATCAAAATTATATATCTTTCACTTACATGAAAAATTTTCTATTAATTTCTGCAACAAAAAATTAAATAAATTACAAAAAAAATATTCATAAGTATTTTTGTTCACAATAAAATATTATTTTATTTTATTATAAGTTTTATTTGGAAGCTAAATTTAAGAGAGGAAGAAAGAAAAATAAAATATTTATCTAATGATACTCCTTATTTAAAGTTTTGAAATGTGTATAAAAGATTCTCCAAAAGTTGCATAAATTTATAGTTTAAAATTCGCTCAAATTAATTTTTTTATTAACTCTCAAACTCTCTAACAAGTTAAGAGATATACCTGAAGAAGTGGAAGGAGATATAATACAAGTTCTTGGGTGTCTCCATGGTGCCCCGCGCTTTTGATCGTATGATGGCCAATCACTACCTTCCATGTCGCTGTTGATTGTCTTAGTGCCAAATCCACGTCCTTTTTCAAACCCAATGTCAAATATGAATACAACTATTTCTTATACCTTTTTGCATGCCAAAGAAAAAATTCCTACTCAACGAATCTATATACCATTATCTACTTCTATTTTCCCTTCCAGGGATAAGAATACCCATTCTCTATTTATTTATTTTGCTGAGTTATCATATTTTAACAAAGAAACAAATTTAAAGAGGCGATGAAATTCATGATAAAATTACCTTGAGAAGTTTAGAAATGTAACGCTTCCTGGGTAATACTCCTCTCCAATCATAGTTATGGCCTTGTCTGTCAATGAAGTATTTATTGACAAAAGGAGTTGTGTCTACAAAGAAAAAGTCTACATTTTCTGCAAGCAATATTTCCTCAATAACATTTAATAATAACGAGGGAACATATCAATAAGTATAAAATTCTACTGAATACTTGAAATTCTAATAACTTCCTTCTCTTTCTGAACATTTAAGATTACCTGAATTGACAACATATGATCTGAAGCAAATCCATCTAGAGTCTCTGTACCTAAGGATGGGGCTTATTTGCGCTTTGGCATTGCCTCTGTAGTCATGATTTCCCAAGACTTCACAAAACAACAGTAGAAAACAAATTAATTATACTTTTAATGAATTTCTAGTAAGAGATATCTATATTTTTGTTTTAAATTGTTCTCTTTTGCTTCAATTATATAATCTATATAATTATGAAGTCCTGTATAAAAATACTTCTTACCGTTGTACCATTTCCTCTGCAAGCTGGGTGCTGTGTATACTTTGGTGAATGATTCTTCAAAGGCTGGATCATGCACTCCTGTTAATCCATTGTCGTAGAAGTTATCCCCCGTTGAGATTACAAAATCAATATCCAATTTCTCTCCAACTACACCCATCTACAAAATTTAACGATGTAATTGATGTTATACTCAAAATTTCCTTCGATCATCCACATCAAGCGTTTTTTTCATATAAGGAAAAATTGACCGCAGAAAATCAAGCGTTTTTTTATATATTTTTAAAATTATGAAAATGTTATCTTTATTGTTTTTAAAATATTTATATAAATAAAAATATAATGTTATTCAAAATTTTGAAACTAAAAATAAAAGTAAAGTGATATTTTAAAAATTGTTTATAAAGATAAAATAGAAATTTTTTTCTAAACAAAAGAATTTTTCAATCAGTAAAAAATTTAGAAACAAGTGACAAAGTGACTGTATTTGATGTCTTACTTGTAACAATGCCACCTGGTGGACGAAGGCTTATTCTCAAAGTTTTCAATAACTTTTTATTATTAAAATGGCAACTTTCTTTCAGAGAAGAATGAAAATGACAGTGTGTGTCAGATGCGTTTGCAGCTTTATGTACTGCATCAGTGGATCTGGAGAAATAACTCACTTATATATATTCCAATTAATTATCGATATGTATAAAGATTAAAAAAAAAAATTCTGATTTTGTGATAAACTTGTTTTACACGTTTTAGCTGAGCTCACAATCACAAGCAACGATCAGATCCGAACAAAGAGAATTACAGAAAAGAATGAGAAATGAAAATTATGCAGAGTGAAGTATGAAAGTTAAAACGATGTTAGAGAATTAACCTGAAAAGCGACAAGAGATTGGTTATAATGTCCTTTTCTACCCCAGTCTCCAACTACCAAGAAGCTAAGAGACCCATCCCCATTTGGTTTGGGTGGATGCTGGAGATTCTGAAGCTTTGCTTTGGAATAAACAAAGCACAAACTCAGAATTGCAACGATAAGAATGAAAGCAGCTGCGGATTTGCTACTTTGGGTGCCCATCGTTAACTGAGAAGAAACGAAGGCACAGAATGCTTTTGAAGTGTTGTTTAAGGAGAGAAGGGAAGACAACCTTTTCAACCTTTCATGAGTGGATGCGTCGGTTTAGTTAAATTCAAATTGGTGATTCCACTAATGTCGTGTGGCCTTTCTTCTGCAAATTCAGGCTACGCTATGCTAATGGTTTGGCCACTGGGTGCCTTCCACATCATGTTCTATGTTCTGATTTGAAACCAAAACTTATACCCTTCTTTAGTTAAGAATTAATTCTTTATTTTTATTAAATTATATATTTTATATTAAATATTTGATTTTATTTTTATTTGTAATTTTATAAAATTTAATCTTAATTTCAAATTTTGTTATATTGTCTCAAATTATAAATATATTATTTTAGATAAGATAAAATTTAAAATTATTGCATTTGGTTTATATTTAGACTTTAATGTAACATCAATAAAAAAAATTGTCTAAATTTTTATTTTTTTTATATAAAGTAAAGAAAATATATCTATCAGCACCGATTATCACCTTTTTTTTAATCATATGTACTACTTATTATAGATAATTTTATTTATTTTTAAAGTATTTAATATATTTCAAACTCAATTATAAATATTCTTTATTAATACTTTATATTTTTAAAATTTTAAAATTTTAAAATTCTCCGTCCAAATAAAAGCAAAGATAAGAAGTTGAAAATTTTAAAATAATTAGTTTTTTTTTTACTTTCTTATATTTATATATTTTAATCATTTAAGAAATAAACTATGAGATATTTTATATTAAAAAACAAATAAATACATTTTTATTTAATATTTTTAAATATTAAAAAAATAGTATAAGAGAATATAATAAAAGTAGATGGCTAACGAATTGTACGCTAAGATGGAACGTTGGCATCTTGTCTTGGGGTGCCCCAAAACTTTATTTAAATATAAGTGGGGGCAGATGCTTCCAACTTAAAAGAATGGTGGCTTAGGCAGGGGCAAGCATGGAAATAGGTCAGGTCAGGCTTTATTTTAAACAGGCTTGACATGTAATATAATTATTAGATTTAAGTCTGACCTATTACTTGTTAAAGGTTTTATTTTAAGCCTAACTTGACTTGTTTAAGTGACCTGATCTGACTTGAAACCTATTAAAAAAAAATTAATATTAATAAAAATAAAAATATTATATTATTAAATTAGTTTATACATTTTTCTAATTTCTATCTATGTTTTTAATAATTATTAAATAATTATAATAATATTTATATAATTTTATAAATTATTTTTAAAATATTATTTAAGTATTAATTATAAATATTTTATATTAATAAAATTTATATTTATATTTATTTATTTATTTTTTAAAATTATATAAATAGTAAATATTTTAATTTTATTTTAGAAACATATTTTGTTTATTTAAAGACATCTTATATTCAGCAAATAAAGTTATATAAATATATAAAATTGATAAAAAAAATAACATTCACACAGTTTGTTGAATCAATTAAAAGAAAATTATATGTTTTAAAAAAATTAAATTTAAACTTACTGCAAATCTGCAATATATATATATATATATAATGACAATAATAATAACTATTAAATTAAAAAATAATTACAAAAAATAATACTTATAAAAATTATTGAATTAGCTAAAAAAATTATTATATTTTAAAAAGTAAATAAATATCATCATTATAAAAATTGTAGATGATAAATACTTATATTATAAAATTCATAGATACAGAAAAATAACATATCAGCATAGGAAGAATTATTAAAATTTATATTTAAATTAAAATAATTTATATTTCTAAAGTTTTATCTTAATTAAAAAATATGTGATAAAATTTAATATAAAAATTTAAACTTAATGAACTATATATATATATAAAATGAAAACAATAATAACTATTAAATTAAAAAATAATTACAAAATATTTAATTTTATTTATCTCATTAATTTGTTATTTTAAATTAACAAATAAATGTAAAATTAACTACACTATAATATTAATGTAATATAGAAAATATTACTGATACAATAAATTAAAACACATACTTATAAATTACATATAAATTGATAAATTGATTAATAATTTAATTAAAACATATGCAAGTTATAAAAATATATATTATTATATAATTATATTATTTATTTTATTTGCTACATGGTCTAATTATATATATATATATATTAATATATATTATAATAAGTTTTTTATTTTATTTTGTTATTATTTTTTTTAATAAATTTTTACTTTCAAATAAAATATAATTCAGATTTAAGCAATCTCTATTTATTATAAATAAAAAGAATTATAAAATAATATATTAATATAATAATTAAATAATTAAATTAATAATAATAAAATTAAGAGTATAAAAAATATATTAATATAATTTTATTATTTTATTTTTAAATTTTGTTTCGTTTAGTTTTGATTACGTTTTATTCCTGTTCAAAGGCTTAACTATTTTTTAAATTGTTTAAATATAATAATTTATTATTAAATAAATTTATTATTTAAAAAGTGTAATCATATATAAATATTTTTAATTTTTAATATAATATAATTTTTGTTTATTATAATTATAAATATATTATTAAATAACTTTATTATTTAAATATATTTTGATACCTGTATTTTTAAATTATATAATATATATATATATATATATATATATACAGGCTGACTTGTCAGACTTAACAGACTTTATAAACAACTCAGCCTTGACTTGTTTACTGAAACAAACCTTAAAAAAGGTCTGAACCTGATTTGTTTATTAAAAAAGTCAAGTTAGGTCAGGCCTAAATCAGGTCAAGCCACAGGCCCCTGTTAGACGGCCTGCCTTGTTTTTATCCCTAGGCAGGGGCCATCAGGCTTGGAGTGGAGGATATGCCGTGGGACTCTACTACCACTCCCTCACCTTCCTACTTTAGCAAATTATGAATAATTATAAAAGAGTTTATATATATATATATATATATAATTTAAATATTATCTTCATTGTAATTTTTAAGAATTTATAATTTATCTATCATAAAATATTTAATACTTTATATTAATAGATTTTTTTGTGCATTATATGAGTATTAGTATAATCATTATTTTTTAAAGTTTTCAATTTACATTTTTTTTATTCACTTGCACTTTTAAGAGATAATATATAATAGAGGGAGATATATTTACAGAGTATTATTATTTAGCACAAATTGCGGGCTATGTCATCGTTGAGGACTCATCTGCATGCATCCAACTTAATGAATGCACTTTCTAATTTTAATTAATTCTAAATTAAATGCATATTTTTTCCCTCATTGGTTAACAGAAGTAAAATCCGTTTTATACAATTCAAATTAAATAAATTGAAAGTCTCGATTAACTAATAGGAAATCAAGCGCATACTACTTGAATCAATTACTGTTAATTTTTTTATTTTGTCGAAACCGCAATTCGTCAGAAACTCCTCTCCTCTGAATCAGCCCGATAGAAGGGAGTGTTTTGCCCGGTTCCATTCTCTGACAGAGTAGTATGTGCCGAAATATATTTAACCAGAGTCAAATAAAAACAAAAACTAAACCATAATACTTTACCTTGAGGATCTTGGAATGTTAACTTGGTATCACAAATGCCACTGTACGATACATATTTAATTAGACATGGATTGATTTTTTTGGGTCCACGCTTCACAACTTCATCCCTGCGGATGTTCAAGATACACAACCCAAAAAGAACCGGAAACCAAGGTCTAAAGGCTCACGGTTGATTGTATAAGCCTGCAGTTCCTTGTTCTAAACTGTGCAAGTTCTCTATGCAATCATTGCAATGCAATGGTCGATTCTTTTAGTATTCAAATTAATCGAAGAGCTATAAAAACAGCTAAGCTTTATCCCAACTAAGAGAGGTTGGCTAAATCAAAGAGCTATACATAGTTAAATATCAAGAACCCACTATCCACTGGTGTCTTCAACACTGAAACTTCTATCAATCGCATAATCCACAAAACTGTAGAGAGGAAAGACTCGCTCCCCATACTTCTCAAATCCATCCAATTCTTCCTTAGCCTTTGCTCTAAGCTCTTCAGCCTTTTCTGTTGCTTTTTCGACTCCATAAACCTCTGCATAACTCTTCCCCTTATTTTTCCTGACACTACCTCCCTCAGCTTTCAATTTCTCTTCCAGAATATCATCCACAACTGCATACAGTACCCCAACAGCTCTCCCATACCTCCTCAGTCTCTCTATTTCATCATTTTCAGCTCCAGCCAACAATCCTCCACACACTGCAGAGCATTCCCCCATTTCACCAAACTTTTTTTCTTGTATAAATCCAACTGCATTTGGCCCTCCTTCGAGGTCCAGGAACTGCCCTGCAGCCATCCCAGTGGAGCCTACAGAGCGAGCTATCTCAGCAATCACACGAAGTATGTGGGGCTCAGGCACAAGGTCAGACGGAGTATGTGAAACAATGTGACGAAATCCAAGGGGAAAGAGGGCATCGCCAGCAAGAATTGCCATGTCAGTACCATACATGGTATGGTTTGAGGGCTGGCCTCTCCGTGAGGGGGAGTCATCCATGCAGGGAAGATCATCGTGTATCAATGAAGCTGCATGAACCTGATTGGAACAAAAATATCAGATTAATTATACACTTTTACAATCATGTACGTTTGAAATACCTAGAAACTCATTCAGTTGTTTATCATTACTATTATTTTTAATGACGTACCTATCAATATTTCATAATACCCAATTTTATCCCATCAAGGGTTCAAAACATGGATTCAAAGAATTTATTTTGTTCAAGAACAGTGCCAATAAAGGTACTGTTATAACTAAAGATTCTTATCAGTTCATCCAAAGGTCAATTTAGGTACTATTTTATACAGATACAGATCGAAAACAGTCATTTACACGGGCAACACATTACTCCTATAACTAAACATGCAACTAAGGTTATTTTAAAATTGAAAGAAAGCAGGGGGAATTAGGACAGGCTTATATGATTGATAAAACTCTAGTAGCTCTGCAACATAAGAGAAAGAAGAAATTGTGACAATGATAAACCAATATCTATCAAATGTATCAACATAAAGAAGAAAAACGAAATGACAGGGCACAGAGAGAAGATTACCATTTCGAGGGCACAGGCAGTGGGGAAAGCAGCAAGGCGGCTGCCCCCAAAGAGTTCATAAGCAGAGATGCACATAACGGGCGGGGCTCGCTTGGCACCTTTGGCAAGGACTGAATACCTCATAGCTTCATATATTTGCGGAGGAAACTGAACTGGAATAGCTTCATTTAGCTTCTGATTGATCTGCACCATTAGGGAAGTCCAATATGTCTTCAAATCAAAATGAACAGTTTTTGATTGAGTGGAAACTGAGGTAGGAGAAGACGCAGCCATAGAGCAGCGAATTGGAAGCTTCAAGCTTGGGGGTTTTGGGAGGTGACAGAGGTGAGAAGAGGGGGATGTTGCAATCGCAAAAGGAGCCATCCGCAATACTCTACATGAAAAAGAAGAAAGAATACATGTTACCAGATGCATGCATATTATATAGCAAAGACCAAAGAAACACCTAACCATCTAACGTTATCCCTACCAGACTCGGCTATTTCAGACTAGCTAATCACGGAATGCTATAAGAAACCTTAATATTCATTCAAACCAAAAGCATGCATTTCATCAAGCAACTGGTGGGCATGAAAATTTTATTACTAACATTAAGCATTAGGTCATTCTAATTTCAGACAAATAGAGTATAGCACACCAATTTACTATAAGCTGCAACCTGCAAAGCAACAAAACTCAGAAAACACAGTCCCTATGATCAACAATTTCCCATTTCAACCTCAGAATAAATCATGCTCAGGGTCAAACATTTCCATATTAAGCCAAATAATTAAATACCCTTAATACAAAATTGCACAGAATAAAAGGAAAAAAAAATACCAATTATTGAATCGGAGCTCAGAGGAAGAAAACAGAGCGGTAAGAAACGAGTGAAGCTCAGATCCGCAAGGTTGGGAGAGAGAGGTATGGGTGTGAATGGCGTTACGATAAGGTGTGGTATGGTGTTGGTGTGACCGCACCAAGTAATGATAAGGTGCTACTGTTGCTTCGGTAGTTCTTCTCCGTGGACTTGACCACTTCTCCTTTTTCTAACTTCATTTTTAATTTTTTTTAATTAATTTCTAGGTCCTTACAATTTCGTTCAATATTTATAATTTAAACAAATAAATTAAATTTGATATTATTATAGTTTTATAATTCTTGTATTCTTGTAATATTTATTCCGTTAGTAGCCTTTATTTTACACTTTCTCTCATTTTTAAAAAATATAATTGAAAAAAATGGCCGAACATACCAATTGTCATATGGGGCTGATATATCTGCCTCATTTTTTAAGGTAGGTCGACAACTTAGGTGATGTCTGGTGGAGGGAATGACAGGAAGTGATGATGTGGTAACATGGTTATCATATTTACGCCCCTCTCTTTTAATAGGTGTAGAGTGCCATATGATTTGATAGATTATGGGGTTTGTGTGTCCAATTTATCTCTTATGCCATGTGATGAATATTAGTAAATTTAATTTAAGTTTGATGGGATTCGACAGGGACCAAATAAAATTCGAAAAACAGAGTTTTAATAAAAAAGAGATTTATTTAATCCAAAATGGAAAGAAAAGTGGACAAAACTTGTCTGCAATTGAAGGTAGCAGACATGTTCTGTTTTGTCCATAAAAAAAAGAAGATAAATATGAATTGCTTGAGAAATGAATCAGGTTCAGGTTCTGGGTTGGTCCCAGTGGTTGCGATCCGTTTTAGCTAGGCTTTCAATCTCTTATCCCAATCCCATTCTGGTCAGATATAGCCCCACTCAGTTCACAACTTCAAACAGCATACCCCAATATATATTTTTTCCTACTCCAAGCTTTGCTCACAAATAAACACGAAGCTACTTCAAAAAATAATATGAAGAATCTCAATATTTCACGATACATAAAATTAACATTTTTAACGATCAAGCATCACTTAGAAGTTGAAAGAAAAAATTAAAATTTATCATATAAAATTTTATATAAAAATAAAATTAATAAGTACTTTATTACATTATTATATTTTAATAGAATATTATGTTTTTAAGATATAACTAAATATTAAATTTTAAATAATATATTTACAAATGTCTAAATTATATAATTTTAATATATATAATTATAAAAAAATGTAAAATAATTTAATGATTAAATTGATTAATTTTACATTATAAAAAATTAATAATAATTTTAAATATCTATATTTGACACCAATCGTGCACGTGTATATATTAATAATAATAATAATAATAGTAATTTATGATTCTCTACTATTGGTTCTTAAGATAAGATCACATTGCAATGATATAAAACAATTTCTCTTTCACAAATGGACCCCATGCGTATGGTGCTTTCACATCTCCAATTGTACACACTTGATTTGCGCTAAAACCCCTCAACGTTCTTTGAATCTCATTGGCTTTAGCAACTTATTGTCCTTGTCATTTTCCTCTGGAAGCTATAATATAAAGACTTGATTAGAACACAACCTTCTCAAACTCCACCCAAAAGCTATCTTTTTTTCCACTAATTTTTCCGACCTCATCACCATGCGCCTCCTTTTTTTCATTGCTACCATAACCCTGTCTCTGTGTTTGGGTGTTTCCTCGGCAGTGCTTCAGCGGTTTGAACAAGCACCAAAACCCGATGGGTCTCTTAGCTTTTTGGTGATTGGAGATTGGGGAAGAAAAGGAGCTTACAACCAATCTGAAGTTGCATTTCAGGTAATTAAATACACTCTAACCAGCCAATACCTGTGGCTGTGGTGCGCTTAATTAATGCTTATGCATGATCATAATCATTTACGGTGAAATTAGAAACCTCTAGCTATTCCACAAATGTTGGCAGAGGAACAACAGCCAATGAATCATGTGCTTTTCCTTGTTATTCAAACTGGTTATTGCATGTAGATTCCTCACACTCTTACCAATTAATTTATACCAATCCCACTACAAAAAACAATATGCTCTATTAAACAGTATTTTAGGACACTACTTAAATATATCAATACTTTCTTTAATAAAAATTTCTCACTTTTAGTTATTTAATATAACTCTAAGAATTAACGATATCATTTTCTTACAAATTAATAGGACAGTGGTTAGTATTTTTTTTAAAGAAAAGCCAATGCACGCGTGAGCAGTTTAGTTGTTATTTGGACCGAAACATCTAGGTCTGTATTGTACTGAGTATTTTTTTAGTGTGTTGGAAAAGCAAGGAGGCTAGTATATTGGGAATAAGAAAATCGTATTCGAGGAACCACGTGAATATACAAATGTAACTCTCTCTCTCTCTCTCTCTCTATATATATATATATATATATATATCTAATGAATAGCTGATTATCCTCTTTTTTTTAAAAAAAAATCTTAACGTGAGATGCTATTTATATGAGTTTAAAGGCCGTTGTTGAAAACATTTAAAATAAAAATAATAATACGACGATCTTTATGTAATTCAATGATAAAAATTTACTTAGGGTGTGATGAAGGCATTTGCTTCAAGTGTGGTGGTAATCTACTTAATAATAAGTGACATCTTCTTTGACCCAAAAAGAAATGTTGCATCTTCCATTTTCCTAGCTCATTTAAATCTTGACAGGTATAGAAGGTTAAATAAATATGATTTTTAAAAATGACATAAACGTTCTCCATGTTTTATCTACAATTTGTTTTTTCAAAATTTATGTTATTCTGTAAAAGTATGTTCAAAATATTATTTAATAGATGTAGTGATGATATTGAAACTTTGATCATGTATTCCCTCTGCCTTGAATAGGTTTTTACACCATCAATGTCACAGAAAAAAATAATATAATAAAAACTTTGGCATTACACATCGACTAATAAAGTCTTAGTAATTAAAAAGTAGGGAAGAAATGTAGTGTGTTTGTTTAATTGTAATTTGAACTAGGACAATAACAAGGTCACATTTTGTAAAATAGAAAGCATTATTTGTCTCATATTTTAGAAGGAAAACAATTTGAGAACTTTAGATGGATGAAACCCATGCAGCAACTACCTTTGAATTTGTCAGTTTTTAATAACTTTTTTGTGGGAAAAAATTAATACTTTTTTTTGTAGAATGGAAGAAATTAATTACTCTCTTTTATTTTTTTTTAAAATGGCCTAACAGAGTATTAAATTTCTTCACATCTTACTAGCAAAATCCCATATAGTTGGTAGATGCGTGAATTCTTTAAGCATACTTATTCTAATTTGATTACTGGTTATATGAATAGAAAAAAATTAAAATTGATTTTAATAATTTTAAAAAAATTAATTTTAAACTAAATATTAAAAAATATTATTAGTGTAAACAAATTTTTCAATGCATATTTAACTTCACACACACATATATATAAAGGATTCGTTGATGTGAAGTATTAAATTTGAACATTTCATATTATTTATATTATTTAATAATTTTAAATAAATATAAAATTAATTTATCTAATCATCAATTTGAATATTTTTGTTAAATAAAATAATTTTATAAAATTTTATATAAAACAAAATGAATATATGTCTTATCGTATTATTTTATTTTAACTTATAATATTTTTAAAAATAAATAAATATTAAATTTTGAATAATATATTTATAAATATTTAAATTATATAAAATTTGATATACATAATAATAAAAATAATATAAAAGAATTTAATAGTTGAATAGGTCATTCTTATATTTTATGAAAACATATTAAATAATGTAAAATTTTAAATTTAACAATATATATAGCATGGAAATTCTCTACAAATTTATTTATATCAATTTGAAATAATAATTGTTTAAGAATATAATCCAAATTCAACAGAACGCAGTCACGATTTCGTTCGCTTTCGTCTAAATCAAAATCGTTCCATTGAGCGTTTGTCTATCTATCTTAAATGTATTATAAGACACATTCTATTTTACGCACATATATTTTTTATTTCCTTGAATATGCTGAATTTTCATTTTTTATATTATTCACATCATTTTTTTGTTTGCTAAGTTCACGTTACTTTAAAATACAAAGTTCATTGTATATAAACTTTTATTTAATAAAATATTATTAATAAACAGCTAAATAAAATAAAAAATTATTTTATAAATATCAGTAAAAAAAATTGGCTTTTTTAAAAAAAAAAAATATTCTATGTTTATCACTTCTTTTTAGATTAAGAAAAATATTAATAACACATCTTGTAATATAATTTTGAAACACAATTTTTATTATCAACAAAAATAATGTTCGAATTTAATGATATTATTTAATTTAATTACATGGAGCTGAATTATATAAGCAATTATTTCTGTTCTTACAACAGGTCAATCTAGTTTTATAATTTTACTCTACAACAATGCCGAATTTGTCATCTGTCTTTTTGCGATCAATTGTGCAATTAATAATATATAATATATTGGAAAACTAAAAAAGAAAAAGGTTTTTGTAGATGGGAGTTATTGGACAGCAATTAAACATAGATTTCGTGATTTCAACGGGCGATAACTTTTACGACAATGGCTTGAAAGACATAGATGATCCAGCCTTTGACCAATCATTCACCAAAATCTACACTGCTTCCAGCTTGCAGAAGCAATGGTACAATGGTAACACTCCAAATTCATAAGTCTAAATTTCATATGTATCTGGGGACTATGGGAAATACGCTGGCTCTTGAAAAGAGATGCTTCTTTTTCAGACACGTATGGGTGCCCTAGAAAACCCGTTCAAAATCCAGATAAACTTATCATGATATACGTTAATATCTTCTATTTTTTTTATTTAAGTCGTAAATTATAATTAGTATCGATAAAGTAAATGTGTACGTATATGATATTATTTAAATGTAAAAATGTAATTATGTTAATATTAATTGTTTATTTATTTATTTGGGTACGATGGTACTTGTACAGTTTTGGGGAATCATGACTATAGGGGCGATGTTGAGGCACAGTTGAGTCCTGTCCTCAAGAATCTTGATAAGAGATGGTTTTGCTTGAGATCTTATATTGTCAATGCAGGTGAAAAAGAAACTTTAATTTTTATTTTTATTCTTTTACATTTCGTTCTAAAAGTAGAGATCTTAAAGATGAAATGCTCGTACTAATGAGTTGATGCAATTGCCACGTCCATATTGTTTCAGAAATTGCAGAGTTTTTCTTTGTAGATACTACTCCGTTTGTGGACCATTACTTTACAGAACCTGGGGATCACGTTTATGATTGGAAAGGCATAAGGCCTCGAAAACGATACATTTCCAACCTCCTCAAGGTTTTACTGCTGATGATTCTTCTGAACAGTAGTAATGTAAAACCAAAAACTAGAAAAGGATCACCAAACAATAGGAATTTTTTTATCAAAAGAAAATGAAAACGTAAAAATCATATACTAAGAGAAATATTAAATAAGAAAAATATTTGCAATGATAGTTACTATACATTAAATTTCAATAGGATGTGGATTCGGCTTTACAACAATCGAACGCAAAGTGGAAGATTGTGGTGGGTCACCATACAATCAGAAGTGCCGGCCAACATGGGAATACGGAAGAGCTTGTAAAGCAGCTTCTCCCGATTCTGGAGGTAACATAGCAGCTTTAACATATTTTCAAACATCTATATCTTTCATCCTCATGAGTTGTTTTATAGGGCTGTAATAGTTTTTTGGGTATAGATAATTATGGTATGGATAAACTAGCTTCCATCAAAGTTGAAAGTGCCTAATTGATTTTCAGGCAAACAATATTGATCTTTTCATAAATGGACACGATCACTGCCTACAGCACATAAGCAGTCTTGACAGGTTTGTTGTTATACATGTTTCTCATGTCATGTGTGTGTAGTGAAAATAGTATATATAACTCTGAAATATGTAAATAAATTTCAGTGCAATTCAATTTTTGACGAGCGGTGGTGGGTCAAAGGCGTGGAGGGGTGATGTGAAATGGTGGAAGCCTGAAGAGATGAAGTTGTATTACGATGGGCAAGGATTCATGTCTGTGAAGATCACTGAAACTGAACTGGACATAGCATTCTACGACGTCTTTGGCAATGTTCTACACAAATGGAACACATCCAAACAGCTTCACTCATCTTTGTGAACACGTTCAAATGCAGTTATTATATATGAAACAAAAAAGTAGTTTTGGTGACAATAAACATCAATTTGTGGTGAACATAATTGCTGGTTTTAGTGGTTTAATTGGCTTCCGATTTTACACTATTATTCAACTGACTAAAATCCGTGGCATGATATTTACTTTCTATAATGTGGGTGCCTTTATGTTAATGTTTGTAAGTGGTTAAGGTGGCAGATAACATTCAATGAGATTATATGTGGGATGTGCACAAATTTGTGTGAAACTATAAGAAAAGTGGATTTGACTACTTTAAATAAGTGAATAAATATGCGGTGGATAAATATTTTGATAAGTCTTATAGAAAAGAAAATCTATAAAAAATAATAATTTTTTTCATAAATTAGAAATATTTTATTTTTTTTTAAATTTTTTATTTAACCTTTTTAATAGTTATTTTTAACTTACTAAAGAAGTTTTATTTATTTTTAATAATTTTTTTTCTACAAGTTCACACAAACAGAGTGAAAAACTGAATTTTTTTTACGTTACATATCTTTTCATTTTAAAAAAGTTAACTCTAATTAAAATGATACACATGATCAATTTTAACTTATAAAAATTTTAAAATTTAAAACCAGATTTTAATTTATAAGAAGTTATAATTTTAACTTTTAATTTTTACTAAATAAGTTAAAAATTATAAAAAGTTATAATTTTTTTTTTGTCAGAATAAATTCTTCCAAATGAATTCTTAATGTATGATAGAAGTGATAGAAGGGCTCAAGGGCGTAAAATGGAAGCTGGGGAAATAAAAAGAAAAATTTAAATTATGATAACACTCTTTGGTCCTGTCAATCGTAGGTAAGCTATTCATAAGTATGGGATTTTTGTTTATTATAAAGAGAATCCTCCCTATTACGAAATTTCATTCTGCAAATTAGACTTGAAAAAAACGGTTACTTTAAAATTCTTTCAAATCAAACTAATATTTAATTCTGAAAGCAAATAACAAATTTAAAGTTTTTTACTTATAAGTAGGTTCTTGTTTTGACATTTATCTGGATAATTGTACTGCCCTGATTAGGTGAATTTTCATTAGGAAATTTTATAAAAGCATTATTTAAAGCTTGATTGATTATTAACCTCTCCTTATCTTTCTACAATGGATTTGCTAAGACTTTTAATTCCCTTATATATATTCTGCTTTATTTTAAGGGTTCTTTCTTTACTGGTTATAAAAGTCAAATTATGACCAAAAGAGTTGCTTGAGAAGAATTGCTACATAGCAGTTTCTTCGACATACACTCACAAGAAAACGACATTTGAGCAATATATAGGTTCTCCGTACGTTCAATTCGCCAAATCTGTTCTAAAATTAATAATGACCTTTTAACGTCAATTAATCAAATGTGTGAAATGATGAAAGAATGGGGATGCATGTATCATTTCAATTAACCCCATTATATCGAGGTAGCTAAGTCGATTAAGGTTTCAATTGTGGATTAAAAAACAAGGTTTGACCTTTTTTGAGTTATTTGATTTCATTGCCGGCAATAATTATAGTTTTTGGTATAATAATTTGAACGACAAACAAGATTTGAGTGTGTTTTTATCTCTTAGAGAAAGGTTTCCAGCCTCTTCTCATGTTTCAATAGACGAAAACTATATTTCATAAGAGAGAGAGAGAGAGAGAGAGAGGATTATAATACTATTTAACTACAAACGAGTTGTATTATTGTATCCTTACTTCCATGCACGACTAACTTTCTAGAAACATGCTACATTTAAATAACAATTTTATTAACCTTATTTAAATTATTAATAATAATAATACTTTTTTAAAACCAAATCATTAAATATATTAAAAATATAATAAATATTTTTATTTTAATAAAAAATTATTTTTTAATTACTTAAATTCAATCTTAAAATAAAACTATTTAAATAAAAATATATCAAAATAGTTATTTCAAATAAAATATACAGTCAAGCAATGATTAAACAAACAAGCTATAAATAGTATTGGAGTCATTATCAATAGAGGTCATTGGTTATTTGCAAGTTCATGTGGTCCAAAATTTTCCTCTCATTAATTGTCGGATTTGTTAATGAGGTTTTGCAACGTTTATTTAATAACCTTACGTAGTATCTTACTTCATAGGGTTTTTTAAGTTAATACTATTTTTCATCTCATTTATAAAAAAAAAATAGTTATTAAATATTTTTAATTTTATATAAATAAAACAATTTTTTAAATACATTAATTGTTAATTTTTTTATACTTTTATTTTTTATAAACTTTATATTGATAAAGTACTCATATTTTACATATAAAAATAAATATATTTATTTTTTAATATATAATTTACCAATTTTGTTTATCTAATAAATCTAATCAACCTAATTAAAAATTATTAGAATTTAATAAAGTTCGAGTTGAATTACGAATTTATAATATTAAGATCCAATCCAAGCTAATATACTCCATAACTCATCATATATGAATTTTTTTACTATTAATTTTACACTATTTTAATTTTTTAAAAAATTTGTTTGAAGTAACAAATTAAAGATCGATAAATAATTTAATCTTTTAACTTTTAAATATTGTATATTATTTTAAATATGAAATGAATATTAAACTTTGAATAATACTTTATAAGATGTTATCAAATTTTTTTACTTTATAATTTTTTAACTCTTTATTTTATATGAATATTAAATTATTAACATTATATTATGTTTTAAAATAAATAATTTTTTATTTAATTTTAATATATATTTTATTTAAAATGTTAGAATTAATTCACTACTCATATACATAATTTTAATTTTTTACACATGATTGTATATATAATTTGACTATCCAACCCAACTCAAAAAGTTTTAATTGGGTCAGGTATTTTTTATATTAAAACTCACCCATTCCAAATTCCTAAACATCCAATATAATCCCTCAATTTAATTATTTAATATTATAATTTTTTAATTAATTTTGATAAATGGAGTACTCTCTGGATAAGGTGGCAGCCTAATTTACTAATTTATCCGAAACATGTACCTATCTTCTGTTAAGGTGTTTAAAATTGCCTTTGCCACCCGTGGACCTACTCACTTTGTGTGGCTCTCGGAAAATTTGCAGTCTATTTCGTTTTATTTGGTTAAATTAAGGATATTATTAATATTTTTTATTTATCAAATAAATGTACTAAATTATTAATAAAAAAAATTAAATTATAAACTTTGTAAAAAAGCTGTTCGTTTTGATAAATAACTCTGATTGAATCAGCTGTGCTTTCAATTGTAAATTATAAACTTTAAGCAATCAATTATAAACTACTAATTATAGTCTTTCAGTTAGTTTTACCACATACAACCATAAGATGAGGCTTTTAATTTAAAAGAAAAATTAACAAAACCATTTTTTATATTATTATATTTTGAAACTAACATTTTAATTTTAATTTTAAAATTATACTATTCTACTATTTTGTTATCTTAATATTTTTATTGCATTAATAAAATTTCCTTTTGCACTTTTTTAATAGAATGTGGAAATGAAAATTACTAGATCTGTAAGAAATAAGATAAGAAATAAATATGCACTTAATTTAAGAAATTATAAGGCAATATATAAATATCTTGTTTAATTATCTTTTAATTTGTATTTAAATAGAAACAAATATGAGCATTTTGAAACTATGGGGCTTATAGCTTCCCTACTGAATATGATTGGTCTTATATGAAGAATCTTACTGCACCCTTTTGTCAATCCATTTATCTATTAGTTATTCAATCAATTTATGCATAAATTAAACTAACTCATTCAATTATAAAAATACAAATTATTGAATAGATAATCAACTATTCATGATATTTTGTAATTCATTAAATAAATTAATTTAAATTTTATTAGTCCAACATAAATCTTTGAAGGATGAGTCCTAAATTATACATATAGTGTTGAATATGTATAAAAATATTAAAGTTTATTTTATAAAAATAATTAATGATCAGTTTTTTTATTAAATGATTTAAATTTTTTAAAAATAAAATAGATTCAAGATTTATTTTTTATTCATAAATTATACTTTGATTTAAAATTTATCCAATCTATCCATTTTACCCCTGCTCTTGATCAATTTCTCTCTGCATCATCCACAACTTACAAGTAGTAGATCACCAAAGAGAAAGCCCTTACACTTAAGATCAACATGGTTGACCGTTAGAGAGAAAAAAGAAGTTGATTTTATGTTATTAAAATTAAATATAAAATAATATGATTACATATTGAAAGTATTATGCTTTATTGTTCAATATCATTTCAGTTTTAAATATGATTTTATATATAGTCTACCAAGATCTGGAAGAGAACATCTTCAAGTTGTCTTGTTGAGTTGAAAGTGCTAAATTGAAAACTCGTCATTTTAATTTAATGTTTGCGTATTAAATTAATTTTCTTTTGACATGATTGTTTTATACATTGTTGTTGTGTAGAACTTTCTCTCTCTTATTTTTAATATTTCATTAAGCTCCGTTAATTATACGCGCTTAAAGCAAACAACGCTTTTGGGTACTTTTCGTTAGAAAGCAACATCTATTTTTTATGACTATGAGGAAGGTAGTGTTGGAGAAATTAAAAGAGCAACAAGAAATGAATCGAAATAGATGAATGATATAATTGAACAGACTCTGGCTTCCATGGTTGTGATCAAATATATGGATAATGGATGGTGTGTCAGTCACTATAAATAGGCAGCAGTTCTTAATTCATAAATCGTTGCAACATGTTTCCATCTATCTACACTCTCTCGCATTTGGGTCACCATCATCTCCATTGTTTCAAGGGGTAATGTTCTTAAATTTAATGTTGCATCGGTGTAATTGCAATACAGTTTATATCAGTAAGTGATATTAAAACATAGAAACAGCCTTTTACTTAATTTATCGTGCTTAGCACCGACCCACTACATTCTTTTTTTTATTTATTGTATTTTACTATTAATTATTCATGCATGGCCTCTCTATATATAGTTTTACATTATTAAAATAAGAACTATCATCATTATATATATATATATATATATATATATATATATATATATATATATATATATATATATATAATATTCATATCAAAGACAGGTAGAACATTTCTAGTTTAGAATCCACTAAATGACACACAAGCTTCCTCTGTAGTCCATTTTACTTGAATTGCTTCACATTTCAAGCACAAATAATTTATTCTGATTGTCCCATCTTTTGGGATTGAAAATTAATTTAATCGGGAAAAGGTCAATTGAAATTATTTAGGGTTTCCAACATAGTTTATTGGTCTTCGTGAAAAGCGCAAGTCCACTAAGTGAAAGATAAAAACAATAAATTATTATCAATAATTTCGTATATTATAGAAATATTCTAAAATTCAGTAAAATATAAAATAAGGATATAAAATTTACATTATCAAATAGAAACTTATAAATATAATTTAAAGGATTTTTCTATATATGAAAAAAATACTAAAATATAATGTTTTAGAAAAATTATAAAAATATGAGAATTTTTAAAATTTGTCACTAAGAGTTTGACAGAAAAAAATATTATTCAGAAATTTTGAATTTTTGTAATTATTTTCTAAAATTTTTCATAATTTTTTTAAAAATTTGTTAATATATTTTTGAATCATCGTCAATTAGTTTTTGAGACTTTTTGTTGTTTTATTTTTAAATTTTTACACTTATACTAAATTTTACGGGTGATTTTTAAATTTAATGTTTTTGTAATTTTTTAAAAACACTTATTTTGATATATATTATTTTAAAGTATTATATATAAAAATAATTTTAATTTAAGATTATTAAAAATTATAAAAACAGGAAATATGAATTTTAAAAATTAAATTAAAAAAAGTAAACGAAGAAAGAATCATTGAATAAATTTAATGAATACAAATAAAATGATCATAAATAAAATGATGAAAAGAAGAAAGAAACAATTTTTTTTATTAATTCCTTTGTTTTTTTTATTTTTAATTATATGTTATAAGTTGTAATAACAACAAAACTAGAAAAACAAAAATGTGCGGTCCATACCGGAGAGAGACGCCGGCGGAAAACTTATTGGAGCTTGTTTGTATTATGTTATTTTTATGAAACACCAAAAGAAAAATAGATTAGCAGTGTACGTAGTTCATATAAAAAATATAATAGATTATATGATGTGACTGCAAAAAATTATAAAAAAGTAATAAAATAAATATTAACACTATTTAAACATTATAAATTAAAGTTATATTTTTAATACGTGGTATTTTAGTTTCTAACATATTAAATTTAATAATTTGATTTTTAAGTTAAAATCGTTAATCTAGCCTCTAAATCTAGTGTTATTAAACTAGAAGTTATCATCAATAAATTAATTTAGATGAAGGAGCATATGTTTGATTCGTTTTAAGTGTGATTCCGAGTTTAATAAGATGTATAACAAAAATTACTTTGAGAGCTCATTTCATTATGCTATGGATATTTTTATTTTTATTTTTAAATTATCTCTTATAAAAAATATTTACAATTTAAATCAAAATAACTCAATGTCAATTTGACTGAGCCAATAAGTTATTAATTAATGAAATATTAATTGAATTAATAAAACCATATATACATTTAAATATATATTAGGTAATATGATAAAAAAAAAAAAAAGTCAAGTTTATTAATCATGTAAGTGTCTTTAAAAATAGTTAAATAGATTGTATTGAAAAATTTAACCGGCCAAATTAATTTACAAAGTTTATAAAGCTAATATTTTTTAATTAAAAATAGCTCAATATTGAATTTATGATAAAATTTATATTATATTAAATTTATACTTTAAGTTTAACTTAATCTTAAAAATAGCTCATAAAGTGATCATTGTTTTAACTTTTGTAAATTTTTCTTTCTTTATGGCATCGAATAGAACAAATTAATTTCAAATTGATTTTTTCTAAACATATTAATAATGATATAATAAAATATATTTCTTTTTATATGCTTTAAAAATTCAAAAATTAAAATGAAATTATTCATTTCGTTTTCGATAATATATTTATTTGTTTTGTTACATATTTATAACTGAGTATAAAATTCTATTTTATTTATTCTTATTTTCATAATAAGTATTTGATATAGAGAGTAAGGTAAAATTTTAACAATATTTATCATTAAAGTGGAATTTTAACATATACAATAGAATTAAACGCAGTTGAATGCAAAGCTTTAAGGTAGAAGCTAACATGCCTAGTACTATTACCACTGATGCATTCTTATAAATTTGTGATGGCACATTTGCGTCTTTTGCTGCTGTTGGCTTTAGGCATCACCGAAGGCATTACCCCTAAACAGTAGACATTGCCCCTCCATGGCCATATGAAGCTTGAACAGGAGAATGAAATATAGACTAATGTACAATTTTTAAAACTAAAACATCTCTTTTAAGTCCCTCGTAAGTTGTCTTATCTAACTCTTTTCGTGGGGAGTATTATTATTCCAATACCTTGTTGGATCTGGAGTATTGTAATTTTTTTGCATATAGTAGGATGAATGTTATGCCACTTGCAGGGAGAAGGTTTAATTGTAACGTTTGTACTTGCAGATTAATATCACACATGAAGAGTGTGAAAAAATCTTATGAAAAAAATAAAATTAACATGAGTCTTTAGAATTATTTTTAAACATTAAAAATTAGTAATTTGTGTTAAAAAATTACTCTTTCTGATTTTTTTAATAGGATAATGTCAGAAACTTTTGATGGTCCTATTTAAAAAACAACTTACAAATTTTTGAAATATTTTGTATTTTTTCATATTTACCCTTGCTCCTTTACAGTGAAATTAAATTATGGGCTTAATAGCTTTTAAGTGACACAATTAACATGAAAATAAAGTTTGAATTTAAAATATTACGAGTAAATTTGAAATGCTGTATACTAATTTTTTTGAAAACTAATACATTAGCTAATTTTAACATGTTTCTTAATATCTGTACTCTGGCGATTGTCTTATAAATAGAACTGAAAAAAAATTACATAAAATTTATATAAATATATAATAAACATCTTTTAAAATTGAAAAATATGACTTCAAAATGATTAAAATCAACGCTAACCATTAATGGTAAAAAAAAAAAAAAAAAACTAGTTTTGGCGAAGTCCCATGAAGTCTAGAACTAAGCAGGTATATTCCAACACAGTCCATCTCTTACAACATGGGATGAATTGAGGTTTTGCGTACAGCATAATATTTACTTTTGATGTAAAATATTTAACCAAGGGTTAGAATTAATATAAGTCTCAATCTTAGGAGACATGTACTTTTCTTGTTTAGGGGTCCAGAGGAGACATTCACGTTAATGAACTCTGAAATATATAATCCTTACAATAACGTGCCAATAACTGGAATCTGCACAATATCTCGTTTAGTTGGACACAATCCCTTAAAAGAATTTTTTTTTATGAAAACAATTCATTCAACAAGACGTTTACACAGTCTTATTAAAAACCATAATCATAAGATGTTGAAAGTTCAAAGGATACTTACATTGCATAATACAACCAGTTTCTGTACAAGTCCACTCGGGCACCCCATAAAAAAGTCCCATATTTAATTCACGTGTCAGCAAAATACTTGACTTGTTAGATGGGGCAATAAAAACTAGCTACTACTTATCGCATTTCCTACTTGCCTAATTTGTTATGGACCACACTCCCACTTGCACCCATCTTCAACAATTTTAATTTGGGAAACATTAATATATCCTTTAAAATCTACTCAACAAACAGAAGAATTCAAATCTGCAAGAAGGGTAGACCCATGTTTTGTGCTGGCTTTCTCTATCCCTCTCCCACTGGGACAATGTCTTCCTATATTTGAAATATAAATATATCTATATGACGAGCAATTCAGCTAAAGGTGCATCATCTTTTACGTCACGTGAAAAGCCTTCCTACTCTTTAACCTTCAAAAGCCTCTCTTCCCCATAATGATCTCTTCAATTTTTTGTTATTATTATTCCTTTGGCACTTTCTATATAATCCTTTCCTTGTCGCCAAGAATACCACATTAACATGCCAGGAAAGCAAGCAGAAGTGAACACCTCTAGAATCACCTTCTCCTCCACTCTTTCATGCAATCATTCATTTGTCAATTTTTATAGAGCTAGACTTGTATATGCCATTAATTTCTTTAGGACATGTGGCCTACATTAGTGGCTAATAAGATATTCAAGAAGCGAGTGGGAAGCAGCAAATTTATAGCAGATTATCCTAGTTACAATGAACCCTTGTTGGGTATTGTAGATATTGATCAGAACTCTAAGACCATTCTTAATGATCACAAGGACACACAAAAATACAAGTAAGATAAAAAGTATCCTCTTCATGATCTAGTTTTATGTAATATTTTTCTATCTTATGCATCTTATATAGAGAAGCTGCAGATGACTGCAGTGGATGCATGATGAAGTTCAATTCTATTCTGGGTTGGTTCTGCTTCTACGGTTTTATTCTTTTATTTATTTTCTTGCCCTAATTAATTTTTCTGATATTGTGTTTCTTTATTCATGTTAAGGGTGTTTGTTAGTACATGGAACGTAGGTGGGATTGCACCGGATGAAGATTTGAATATAGATGATTTGTTGGAGACATGCAACAACTCTTGTGACATCTATATACTTGGGTATAGTCAAAACTGTTCAATATTTCTAGCATAGAAAAATACTTGTTGAAATGTCAATAAAGAAAATAAAGTTTTTATCTGATAATTAAATATATTAATTGTTCCTTTTTACTGTTTCAAAATCCAGGTTTCAAGAAATAGTGCCTCTAAAAGCATCAAATGTATTGGGATCTGAAAATAGTGAGATTTCCATGAAATGGAATTCCTTAATCAGGGAAGCTTTGAACAAGAGAACACATATTGAGAGGGACAAAGATCAACGTGATGCTAAAAAACAGGAGCTAAAGAATATTTTTCCTTTTAAGAAGGAAAATCCAGCTAAGTACTGTGAAGCCCCACATGATTTCCAATGTATCATTAGTAAGCAAATGGTTGGAATATTAATATCTGTGTGGACTAAGAGAGATCTTCGTCCCTTCATTCGGCATCCAAGTGTCTCATGTGTAGGCTGTGGCATAATGGGTTGCTTAGGAAACAAGGTAACTTTGACAAAATCCACTGAATTGATTTTACACAAGCCATCACTGTCAACATCAACTTATGTTTAGGCACCAAGGACGCTTTTTGAATGAATTGCTTAATTAAGTAGTTATATTCAATAAGAGTAATTACATGAGAGTTTATTCATAAGCTTTACTCCAGAGTTTATTGATAGCCAACTTTCATAAATCCAAATAAATTACATGTTCTTCCAAACATTCTAATTAGTGCTTAATAGTCAATAGTGTAAGTTATTTAAAAATCCTATATAGGTCTCTTTTTTCGTTTCTCAATTCCAATTAATTTGCAGGGTTCTGTATCTGTGAGATTTCAGTTACATGAAACAAGCTTCTGTTTTGTGTGCACCCATCTAGCTTCAGGGGGCAGAGAAGGGGATGAGAAGTATAGGAACTCTAATGTTGCTGAAATTTTTTCCCGGACATGCTTTCCTAGAGGCCCTTTGCTTGATTTGCCAAGAACGATTCTTGATCATGAGTAAGTGAATTTTGAAACCGTCCAAACAAATTCTTGATAAGGGTCTTGCTAATTAGTGTAGTTAGAACATTAGTTAAGGAGTTAAAAATAAAGAAGCTAATAAAAATTATGTTTGATGCATTAAACTTGATTTGCCAAGAACGATTCTTGATCATGAGTAAGTGAATTTTGAAACCGTCCAAACAAATTCTTGATAAGGGTCTTGCTAATTAGTGTAGTTAGAACATTAGTTAAGGAGTTAAAAATAAAGAAGCTAATAAAAATTATGTTTGATGCATTAAAAATCACAGAGAGAAGTCTATTAATAATATGTGTTTATTTTTAACTACTTAATTAATACTCTAAAGACACTTATTAGCATTTGTCTCTTAATAATTCTCCTCCCCCCTTGCTCTTTCTTTAATAATTATGGCTCTTTCTATAAAAATCATGAAAACAAGGTGCAAATATTATATATGTAGATTGTTTCATTTGGTTTCTTGGCTCTTCAAGTAAATAATTTGCTTAATGAAGAAGCATCATTAATAATAATCTCCAGCTTTGAATTTGTCCAATAGAAATAATGCGGCCAAAACATTAATATATTATTCTTTGCTGGTTTAAACGCGTTAAAATAAACTTAAATTACAAAGTTAATTAACATTGAGAAGTTGTAAAGAAATTGTTCAGCTGTATAGTATAGGTCTGCGAGTAAACAAAAAATTGCCAAAGAAGCCAAACAGAACAGAAAAGAACACTGAAAAGAAATATATTTGCAATGGTAACCGTTACAGTTAAAGAAATACATATTCATATGACAGTAACAATTAACCTCATATTGACCACTGAAGCATCAAATGAATGAAATATTCTCTCTCAACTTGCACTTAATTAGTTGTAATTCGATATACATGTTGCAATATTTTAGTGACCTAATCACACCTTGTCTTTGTGCAGTCATGTAATATTGCTCGGAGATCTAAATTATAGAATTTCTCTACCAGAAGAAACGACACGTTTACTTGTTGAAAAACGAGACTGGGATTCCTTATTAGAAAATGATCAGGTATATACAATTGGAGATTTAAAAAATTTCTTTAAATTTGTTTGCATTATATTAATCTCTAAGACTCTAACTTAATTATATCCAATAAAAAAATGAAGCTATTGATGGAGCTAATGAGTGGAAACATGTTAAGAGGATGGCAAGAAGGAGCAATCAACTTTGCTCCTACCTACAAGTATTGTCCAAATTCAGACATTTATTATGGATGTTTTTATCACGGAAAAAAGACAGAAAAAAGGCGAGCGCCAGCATGGTAAGAGACAATAAACAATCCATAATTATGCTCACGTTCAAAATATTTACAATTGAATAATAATTACAGTTTTCATATTTTTTAATAAAAATTTACTACTTTTAGTTACTTATCCTCGGTCTTGAAGTTAGCATTTTCCTAATAATTATTAAAATGTTGTCTTGTTTGTTCTTAATTTAGGTGTGATCGAATAGTATGGTACGGCAAGGGTTTAAAGCAACTTCAATACACTAGAATTGAATCAAAACTATCAGATCACAGGCCTGTTAAGGCAATGTTTATAGCAGAAGTCAGAGTTTTACCAGAGCTGAAAAACTTGCAAAACTTGTTTCTATCAGAAAGATTCGAGCAAATAAAAACTTACGAAGTTTCCACCACTGATGAATTTGGTTGTAGAAAACGATCCAGCTTCCAGTTGTAAATCATTAGCGTGATTATGTACATAAATGTTTAATTTTGCATCTAAAAACAAGAAAACTCAGCGGAATAAATTCTAGGGGATCGAATATTATAAGATTTTGTTGCTGATGAGTATCCAGTGAAGTTGGTTGTTGTAGAATTATCTAGTATTTATGTTATGCTATAAATTATCATCCCAAAAACAATTTCGGATCTTCTGAAGCTTAATTTAAAACCCACATGCCTCCAAATTAATAAATCAAAACTTTTTTTTTGTGTAGATTGTCACCTGAGAATCAAATAAATTGAAGGATTCAAAGTAATAAACCAGTATGCTTCGGAAACGACAGAATAAATTATAAGGCAATTATTGAGCTAGTTAAGGTCCTGAATAGTTAACGTTGATAAGTGGGACCATCACCCTCTTATCCTCTGTGCATGAGAAGAGCAAGGTTAGACAATTTTTGTATTGATATGAGTAGAAGATATCGTTTTATAATGCAATTTGTGACAAGAAATGTGACCAGTGGCATATTACAAATGAAGGCTTCTCAATTGGAGTTGTGTAATCCAACTCCATCTGAAAGGGATCTTGATTATTGAATCGTATCCGTTGCAACTTATTTTTTCTGGTCAATGTTATCAGGTGCAACTTGCTTTTGCCAATTACTATTCTCAGATGCTCGTCTATAGCAAAAAGAGTTGTCTTTATGAAGCACTTTAATGTTCTATTTCAATTTTTCAAATTCCTAGTTTCATTAGTAATTGTTTCCGATCCATGGATTCATGAGTACGTTTAAGAATTGGGCTGGGCCTGGCACCAAAAATTTCTCAGAAAATTTGTTCTCTTTTAACCCGTGAAACATTTTTTTAACATAGTAAAAAAATTAAGAAATAATGCATTTTTATTAAAAATTAAAGTACATAATATCTTTTTAATTTTATAATATATTGTAATTTTTCCTATTTGTAAGAAACAATTACTCTTTTTTTAATCTAAATTATAAAATAAATAAATACTCATTTTAAATATATTAATTATTAATATTTTTAATACCTTTTTATCATTAAACTTTTTTAATATTTAATTCATTTAACGTATAAGTTATGATCATTTATAACTATCGACCCTTTGAACTACAGCATGAATTTATGATATATAATTATTTTATTTTTAATTTTGATAACTTAATTAATTTTTATAAAAAAAGATCAAAAGAATATTATGCATAAGTTTTTATTATGTTTTATAGTTTTAAAAAAATCGTAAATTTGGAATTGGATGATGTATGCAAGCAAGAATTAGAAAAGGCAATAACAAAAGATCCGTAGCTAATTTCCTAAAGGGAGTCCCGTTTCTCTCTCATTTTGATCCTTTGGTCAAACTGATTTTGATTCTTTCACATTCCTTTATGATTTATCAACAGATGTTTCGCAGAAAGTTTTCCCTATCAGCATCGTTTTCGTCACCAAAATGGTGACACATCGCAGCACACACTTCACTGCACAGTTATAAAATAGCTCCATCAAATTTCAAATTTTTATTTTATTTTTATGCATTCTGAATTTAGGGGAAAAAACAAGGGTTTAAAGTAATTCTAATGATAGCAACTGTAATTTTAAAAACTTGCTATGAACCCCACAGACATAGTTTTCACTAAAGACTAGATATAAGACCTGATTCTTTAATAGAAAGCTATTGCTGTTGGGCATTATTGAGGAAAATAATGGAGGGTAGCGAATAATTTTTGTGCAAACATGCTAAAGTACCTTTTTTTTCAATCTTTCCTAATAATTTTTTAAGAATCACTTTTTTTCCCTCTTTGTTCATACACAATATAAGTGTAATACACACATCCTTTTTGATTCTTCATAAATTCATTTGAAAAACTTTTGAAGAAAAATTATTAGCGCCAAATAACGTTTTTGTTAATTTTAAACTTTGGCCCCATCTTTACTTCTAATTTACCTTTGGCTCACTATGATTTACTTCATTCTCTCCTTAAACTCTTTAAACAATAAAGTCATATATTTTCCGTTCGTCCAATCTATATTCCATTGAAGCTACTCTTCCATTTTGACTAACTACTTACGTATGTATCGTCTACTAAATTCAAAAATTGTCCTTAGCCTCACGAAATATTAAAACATTCCCAATCTTTTAGAAATTCAAATAAAACTAAAACTGACTAATTATGCAAAAGAAAGTGAAGTGAAGTCCATGTATCTCGGGTGATAATTGGCTACAGAAAGGCGAAGAATGTATTAGACAAAAGAATGAATGTGGTCACGCAAATTCCTAAGCCTCCACTGGTAATCCGATGAAAAAGCAAGAAGACCGAGTCTCTAGAGGCCACCCTTTGTTTTCTACTCACAAACATCTCACTCATTTCACTATCCTTTATTCACAACACACCCAACCTCTCGTCATCGTCAAAAAACCTAAGCGTATTATGGCTGATAGCGCAGAGTGTGAACGCGTTTTCAAGCGCTTTGATGTGAATGGGGATGGCAAAATCTCGTTGGCAGAGTTTGCTGAAGCTCTCAAAGTGTTAGGTTTAACTTCTCAGGAGGAAGTTGAGCGTCGAATGGCAGAGATTGATACAGACGGTGATGGCTCCATTACATTGGAAGAGTTGATTGAATTTCAAACCGCCAACCCTAATTTGATGAGGGATGTTTTGAATAAACTCTAACTTTAGTTTTTTTCATTTTGTTTGACTTCCTTTATCATTCATTCATCGTATCATCTTTTGTTATCTAAAAACTGTTTATTTCGGTGCATTTTTTGGTGGGGCTTCCTTTTATTGTTATGAGAAGCTAGTCTTGCTGGTCAATCGTTCTATGTATGTTTTGTCTTTTTTTTAAAAAAAATTTGCAGTAAGTTCACGCATGTTAAAGTAATGTAACCTTTTTAACTAAATATAATTCATTCTAAACTAATTGAACATTTAACCAATAGATTTAACTGTTTATAAGAAGATATGCAATTAATCATTTATTTAACCTATTCAACTATACTTTCCCGTTTTGGCTTAGGTGCTCGTAAAATCTTCTTATGTAGTTCACATATTCAAATTAATCAATCGTTAGCTGATAATATATTATATTAAAAAAAATTATCAAACGTTAATTATGATACTAATACTTCTAAAGTTTAGCCCAGGCTAAGGGGTCGTTTAGTTTTACAATTTTTTTTTATTTTGTTTTGATTTTTAATTATAAAATTGTCTCATCTTATTTTTCTTTTTTTTTTAAATATTTGTTAAGGAAATAATTAAATTGACTTTTTTATTCTTATTATTTCCTATGAAAATATTAAAAAAATTAAAATAAAATTTAAAATAAAAATAATAATGTTTTTAAAATAAAAAAGTCTTTTTCTTTACCAAAACAAAATCCTTTTAATATACGATTATTCCTAATAAATAATATATCAAAATATTATTAAGTATATTTTCAAAGAACAAGAGTAAAAGTATATTAACATTTCCATCATACACATACTTTCTTATGTGGATACAATATCCCGTATAATATTGTGATCATTTTCGCCCTCTCGCATAACCGCACGCTGTTTCGTTCCATCTCGATCTTCATCAAAATGAAGCAAATGAAAGGATCTTAAGCTCCACGCTAAAAGAGAGGGAAAAAGATCTTCTAGAGGATAAAGGAAGTTCAATTCTTTACCAAAAATTCAATGTCATTGCCCTGCTTTCAACTTTTTGAACATTTAATTAAACGCACAACGACAATCCTGATGATAGTTTGAAAGAACTTATAAATGGATAGTTTACGATTTTTATAAGTTTAATTTTTTCAAATTACTTGTAAAATATTTAATAAATATTTATATGATTAAATTTGTAAATAAATTCTCATATAAAAAATATTAAATCAATACTTAATAAAGTTATATTTAAATACATGCTTAATTTTCTTTGTCAGATACAAAACAAAGGAGAGGTGCACTTACCTTCGACTTTGATAGACTCACTTTTATTATTATACGCTAATCGTAACAGTTTTAATACAGCTACAATCAAGGTACCACTGGCCCACTTTTCAACTTTTAGGATATTTTACCATAGAATTTAGGAAAAAGGGTTTTTCACATCCTGAAATCTAACATCATAATTCATACCCCATTTCTTGTTTACGTTACAAGCTACTTGCGAGGACAATAATTATCGTGCTATTGGATTTGGAAGCTGAGGGAACATCCCATTCCCATGCACCAAAGCTTGCTCCTCCTCGGTGCATGTTGTTGTAGCCATGCTGCTACTACACTCATCACGCACTCTCCCAAATTTCTCATCAAACTCTTCTTCACGAGTGAAACCCATTGCTACCTCTCCAATGTTCCCCATTGCACCAGTTTGGGTCGCACATCGTTGCAGACTCCAAGCATACTCCAACCCCTTCACCACATCCCTCATGAGAGGCCGTTGCTTCCCTTGATCATGCAAACACCTCAACGCAATCTCCACAAACTGCTTCAAACACTTGGGCCTTATGCTTCCCCTCAAAGCAGGATCCACCGTCTGATCAACATTCGCATCATCATAACACTTCTTCACCCACGTCACCAAGAAATCTTGCTGCTTCTCCGCCCTACTGTTCATGGGTGGCCTCCCACACAATACCTCCAACAAAACCACCCCGAACGAGTACACGTCAGATTTTTGAGTCAACCAAAGACTCATGTAGTACTCCGGATCCAAATACCCGAAACTACCCTTCACGTCCGTTGTCACATGGGACCCATTGGGCCCAACCTTGGACAACCCGAAATCCGACACCTTCGCCACCCAATTCTCGTCCAACAAAATGTTGCTGCTCTTCACGTCCCGGTGGATCACGCTCCGCTTGTCCACGCCGCCGTGGAGGAAGTGAATACCACGCGCCGCCTCTAGGCAGATCTGCAACCTCTGGTCCCACGAGAGCGCGTGGTCTGAGCCGTAGAGGTGGTCGCGGAGGGTCCCACGCGCCATGAAGTCGTAGACGAGGATCATTTCGACATCGTCGTTGCAGTAACCGATGAGAGAGACCAAGTGAGGGTGGCGGAACCGCGAGAGCATGCTGATCTCGGTTTGGAACTCGTGTGCACCTTGGTCTGAACCTTGTTTGAGGCGCTTGATGGCGACGGGTTTACGACACGTGTCAATGTGTCCTTTGTAGACGTTCCCGAACCCTCCTTTGCCGATTATTAAACGGTCGTCGAAGTTGTTGGTGGCAGCTCTTATCTCTGCGATGGAAAAGTGACGGCACGTGTCTGAGGGTGGTTGGTTACCGTCTCTTGTAGTTGTAGAAGCTCTGCGTACACACCGGAAAATTAAGTATCCGGTTATGAACAATACAAAGAAGGATACCGTGGTTGTGACGGAGGCTATAATGGAAATTTTTAAGTGTTTGTTTGATGGTAGTTTTGTGGGTGGTGAAGGAGGTGGGTTGGGTGCAGTGTTGGTGTGTGAAGGGTGGTGTGTTGGAGGTGCAATTGAGTGTAGGGTAGTGTAAGAGGTAGCATGGAGAGGGAAGAAGTGTTGGAGTAGTGATAGTAGAATAAGGAAAGCGATGCAGTGAGTTTTAAGGTTTGCCATGGGTATCTGCAGCAAAGAAGGCATCGATACTACTAAAGCTAGGAAGGAGAAGTATTGTTTCAGAATTGAGAAGTTGCTTTCTCATTCCTTTTCTCTCTTTTGCTTTTTCTTGGAAAATTCATTTTTTTTCTACGTCTTTATGGATTGAGTTGCCAAAAGGAAGCTGCTTTTCATACTGGCGGGACTCGTGGAATTTATATTTTGAACTTTACACCTTTTAAAAGCAAACAATTGTATTCATTCGAATATAGGAAAGCACCACCTTCTTCCACCTTTTTTTTTTTTAATGTTGCTTGTACAGTCAACTAAAGATGTCTTTTTCTTTTATATTTTTCAGATATGTATATATAAAAATAATGTATATGATGTTTAATTCTCAGACTGTTTTAGAACTATTTTAATTCTCTTTCTTCTTATTATTATATCATATTATCTATTATTTTTTAATGTTTAATTTGATAAAATAAAATTAACCAAATTAATTAAAATATAATGAATTTAGTTAGGATTTTTTTTTCTCATGCTTGAGCAACATAACCCGACAATAAATGGGTTAGTTTGAGTTCAGTAATTGAGGCTATATCTAAAAACCAATAGATAATAAATAATAAAATATAATAATTATCAAATATAAATAAGAAAACTTGTTGATTATACATGAAAAAATTTTAATTATACTCAAATAATATATGTTTATAAAAAATCTAATTAAAAAAGACACATCAGAATATTAAAATATAAATATCATATAATATTTTAAAAATATAATTTTTATATTTTTGCTAGTTTTTAGTTTTTTCTTTAATTTTTTTATTTTTTATTATTATAAAATTATTTATTTTTATCTAATTTAATGCAGATTCGGCCCGTTAGTTATAAACTTACTATTTTGATTCTATTAAACAAAACTTATTAAAATTTGACACGAACGGTCTGTTCAGACTTAAAAACATTGAATGAAAAATATCAAAGGCAAACAATAAATACAAGTATCTAAAAATGATTAAGTGAACCATTTTCCTTGATGTTACAAAGCCCCTAATGCAGTATATGAAGGTTCAGACAGTTGTAAGGCTTGTGAAGTTAGGATATCCCATGTTTCACCATTGGAATGATCAAGGTTTGAGATGTGGTTAAATTATTGCAGCATAAAGCCCACACATGTTTAGAGAAGATGCTTGTGAATTTGGATACCCTTAGTGATGGATTTGGATCGTGCCTCTCCTTGTTGCGTTCAAATTTTTAAGCACTTGGTATTCCTGAGACTAGTTCGTTTTAATTTTAAAAACTAAAATAAAATACATGTTGACCATTTAACTGAGAAGCATTCGACCATTGACAACATTGGATTGGATAAATAATAATGGTCTCCTGCGACGACGACGAAACAACGAAGCAGCGATCAAAGTGCGATCCCCGCACGACACACGCAAGAGCCTTAACATCAAACACCAAAGACCGTGCAGTGTGGAACAACCTCATAACCCAATACTCGAAACACAACCTCTCAACCTACGCTCTCACACTCTTCCACAGAATACCTTCTCCCAACGTTGTCACATGGACCGCACTCATCTCCGCCAACTCAAACAAGCTCTTCTCTCTCTACCACTTCATATCAATGCTTCGCCACCCCACTCTCCCCAACCCTCGCACCCTCGCTTCCCTCTTCACCACTTGCGCCACTCTCTCTTCTGTCTCCTTCGCTCTCTCTCTTCATTCTCTCTCCCTCAAACTCGCCCTCTCCCACCACCCCTTCCCCGCTTCTGCTCTCCTCTCTTTCTACTCTAAATCCCGCATGCCACTCCACGCACGCAAAGTGTTCGACGAAATTCCCCATCCAGATTCTGTTTGTTTTTCCGCCTTGGTTGTTGCTCTCGCTCAGAATTCCTGCTCTCTAGATGCTTTGCAGGTGTTTACTGACATGAGATCTCGAGGCTTTGTGTCCACGGTTCATAGTGTTTCGGGGGGTTTGCGTGCTGCTTCGCAGCTTGCCGCGTTGGAGCAATGTAGAATGGTACACGCGCATGCGGTTGTTTCTGGGCTTGATTCCAGTGTGGTGGTGGCTACCGCTCTCGTTGATGGGTATGGTAAAGCGGGTGTTGTTACCGATGCAAGACGGGTTTTTGAGGAGGGTTTGTCTGATATCAATGTAGTGGGTTGGAATGCAATGATGGCTGGTTATGCACAGCAAGGGGATTTTTTTTCTGCTTTGGAACTGTTTGAGTCTATGAAAGCTCGTGGACTTGTGCCTGATGAGTACAGTTTTTTGGCGATCCTGACTTCCCTCTATAATGCTGGGATGTTTCTGCAGGTTGATGGATGGTTGAAGAGGATGAAGGTGGATTATGGTTTGGAACCGAGTCTGGAGCATTATACGTGTTTGGTGGGTGCAATGGCTCGTGCTGGACAATTTGAGCGTGCAGAGAATGTAGCGTTGACAATGCCATTTGAGCCGGATGCAGCAGTTTGGCGAGCTTTGCTAGCAGCTTGTGCATATCATGGTGAAGCTGACAAAGCTTGGTCTATGGCTAGGAGGGTGTTGGAACTGGAGCCGCATGATGATTCTGCTTATGTTATTGTTGCTAACGTGTTATCAAGTGCGGGAAGGTGGGATGATGTTGCAAAATTGAGGAGGAGGATGAAGGATAGGAAGGTGAAGAAAAAATGCGGTAGGAGTTGGGTTGAAGTGCAGGGGAAGGTTCATGTTTTTGTGGCAGGGGATTGGAAGCATGAGAGGTCTGTGGAAATTTATCAGAAGTTGGCGGAGCTTATGGGGGATATTGAGAAATTAGGATATGTTCCTGTTTGGGATGAGTTGTTGCATAATGTTGGGGCAGAAAATAGAAAGGAGGCTCTTTGGTATCACAGTGAGAAGTTGGCTGTTGCATTTGGAGTCTTGTGTGGATCTGCACCACCAGGGAAGGCGTTGAGGATTGTGAAGAATTTGAGGATTTGTAAAGATTGTCATGAGGCTTTTAAGTATATGACAAGAGTTTTAGAAAGGGAAATTATTGTGAGGGACGTGAACAGATACCATAGATTTCTGAATGGTGGTTGTACTTGTAGAGACATGTGGTAGCATATACTATGGATAATAAACATGCTTGGGGCTTCTTTCTCTTGACAAATGATAATAGTTTCTGTATTTTGGTTTCATGTTTTTGTTTGCATTTTGACCTATTTTGTGTTCGATCAAGTTTAATATATTGAAATATTTTCAAAGGATAGACTTCCTTTAGGTTTAAGGAACCTATTTGTACAGTCACGATGTAGGTAGGTACTGTACAAGTGAGTTTCTATATCCAACACTTCAAGTGTAAGAAGGATATCTATATCCTGTATGTTGGGAAAAATTGACCCAATCTTGGTCAAATTAAGGTTTGTCCAGTTAAGTTGGGGTGAGGCCAATACCTACGGGTATGAGTTTTTACTCGGAAATGGATCTACTCCAATTCACGAGAGAACTGGACGATCCAGTTTTGTTTTCACTTACGTGAATTGGCTTCGCCTAAGTTAAAACAAAACTTTCCATTGCCCGACCTCCCCCAGCTCCTCCTTTCCCTCCCCACAGCCCCACGCACCCCTACGAACTCTCCTCCCTCCCACAATTTTTCTAAAAAATCCTGATTTTCTTGTAAGTGAAGCAAAATTGCTTAAACGAAAACGGAACTAGATTGTCCAATTTCTACATGGACGGGAGCGGATTCATATCCTTTTTAGCCATGTTTATGCGGGGATAACCACATATTTGATATTTTCTTTTTAAAATGCTAATTTCACCTTCGGCAGTTGTTAATTTGAATAATCAAAATTTCAATGTGTTCATATTAAGCTTTATTCTCTCACTCTTGTCTCCACCATTTTCTTTGTGAGTAATCTGAGTATATATCTATGCTCTACCTTGAATGCAGATTTTTCCCTGCGACTTCAATGCCCCCGCTGTTTTCACCCAACCCCTAAGTACTCAGCTGAATGCCAATTAGGCAAATTACAATTGACAAATAATCCAATGTTATAATAGCGTCAATCAACTTGCTTTTTGAAATGTGCACTAGGATCTTATCATATTTCTGCAATTACTTGATATCAAATATTGGTTACATATTAATTCATATCTACATATACATATATATACATACACATATCAACTGAAAATGAAAAAAAAAAAATCAAAATCAAAGGCGCCTTATTTCCTAACTTTCTTCATTTTTAATTTTTTTATTAAAATTTCTTCTTTCTTACTTTCTTCTGTGTCTACAGTTTTAATTGTTCGAAGACTACATTTATGCTTGCATAGAACGATATTGGGGAAATGAAATTCAGAAAGATTCCATGTTTACTGGAGAGGAAATGCTTAGAAGTTTAGCGGAAAAAGGTTGAGGAGGCTGCCGACGTCAAAGCATTCCTTCATCAGACTGTAAGTCGGTAACAGCCAAGGAAGTAGAGATTTCAACGCTAATACTGCCCTTGGGGAACCTACTATTTATTCATTGGTAAATTCAGCAATCTAAATTTCAAAAATCACTTCATAATTGGCATGAATAATCGGTTGTCTGAATTTCAAAGGGTAAAATTATTGAAAGATAAAAGATATAAGATGATTGATAATGTTCTAGACGTTGCTGCAAGATGGAAAATTTTCAGAATTGTGAGTTCTGAAGGACCATATTAATTATGAAATTGTAAGAAGAAAGAAAAGAAAGATGAGAATAACATCTTTTAGTGCTTCCATGAAATATATCATTATTGATAGAATAAAGGTACCCAATTGTTTTCATGGATCGTTTGTGTTAATCGAGGGCGTTTCTGTTGCTTGCTATTTCTTTTAATCCTTCCTTTCATGGAAGGAGAAAATTAACTGACGAGAAAAGGTTATAGAGAAGAATGGTGCTGTTTTTTTTTTTTTTTTTGGGTCAAAATATTTTTCTTCTCTTAAACTCAAAGTCTAAATAATATAAATTTCAAACCTGTAACAACATAGATGATTTGAAGTAGTAAAAAAAAATTTAAGATTCTATTTAATATCGTGTTCGTAAATCGATTAAAAAAAAAGAAAACGCTTACGAGGGAGGAGGCACTTGGATATTTGGGGGGAAAATGTAAGATTCTCAACATTCGAAATTTGATTTAATTTGATCGGTTCAAGGCACTATCACAACATTGTCATTTATTAACGAATAAAGATTTTGAAAGCTTATATTAATAAATAGGATAGTACTAATTTTTAAAATTTATATATATTAATGGTCTTTATAAATAAAATTATTTATTAATATAATATTATCATATTATTAATATAAGCTTAAAATATTCATATTAATATTTTAACTTTCGTCAGAAAAAATAATACTAGTAGAATCTAATATAATAAAAAAATTGTTAGTAAATTTTATTTTATTTTTTTGCTAAGATTAGTAATTTTTTTAAGTGAAACCATCCAAATTTAATGAAACGGAATAGTTAATTGTTGCTTTGTTATTGAGAGATAATTATTTTATTTGTATGAAAAGTTATATTTATCTAAAAATATTTTATCAGAAAAAGCTTAGAAATGCAAACTAGTAACGATGACAAGGCCACACAACTCACCCAACTTCTCAACTTTATCAATGCACATGTCGCGGTGGACGGATCAAACGTCTTTTCAATTATCTCTTAAACTAGCTGATAATACCTTTTGTTGTGTATGGTATTTTTGAGAGAGAAGTTTTGGAGGAGAAAAGAGGGAAGAGTATATTCTTTAATTTTAAATTAAAAAATCATATATTATTTATAATAATAAATGTATGATTAATATATTGAATTTATATTTTTTAAAATATTATTTTTTTCTATTTTTCTGCTAAAAAATCTCCCTTCTTAAACAACTCCTAAGATATTTTGTATAATATGTAAAACAAATTAAAATTTAGAAAATATACATGTTTAAATTGTATTACGTTTCTAATAAAGAATATAATTTAATAAATAAGAAAGATTCATTTTTCATTTATATAAAAAATAAATATTTTTTTTTGTTAAATATCAATATTTTATTAAGAACTATATAAAAAATAATTAAATTACATAATTATGTATATGAGGCTACCCAAAAATTCAAATTCTCATTATATATAACTCTTTCTTTCTTAAACCATTTCACAATAAAATACATTAAATTAATATATAGTGTAAGTTTTAAATTATAAAGTATGACAATTTAAATACATCGAAGGTTCGATTTAGTGTTTTTATTTTTATTTTTAAAACCGCTGGTTATGTAAGAACAACTATAAACCAAAGACACAATCTTCCATCAAATTGGAGCGTAGTGCATGTATGCAATTATTAATAGAAGAAAAGTATAACGCACATTTTTTATTTTTTAATCTATTGTCTGTTATTAATTAGTTTTGTAAAACATTTGAAATACTTATCTGATATTTTGATTACTCCTTAACAATTACTTTGTTCATTAAAAAAAACCAATTACAAAAGAAATGAAATAATATATTTAAAAAATATATAATAGTAGCATTCCTTTATAGAATGACTTGAGTTGGCCATGACGGTTTGCTTATTAGGGTGGATCCTGGGGTCCACTTTGGTGATGAACTAAAATAATTATTAAACTGTTATAATTGGTGGGAATAATTAATTGAAATTATGATCTCACACTGGCATTTGCTTACTTTAATTTTGGTCTATTAGATTAGCCACTAAGGTTTGCGGGGGATATTGCAAGCTGATATCAAAAGTAAAAGGAAAAATACTTCCCATTAAAAATAAATGGGAAAGACCATATGCCATATAATAATTTGTCAAAGCACATATGCAGATATCATTCTTTTAGAGTAACTTTTATTTTTTTAAAATAATAATTATTAATAAAATATCAGTTGAATTGCATGTGCATTTTATCATCTTAATTTTTTTTTTTATTAGTTGAGAAGTCTAAAGTAAACTCATTAGAATAATCATATTTCGAATGTATGCATACTTTAAATATTTTGGTTCAACAATTGATAAACTTGAATTCTCTCATTTTATGAGAGTTTTCTTCCATATAACATGGCTTCACATGCTAATGTTAATGACAAACACTCAAATGAAGCAATTTGGTCATTTAATTGGCAATATTTTTATTAAATTGCTACTGACTCAATTAAGCATCAAATCGTCTTAACACATTCACTTCAACAAGGATGAAATCGTACTTAACAGAAATTACACTCGCAGTACAATTGGAAAGTCCAAAACTAGTCACCACACCATCGAATGCTAGAGCAAAAGCCAACACGTATTGAATTCAAAACCCATCAATTAAAATAATTTACACAAAGGTAGTTGAGAAAACGGAATTAGCATCGTAAACTTGTTCTAAAAGAAAAGTAAGCATCAACTGAAAATGATACCACAAAACCAAGGATAAAATTGCATGTAACTGGAAGCATTAAAAACTCATGAATAAAAGGGTAAAGAAAGTAAATAATAACATAAACAGATTGAGAAGTAAGAAAGACATAAATTCGTAGATATGAGTAAGGAGCAGAGAGAAAGGAAAGAGTAATAATGAAAGTGCAAAACTTTAAACTAATTAAATCGTAGAAAAATAAGGACATAATAATAACTTGCACAAACTGAGAAAAAGTTGCAATGAAATAAAAGTTCCAAAATGATAAAAATGCTGAGAAAAAGAAGCTAGGATGACATAATCTTGTTGATTTTCCTTTGAACACAAACACAAACACTTGCAAATAAAGTTTATAAAAAAATTGAAATGCGTGTGCTATTTTGGCTTTGTGGCCAAAAGTTCCAATCCTAACTTTTCCTTCTATAGTCACTTTTTCAATTGTATTGTTTTATCAGGCTGAATATTTTGTAAGTATTTTACTCATCTACCATGATCATATGTTGGTTAAGGAGAAGTGTGAAAAAGGTTATATAGAGTTTAGGAAAGTAATTTATAATTTTTATAAGCTATTTAACAATTTTTTTATATATTTTTTTTAAAATTATTTTAATAACTTTCACGTTGAAATTTATGTCACAAACTTTTATGTATAAAAAATTATTAATAAATATTTAATTATGAACAATGTATCCAAAGTCCAAACACATCCTAAAATACATTATTTATATTAATATACAAGGCAAAATATTAGTTACTTAAGTTCACCCATATCATCTTTGAGAGAAGAAAGTTGGGGTGTCAAAGTTTAATTATTGACAAACTATATATATATATATATATATATATATATATATATATATATATATATATATATATATATATATACACACACAAGATGGTGACACGATGGAGGTTCAAAGATAGTTAACTTTGAATCCTCATTTTGTCCAAATGTGACTTGCCATTGAGATTGCGGGAGAAGAAGTCTTTAAAATAATCTTCCATCAGCATGCTTTTGAACAAAGGGGGGTTTTCAGAACTTAGTAAACTTTTGACAGGTCCAATCTCTGCCTCAAATTTGGGGTTGAAGAACATAGCAATAGAAATCCTCTCCTTTTCCTTGTTCACTGCAGCCCTATGCTCTATGCTGGTGTAGGCCCCATTGCTTAGAATCTGCAACATCACCAAGCCATGAGTTATGGACAAGGATTTATATTTTTTAGAAGTATTTTATTTGTCTAAGTTATATTTTTTATGAGATTTTTTGTTTAAATTATAATTTTCTTTTATAAAACTAATCATGTTTAAGTTAAATAAGACAATGTAAATAGTAAAACTTTATTTTTTTATAATTCAAATTTGAAATCATAGTTAAAATAGAAGAATTTTATGTCACTTGTATGTATTATTTGATTCTTGAATATATTAATTTTATTCTATTTTTGTGAGAGAAAATTAAAATATGATTGACAGATAGTTAAAATATGTGTATAATTAATTTTAATAAATAAATGATGAATAAATTATGTTTTAAAATATAAAAATTAATTTGAGGGAATAAGTAATTGACATTTGAAAAAAATAATATTAAAAATAATTAAAGGTAAAATTTAAGAGAATGAAAATAAATCTCGATATAAAAATAAAGTGAAAATAATAATAATTTTGAAAATTTTAAAAATATAAAATATGTAAAGTCACTTGTTACATGAAAAAGTCTTCGTGTTTTAAAAAAAACACAGAACTAGATTTGTAATATATTTCAACAATTTTATTAAGTATAATTTGTGGTTGATTCAATTAAGTAGGATTTACTAATAATTAATGATTTTGAAAAAGTAAAAGAAGTTCAAGTTTAAAATACATTTAAAAGAATTTATAAATAACTTATAGTTATTTATGAAAGTTCACTTTGATAAACTGTATTCAGTTTATTTTAATAATTTTTACAAAAAATTCAAAAATAAATTATTTATAGTTTATTAAATTAAATATTATTTTTAAATTTATAAAACAAATTATTATTTTATAAACTATTATTAAATGAATACTTAAATAAATTATTTATCTAGATGCACTCTTAACGGTAAAAAATTATTATATATTAATTTGATATGATATTTAAAGCTAATGTCAAAAATTAAATATAATTTAATTTATAAAAATGTATAAATTATGCATAAAGACCAAATACCTACTTGGCTAAATAATTATTATGTGAAAATATATATCTTCCACCATCTTACGTGAAATTCTTCCATTTGTGAAACTGAACATATAGTATTCTGAATAAGTTTCATAATTAACTAAAATCAGTACATTAATGCTCTAATTTATTTTTTAAGAAACTTTTGTATTATACTTTGAACCATTATCTTCTTTTTGTTTTAATTCAGTTTATTTTTCCAAGTTATTAATTTCAGTTGTTGTTGAAAATTTTTTCATAATTGACCAAATAACTAAAAAGAGGAAAAAATTAATGATTAAAAAAACTTATAAAGATAAAATTAAAGTTACTAATTCTACCTAATAATTAAAGCCATTTATTTATGTTTCTCTCCCTTCCAAACTATATATATATATATATACTCCATATCTATTTAGTGTACATTCCATTTTAGTTTTTGTGTAAGTATAAGTTTAGTTAAAGTTTAAAAAATGAGGGAAAACAATGCTAAGAATAGTTTGAAAATAAAATTTATTCCAATAAAAATATAGAAATATATTAAATGCATGGCACTATCAAAAAGTCAATATATATATATATATATCTTGCTTAGGGATGTGAATAGAGGAGAGGTAATCTGTCAAGGTTTATTGTTTATCATAGAGGTCGATAGCTAATTAAGTTAGACTTATTTATTAAATAAATATAAATAGATAATAAAAAATATTGTTGTTGTTGTTGTTGTTACAATTATATTAAAAAAATTTATAATATTTTTATTTTATCTATTTTAAAAGTTTAATTTTGAAAATTTAGATAAAGTCCTGAATTTAATTTTGTTAAAAAATATAGTTATTTATTAATCTATTTTGAAGACTTTTTAAAAAGATAAGTTTTTAAATCAAACTTATAAATAAGTTAAATTGTAAAAAATATGTATTAAATAAATAAATAAAACTTAAAGCTTAAAATTTAAAATAAAATGAACTTATATTTCAGATAAAGCCTAACTTGATTCATTAATTCCCTGACGTGGAGATGTTGAATTTTGCTTTATCTATATGCAACAACGATAAAGGTATGACAACTATGATTGATTGAATATAATTTAACTTTGATGCAGAAAACTAAACTGATATCCTAAGACTAAATTCAATACACCACGTGCTTAATTTAAATATAAAATGAAAAGAAAGATATAAAGAAAAGGATGACAAACCTCCATAATGTCACCAACATTAACTACAAAAGCATCTTGAAGAAAGGTCACAGGAATCCAAACCCCATCTTTCTTTATCTCCAGACCCTCCACTCCATTGACCTGATGAAGGATGGTTATGCCAGTGGCATCAGAGTGAGGGGTGAGCCCTACAACAAGCTCTGGTTTTGGACATGGTGGATAATATGACATCCTCAATGATTGCATACCATTACCAAAAAACTTATCCACTTCCTTCATGTCCATGCCTATGGCTTTTCCTAGTAATCCAAGAAGTGTCATGCCAAGTTTCCTCAATTCCATGATGTATGTCTCCAAGGTATCCCTTCATATAAGCATAGAATATATCATCAGCCATATATATTATATACATACACAATTACATGCGTATTTACATGTGTGTACATATATACATAAGAATGTATATATAATAAGTTTTTATTTAAAATAATAAGATACCACGTAATTTAGTGTATTAAAAACATTAAATACTACAATATTTCATAAATTTTACTATTTTCAACTTCGTAAACTGCGTACATCTTTAAGGGCTAGAGAAGGAAGAGAGAGAGAGAAATTAAAGGACCTGAGTGATGGAGGGAGCTGAGGGAAAAGATATGGCTTTCTTCTTTCAACAGGGTTGATCACCATGTAGAATCTGTCCCCCCAGTCAAGCTTTTGGTCTTTACATCTGATCACAGTTCCGTAACCTTGAACATCTCCTGGTCTGATTTTGTATTTTTTCTTCTGTTCAATCGGAAGCTTGAAAAAATTATCAATCTCGAGTTTCAGCTTCCCTAGCAGTTGAGAGCTAACACCATGGTTCACCACCTGCAAAAATATTATAATTCTCATATAAGAATAATAATTCTGAGTAACATATACATGAATGGATTACAAATTATTACTTAGTAGTTATGGCTTCAATTATATTATTACAAAATGGAAATTAAAAGTGATGATCATAAGGGGGACAAACCTGAAAGAAACCCCAATCTTTGCATGCTGTGAACAACTTGTCTAGTTCAGTGTCTCTAGCATTTCCACACAGCAAGGTTTTCAAGTCAAAAACGGGAATGGTTAAAGAGGGAGTGGTTTCATGAGATGAAATTGGAGGTTCTTGTGGGCGAATATACATTTCTGGTATTCCAGTTTCTGGTTTCTTGGCCATGTCCATTATGCCAAGAACAGAATGGGAGCCCCCAAAGACACTAAGTTGAGATGATGCCATTGCTAAAGACAAAGGCTCAAAGTGAAACGTGCATGCCACCCAACGATAGGATTGGTATTTATGCAGCATATGAAGATGCAGTGTTGTGTTTGGACCCGTTCTTTGATGTTAAAGAAAGTTATTAAAGTACCCATTTGACTATGACTAAACATATGTGTCAAAGCGCCATGATGGCTATTAATTTGCCGTTGTAGAAGTACTTCTTTCAAATGTGCACACGTTTACAACTGTTTAAACTAATTTTATCAAGAATTTTAGGATATACTTTTTTACTACACTCTTAATTATTTAGTTAAAATTTGAATTTTATTTAATAATATATAATAACATTAAATATAAATATTTTATTACAAATTACGATTGAAAGAGCATAACATGAATTTTGTCCTTTGTATTACTGTATGTTATTTCTTTAATTTTTAGTTTTTCTTAAAATCTTTATTACTGTAAAAATTAAAAAATATGAATTATTTTTAATAATACTCATTTATTGACATCTCATCCTAATACTTAAGTAGATAGACATATTTTATTTTTTAATAAATATTTCAGTAAAAAATCAATTTATCACAAAAAATTTTGTAATTAATTTATCTAATCATAAATTATCATATTATTAAATTTTATAATAACTAAATTAGAGATTATATTATCCTATATTTTAATTAATAAATGATGTAAAAAAATATTATATCATCATTTAATCATAAAATATTATATAAGTAAAATTTAATAATTTTAATAATAATTAATTTAAAAATAATATTTATTGTATAATTTAGTTGATTAACTGTGTAAATTGTTTTATATTACAATTAAACTATTACTTTAAAAGATAAATAATATGAGATAGAAAATAGTTAGAGTAAATTTGCTAGGAAGTCCTGTAAAAATTTAACTGAAAAATATATATAAAAATAAGATTTTCTCACATTAGTGTAATTTTAAAAAAAATTATATTTAATTTAAATTTTTTATTTAATTTATATTTAATAAATATAAATTAAATAAAAAATTTAAATTAAATATTTTTTTTTTAAATTTATGTTAATATTTAAATTTTTAAACTTACATTAAACACGTAAATTTATTATAATTTATGAAATATAAATTAAATAAAAAATTTAAATTAAATATAAAATTTTTTAAACTTACGTTAAACACGTGAATTTACTTTTCAATAATTCAAATTTCATCATATGAACCGTAGACCCGTGGTTCGGATTATAAACACGTGATCTGAACTTACCATTATAGTTGTGCAGAATCATAAATACGTGCTATTATTTTTAAATAAAATTTATTTAATTAAAAATATAAAATATTGTAAAAATATTTTATTATTATTTATATGTATAATTAATAATTTAAAAATACTGTATCTGAACATTTCAACTTTTTCATGATACTTGCGCCTCACTAAGTGGTCACCTGTGGCCCCCAAGAGTGGAATGATTTACAATTTTCAACCATCTCTTCATTTATTTATTTATTTAAAATAAATATTTTAATGAATAATTTAATGAAAGTGCATATGTTATACCAAAATACAAGGTTAGAATTACTATATCTATACATAAGCTCGTTATCGACTTAACAATAAATGGAAAAAAAAAAAAAAAGACTGATTATTAAAATAGTCACGATTGAAAGACAAGATATGAAAGTTTTAATAATACGCAGTAGAAGGTTAACATTCAGCTTGACGCTCTTTTCAAATATTTAATTATATGTACACTTAACAAAGCCAATGCATATAGATGACAAAATAATTTACGTGACTTGCATAGTTACAATTAACAGTCCCTCTATGATTCATAATAATTGCAATGTAAACAAAAATTAAATAATTAAAGACAAAAAAATTAACAAAATTTTGATTGTTAACAAAATTAACAAAATTTATAGATTTTTTAAAAATACTTGAATAATCTGCAAAATGTTTGTTATTTAAATAATTAAAACCAACATTATATATATACCATTATATTCAAAATATTTTCCATGTGCAAAATGTAATTTAACGAAACTGTTAAAAAGAATGTCAAATTGGCGGTAGGTATATGGAGGCATAAGAAATTAAAAAGAATGTCAAACTGTCAAGAGAGGATGTGTGACCAACTGATGTGGTATCATTTGTTACTAAAAAGTCTAGAGATGTTTAGAAGTCAACTTCATCACTCACTTTCACTTTTATATTTTAATATACATTATACATAATAAATAAATTAGTTTTGAAAAGCTATAAAAAAATTATATAAATATTATGTATCTGTAGGAATCTACTATTTTTTTCTTGTAATTTAAAGGTACAGATCGAATTCTTCTTAGGGAATAAAGTTTTTAAAATTCTCGATTACTTGATGTTTTTTAGAATGATAATTTTTCTTGCTAAGAGTCGAATTTTAATCCCTTGATAAATAGAATCCCAATTCACTCAATTAACGTAAAATTTTAATCTATCATTTGTTTAAAAGTTTAGAAAATATATCAAAAATATTATTTATACATGAAAAGAATGTGAACTTTTATATGATTGTGATAATAATTATTGATTTTTATAATGATTAATAGAAAATTATATGCACAGTGTATTTTAATGAATAACAGTTTTATACTACTTTTATTTTTATTTGATTTACCGCATCTTGCTTGTCGTAATCAAAATGTAAATATTCGCATAGCCTTTGGCTAAAAGCATTTACGATTAATATATAATTTTCTCTTTGGGAGTGGAACATCAGCTAACCATAGAGTTATGGTCCTAGAAAGTAACAATATTATATAGTTCTTTAGGATATAATTTAATGTGAAATTAGATATACTCGTGATTCCAACCCTTATATGCTCTTGTTAATGGTATTTTATTTTTGTTGATAGAAAAGAAGTAATACTCGTGATTCATGGATATACAATATTTTAAGTATATCACAGTTCCAAAACATATATTAATATTTTGAGGAATTCTCCTCTTTTCTATTTCCTACCGCCCTTTTTTTTTTTCTATTTTCAACTCACTACTAAAAAATTATCATTTACTTAGAGAAAAACTTAATAGGTGTTAAATTAATTTTGTTAATGTGATTATTATTTAAGAAAAATCAAAATCAATATAAATATTGCATTTGATGTACTGATAAACGAAGTATATATAGAAAAAGAGAAGATTTTATTATGGATGAGTTAGGTTTGTTCGTGTGAACGCATTAAATGAATAGACGAGGCAACGGAAACTTAACGTGCCTTTGCATAAAAGTTGGTTGAAAAAATATTTTGAGCGGATAAATTATCTATAGAGAAGATTCTGAAAATTATTTTTACTAAGAAAATCTTATTTTTATTTTTCATTTATCATTTAAATAACAATAAGAAGATTGAAAAAAGTAATTATTGTGTTTATTTATATTAAAATTATTCAAAATTTGTAATATTATATTTGTTTTTCTTATTTATTAAAAGGTCTATTTAGTGAAAACAAAAGAACATGAGAGTTGAACACCGATACATTGAAATAATAATAATTTATATGTTTATGTTATTTTACATTTGATTCATTTTAAAGAAACAGATAAAGTACATACGTTATAGTATTATTATTTTATCTATTTCTAACTTTGTTCTCTCGAATACAATTTAAGAAAATGTAAACCTCAAATTAAAAGTTTATAAATAATGGATAAATAAAAACATATTTAGGAAGAATGCAAGTGAATTAAATAGATTATAAAAGTGGGTGTGCGTGTGAAAATGCGTGAAATGAAATAAAAAGCCATTTGGAGGGAAATAAAGTGAAATAAACGTGTTATATATGAATTGGCCAATTGCCATTTGGAAACGCATTGAAGTTTGAAAAAAAAAAAGAAAAAAAAAAGCAGGGAAAACACGTGTCAAAGTGAAGAATGTTAATAATCGGAATTTGCAGAAAATGTAAGTCATCAATGACGGACGACTAATCTCATAAGATGACTTGTCGCTGTTTCATTCACTCAAAACAACTCACAACGCTCTCCACTTTTTTGGTGCGCAAAAACTATATATGCTCTTATTTTTCAAAAACTGTTGCCAATTTTTTTTAATTATAAAAAACAAATACTTATTTTAAATGTGTTAATTATTCATTTCTGTATATTTTTAATTTATTATGAAATTATATTAACTAACCACTCACTTATTAAGGAAATATATATTTTTTTTGTGAAGGAGCAATTAATGTCTTTTAAGTATCGATCAACATTGACTCGGTATACGCGCAATATATGAAAGCCCAGCCCATAATGCCTTTCTTGTGGGCTAAGAAACCTATTTGGGGAGGTTAAGAATGACAAAAAGAATTAGTGTGTAAGAATGCAATTTCAAATTTAATATCGCTCACGAGCAAAAAGAAAAAATGAATTTTGGTATATTCATAATATTTTTAGAATTTGTTTTTTCTCAATTTTTCTTTATCAAATCACCTTTTGTAATATTTAATGCATCCTCAAAATTATTAGTTAAATTAAAATAACTTCAAATTAATTAATTCACATATTTGGTATTTATTACATCACTTATATGATCAGATAATTATTTTAGAATAAAATAATTTTTAAAAATAATGTATAAATAATATTGCTCTTTCAGGTTTTACATGCAAGTTAGCACTCATATCACCCTTATTTTTAAAGAGATTTTGTATTTCTTTCTCATTTTTTTTAACACTTAATGAAGTAATTAATAATATTTTTATATTTTATCACATACAATTAGTTATATATTTTTAAGAGTGACATTATTAAAAGAGATGATAATTTTTATTATTGATTAAAATGAAAATTATACATCTTACTTTAAAAATAAAGTTTATAGTAAAGTACGATGAAATAGCAAAAATGAAAAATGATGAACTACCTCAATATCTTGTCATAAATTTAATTAAAAAATCATTAAATTTAATTTAACTTACTATTTTATGTTATTTTTTATTTTACCAAATTTCATTAATTTAATATTTTTTAAATTAATATATTTACTTAAATCTTATAAATTTATGTTGATAATTTTTTAAATTTTTATTTCAATATTTTTTTGAATATATATATATATATATATATATATATATATATATATAAATTGTTGAATTAACTTACTGTTTTTTTTTCTAACATTCATGAGTTTTCTTTTATTTTTTTTATCTAAACCGTAGGTATTTTTCATTTATCAACACAACAACTATTGAAATTCAACTCAAAATTAAAGATTAAAATAAAATAATTTATACTAATTAATACACGTGTTAAGTGGTAACATTCATTGTTTTGAAAAAGAAAAAGACTAAATCGGTGCATGAAAAATTATTCTTCTCCCTTATTTCTTTATAACAAAAGTTAAATAATTAAATATACCATTAATTAATCTTTATTATTTCAATAAAAATTGAATATTACTAAATACCTATTAAATTTTTACATAATAAATGTTTGTAAGTTTATATATTAATTTTTATTTTCAGTTCTTTGACACGCGTCTTTAGACACATGCGAACCAACTGCTTTCCCTTGTTTTAGAATGGTAGACTGCCTGATCGAGAATTTCTTCTTCACACGGAAGGACAATTTTAAAAAGAATAAAATAAAAAGTGTACTGAATAGGAAATTATTTGATTCTACATATAAAAAAAAGAAATTAAATTTTTATTTAGTCCAATTTGACTAAATATCATTTATCAGAATTAAAAGGTAATTAATTCAATTAAGAGTAATAATCAGAATATTATCTACTTTAAATTAAAAGCCAAAATTAAAGCTAATTCAGTAGGTCCATTAACTCATAATAATACTTATAAAAGCAAAGTAATAAATACAAGTAAAGGGTTCTTTTCATTATTAAATAATATTTATTACTTAGAATCGAATCCTAACTTCAGCATTGAAGTGCCTTTTGCAGGTATCCTTCCCACGTCAGCGACAGTTAGAAGGACGTCACCACTTTAGAATAGAGACCTGAAAACTGGTATTTTCTTAACAAGAACAAAAAGTTAAAAGACAACTAATGTGTTTTCTTTGGAATTTTCTCTTTTAGAATAAAAATGTATAAAATAAAAAGTGAAAATTATTTATTAATTTAAAAATAATTATATTTAAATTAAAATTAAAATTAACTGAATAAAATTGTTGTTTTTCTCTTGATGTGTTTCATTACTTTAAAGCAACTAAATATTCTTAATATGACTTTTAAGATTGAGAAAAATAATGCAGTTTGGAGAGGATAACTATGTTCATCACCACCAAACTACATATGTTTCGCATTTTTGTGTCCATGAACGTAGGGACAGTGCCGGATAACTGCAGTGTGTTTCAAGCTGTGGTCACCTTTTTTTTTTTCATTTCCACAACGTTGCTTACACGCAATTCTCGGGAAATCATCCATGCACACCTTTAGAATGGATCATGATTAACTTGCTTCTAATATACTAAGTTATATGCTTGTTCGCAGTACAACTAGCTAATGATTATGTTCCTTTGTGAATAATACCCAAAATAACTGTCCATGATGAATCCAAGATAGCTGCGCAGAGGAAAAATTGCATATATTGGCTGGTATTTGGCAGAGAGATGTGCATATTCAGTTCTTAGTTTCTTCATTTACAAACAATTACGAGTAGAAAGTTAATTATTTAGTCTATAAAATTAATATTATTATAAATTTTATCCTTAAAATTATATCAAAAAGTAAATTTATAATTATTTTGTACTATATTATAGATAAGATAAAGATTTCTGGAAGCATTTCAAATTTATATATTTATTTAAATATCTAAGAAGTGCTTTAGATAAAAATAAATTTATTTCAAAGTGACTTTATCTTAAACAACTAGGGATTATATATGCTTACGTTTCAGTGAGATAAAATTAAGATATAATTGGAACTAGATTGAGAAAATAGAATTATATACAAGTTTGAGAGTCTACGTAAGTCCAATTTAAGAATGTAAAAAGAATGGAATTTAAATATATTTTTTTATAGCACTGAATTTTAAATTTAAATAAATTATTTATTTATAAAATCTTAATAATTTAAATTCATAATTCTCTTATTTATTGCAAACCTATCAAATCTGACATTCTCTTTTAAGTTTAATTAGTTTTAGCTCAATTGTAATTTGCTTAAAGTCTTTGTCTAAACCTATATTTCAAGTTTTTTTTTTTTGGACCTTTATCATAAGTTTATTCTTTTAAAACTCTTATTTTTCCTTTGACCTCTTTTTTTAAAATAAAAATAAAAATTGTGCCTTTCAATTTTTTTTCCATTTTTTTGGACTTCAATTTTTTTCTTCTTCTTAAACCTAACTCTCATACTATGTTAGAAATTAAATATAGGGCTAATTCAAGAATATGAAAAGAATAAATTTTAAAAACTTGAAGAACTTATTTATTGAAATCGGCTTAATAATTTATGTATATAATATATATATATATATATATATATATATATATAATAAATTAATTTATTGCCATGAGTGCAAGATTTTATCCACTAACAAGAAGCTCCTTTTTGACGAGTGTTATCCACCTCAATGACATGTACGAGGAAACCTTTTCTGCGTGAGAGTTACATAATACCTGATAGATCACAATTGATGGTGACGAGCTTCCAAAAATAAAAAGACAAGAATGATTAAAAAGATGGAAGGTTGCAAATGAAAAATATAGAAAAACATCTTCAAACAAATGACAAAGGAGGAAACTTCATGATTTAGTAATACCAGTTTCACGAAACGTGTAGGTAACAGTATCCACGCTTGTTGGGTCCGAATTAAGGAATAATATCGTTAAAAAGCTGGACAAATATTCAAAGAAAGATACGAGTTTGAGGCCGAGTGAGAACATCTCAACTCAAGTTAATTTTTGTGATGGTTTTAGGTTGTGTCAGTGTTCCAAACTCGGACATTACTGGAATCTGACATCAACATAAATCGACATGCATTTTGGCATCGAAGGTAAGGTAATTCTTGTTTTACTCAAATATGCATTTCGTGTTTGTGTTTTGGTCAAAATTAGATTTAGTTATAATTTGGATTACGCAAAAATATGCGTTGTGTAGAACATGATAGTTTGGCGCTAAAAGTTGGGATGTTGGTTTCGGTTGGAGAAGTTGGGTGATTCTGACAGCAGAAACTTTCTTCATCTTAAGCTTCCTTGGCATCGCTTATTATCTAAACTTTCTTTCACCATGTGATTTGCCAGAGCTTCTAAGTTCAAACAGAACCCAACACCATAGTCGTATACCATGTCAACGCCATCACCGTCACCGTCACCGTCTCTCCCTCCGTCTCTGGTGTCACCATCAACGCCCTCACCGTCACCGTCACCTCCACCATCTCTGGTGTCGCCTTCAACACCACCGTTAGCAACTCCTGTACCTGCATCACTGCCTCCACTATTGCCAGTACCGGAAAGTTCATCTGCGGCATCAATTTCGCCTGAAAAATCACCGACTTCTCCGGCATATACACTCAAGGGTTCTCTTCCTCCTCCTCCTCCTCCTATTAGGTTAAGTCCTTTTTATTCTCATTCCACTTCATCACCTCCTTTTGGATTGGGTCCACCGCGGCCATCAACACAAAGTTCTGGTACTGGTGCTGCAGTGGCTGTTGCCGTGTGGACCAGTATTCTACTGCTTAGCATCATTGGCATTGCTATATGGTGCCTTAGGAGGCAAAAGAAAAGGGTTTCAGAGAAGGGTGCTTATGAATTCCCATCCCCTCTTGCCTCCTCACCTCAATCTGGTAAACTTCCCCGGTCCCATTATTTTTTCTTCTTTAAATTCCCAAATTTATCTATCAAGAATTTCACAACACCTGTTTAAAGTTCTTCCATTCTTTCAATCTTTCTCTTTCCATCGTATCGCAGTTTATTATATATTCTCTCTAGCATAGGCACCTTATGAAATATTTTCTATTTCACAAAAGATACATTAACGTATCATCCAAGTCTATCAGGGTACAAATGTGATCCACCATATTTTTCTTGTTAACAACTAACGTGTTTTGTTCTTAAAAGGCTAATAAGACCCACATTTATAGCTTTAAGGGATATCAATACAAGATTTTTGTATCATCATTCACTAATATGTTTCCCGTCCATAATTTTTTGAAGGACCAATTAGTGTTTTTTAAATATTATATATCATACATGAATACTTCAAAATTGACAATATACTTATAATAGAATACTCGATATGCATATGCACACATATGATAATAAAAGGAATAAGAAATTTTTATTTAAATGTATTTGTAATTATACCTTTTTAATGAACTTTTCACAAGGTTAAAGAGCAATAATAATGGGATGCTGGCGAATTAATATAAATATTATTTATATTAAAAAATAAAAATTGTTAAAATATAAAAAATTTATAAAAGAATAATATTATTTTAATTAATATATTTTTCTATACCTATATCTTAATTTCATTAAAAATTATCGTATTTACCTATCGTAACATATAGTGCCCTATACGCCTTCTGTTTATTATTTGCTATTATGTTGCTTATCAAATTTAATTAGCTTTTATCTCTCATAGCTTTCAGTGCATTAATATTGTTGAGTCAATTTATATGACACTATCAATTTGTTATGCTCTTTATGCTTTCAAACTATCTAAAATCAAACCTATTGTAAATTTGAAGCCACTCAAAATAATTCAAGTTTTTAACATTGTCCAGATTTGTCCTTTCTCAAGACGCATTCTTTAGCTCCACTTATACAAAGAGCTTCTGGCGGTAACACACCATCAAGACTAGGCAACTCAAGGTCATTGTTTTCATATGAAGAACTAATCAAGGCCACAAATAATTTTTCAGCTCAAAATCTTTTGGGTGAGGGTGGATTTGGTTGTGTGTATAAAGGGTCCCTTTCCGATGGAAGAGAGGTAGCAGTCAAACAGCTGAAACTTGAAGGAGGTCAGGGTGATAGAGAATTCAAAGCTGAAGTGGAAATTATTAGTCACATACATCATCGTCATTTGGTTTCTTTAGTAGGATACTGCATTTCAGATAACAAGAGACTTCTTGTCTATGACTACGTCCCCAACAACACCCTTTACTTTCATCTTCATGGTAAAGCTAGTTTTGATACAGTGCTGGAAGACTGTTTCATGATATTTTGATTAAATTTAAATATTTAATTTGTGTTAACTGAAAGAAAGTGAAATTTGCAGGAGATGGTAGGCCGGTGCTAGACTGGGCAAAACGTGTAAAAATCGCTTCTGATGCAGCTAGAGGAATAGCTTATCTCCATGAAGATTGTAATTACTAATTATTATCTTTGTTATTTTGTGGTTGTTGTGGTAGGGTCATGATGCTTTCATAACTAACGTTTGTCAGTTTCAACTTCCTTTAGGAATTAAAGTTAGCTTAAAAAAGTGATCTGTGAGTGAGTGATGGTGCTAGAATATAATTATTCTTATTTGTTTTCAATATTTTGATTAGTGCTGGAGTTAGAGACTTCAAAAGATGGAAAATTCGATTTTTATTTTAGTGTAGATAACATGAATTGATAAGTGGGTGACTGGCCTTCAATCATATGTAGATATACTTTGCCAGATAAGTACAACCAGAGTCTACTTTATCATTAACTATTGTCATTTGTGCTATTGAATGATATGTTTTGCGCGCAGGCGATCCTCGGATTATTCACAGGGATATCAAGTCATCAAACATTCTTTTAGACTACAACTTTGAAGCTCGAGTATGTGCTATTCTTCTCCTAATTCGAATGTGATATTATCTGTTTCATTGTTATTCTAAGCTAGTTATTCATGTTTTTCGTCTTATAGGTCTCAGATTTTGGACTGGCCAAATTAGCTCACGATGCAAATACACATGTAACCACACGTGTCATGGGAACTTTTGGGTGGGTAATATGTCTATCATTTTCTATTTTCCCTTCATTACCGTTGGGTACAAGTTACCGATTAGTGGCTCATTTATTGACTATTGCTGAAAACAACAATTTTTAGCAAGAAAACATACTAACAAAGATCGTTTTCTCCCATCTTCAAGATATGTTGCCCCTGAATATGTATCAAGTGGTAAATTGACCGAGAAGTCGGATGTATATTCTTTTGGAGTCATGCTCTTGGAGCTCATTACAGGAAGAAAGCCAGTAGATATATCCCAACCAGCTGGAGAAGAGAGTCTAGTTGAATGGGTAACTATAGATGCTTATTGTGATCTCTCTTACTGCAGTAATCTTTATCTAATCTGGTACTTAGAAGGGTGTTAGTGTGTTAAACTGTTGTTTGGAATAAAATTTACTTTATAATTGTGTTTTTCCTCTTTGGAAATTTCTTCTTGCAATCTCTCGTGGACAAAAGAGCATGAGTGAACCTTCCAGTTCCATTGTGACCATATATAGGTAAATCCAAGATTGCACAGTGCATCAATGTTTGGTATATCTGCTGTTGAATGCAATACCAGCATGACACGTTCTTAAGCAACATTTGGTATATCATTAATTATGTGAACTTGGGTTTTTTATTAGTATTACTTACAACACTTTTTAGAACTAAATCACTGAACTAGGAAGGTAAGGAAAGTCTGAAAAAGTTAAATTTTACCTGAGGAAAAGAAATTTGATTGACAGTCAAAACATATATAGGACTATGGCATATAAGTTCGAAAATGTCGACGTTTTCACCAAAAAAAATCTTGAATGCTCTTAGAATTTAAGCAAGCTATTCTAACTAAAGACGCTACCTTATTTTTCAGGCTCGACCTTTGCTAAGTCATGCACTTGATAGTGAGGAATTTGAAAGTTTGATAGATCCAAAACTAGAAAAGAACTACGTTGAAAGTGAAATGTTTTGCATGATTGAAGTTGCTGCTGCTTGTGTGCGATATTCATCCGCAAAAAGACCTCGCATGGGACAGGTAATGGAAGGGAAGCAAAAAGTCCTCTACATTATGTTATTGTGCAACATATCAATTACTAACTATTTGTTTTTCCCTTGAATTATCGAGTTTCTCAGGTTGTTAGAGCTTTTGATAGCTTAGCTTCTTCTGATCTATCAAATGGAATGAGAGTTGGGGACTCTGTACTGCAATCAACAGAGATCAGATTATTTCGTAGGATGGCATTTGGTAATCAAGATTATAATACAGACCCTTTTAGCCACATAGATTAGTTTGAATATCTGAGAGGCTAACATATATATTGGAAGAGTTTATCCTAGATCTAAACATCATGTCAATCAAGGCCAAAAAGAGACCCTTGTGGAATTACATTGGTTTCAGATGTGATTCCTCTGAGGTGCATATATACACCTGAAATGAACTGCATCAGGTTCCCTTGATTCTTTGCAACAAAATATTTTTTATTATTATTTTCACCTTCTTTTCTGTTCTTATGAAGCTCATAAAATTAAATACACAAAATGAATGTGAAACTGTTCACAGTAGTGATCACTGGTTTTAGTTGCATTAACAGCCTCTCTGCTTTCAATCCTGCCTACATCTGACCCACTGCAGACTTCACATTCACACCCTCGTGCTAATGGCCACTAGGTTTTTAGAATTTGTATGAAGTTATCATTCTATAATCATGTTGATGAAGCTCATAAATTTAGAGTTTAATTTTCGTGGATTGGTCATTAACTAAAATATACTGTAAATATGTTTTTTATATTAATTAATAAAAAATCAACAATTTTTACTAATATGTCTAATTCATTATCAGATAACAGTGTAAAGAAATTATAATATTAGTATATTTGAATTAAATCTGTCAAATTATTAATGAATTTGTTTGATAGCATAGATGTGTTGCTCTTGGGATGCTCTTTTGTAATCAATAACTTTGTTGTTACATTCGCATTATACTTGGAAGTGGTAAACGATCGTTTAAAATTAAGAATTAAAAACATTAAACATCAAAGTATGACAACATTGGTATTGACCTGCTAACAGTGTAATCATGGGACTACTTGGATTTAAACAAAACTCTTAAACCATATTTAACCTTGCAACTATACTTTCACTCTTTTAATGATATATTCTCTTTAAAAATATGATAAAATAAGTATTAGGACCCTTCTTTACAAGAGCATGAAAGTTGCTTGAATAAGCAACGATTTTGCCATCTAATTTCTACCACGTTAAAAAACTCTTCGGAATTTTAAGAAGATTAGTGACACACTTTTAATTATTAATTAATTTTTAAAAAATTACATAATATAAGAGATAACTATTAATTTAAAAACAAAAATAAATAAATTTATATTATTTTTATAGTTTTTAATAAATTTTTGTTAACAATTGAAAATACATTAAAAAAAGCGTGTTATACCGTATGTTGCTAATATTTTTCTAAAGATAATAAAAAGCATAATTTGATGCCATATTTATATTTAATAATTATTATATTTGTTATGTGTATTGCTTTTCATGTCATTAAAATTTATTAAAAAATATAACTAAGCCAAAAAAGAATTGCAAAAAATTTAATATCTAAAAATATATACTAAAAAATTATTTTTTATTATTTAGAATAAATTTATTTTGTAAATATATTTTAAAAAATAAAATAAAAAAATAGTATAATATATAAATCAATAAATATGTAATCAATTTATTATTTTGAATAAATTATTATGAGTAATTTAAAATTAAAATTATGTGAAAATTAATTTTGTCATTAGTTATTATGATTTGTTAAACATGTTAAAGTGTTCAAAATTTATACGCATATTAATATAAATTTAAATTATTTAAAAACTTAAAATATTTTTTATTTTATTAAAATGATAATATATGACATGCTTCATTTTTAAAAATTATATTTTAAAAGCTCAAGACCAGATAGGAAAGCATTGAGCTAGGATGACTTCACTACCTTTGGTGCACACTGACTTGACTGACTGAAGACCGGAATGGACATGCGAGATTGACTAAAGAAGGGCGCCAAGGAAAAGTCAAACTACGAAAATGCCTAATTCATTTAATTTAATGCCTTATCGCTTTAAACTTTGCTTGGAGTTCGATCCACCTATGAACTCTTCTTCACACGCTTACTCTCTTATCGAAAAGAGTCCTAGTCCACCACAGCTTCGATGGAGATGCCAGGGGCTGAAAAAGTGGGAGTTACAGTATTTTCTTCTCAAGCCAAACCTTCCCAATGGAGGCGCTGGGTTTCTCTGGACTACTCTTCCGCCATTACCCTCGACATGAGAGGTATATATCCTTACCTTTTATCTCATTTCCATTTTCTTTTTGCAGAGTCTCAGCTCTTTCCTCGATATATTAACAAATTTATTATTTATTATTTTAAAATTACAAAACAAACAAGCTCTAAAATGCAACTTTCGTTAAAATCAAATTAAAAAATTACAATTTTTAAAAGATAAAAAACTTACTTCGATTTTGTCAGCTCCATTGCCATGGTTTTACATACTTATTTTCTCCAATTTTTTTGTATAGTTGAATAAATTGTTATGAATTCTTCATGTTTAATTTAACAAATTCTTTTTTTTTCTACGTACATGCGCTTTTAATATATAATGATTATGTATAAATATTATGCTTGGTTCAACTTCAGCTAATTTTATAAATAAAATTATTTTTCCTCTCAGGTTTAACTCATTAATTTACAAACCAAGTTCATCAAACTAATTAATGACTTGGATCTCAAATTAAAATCGAGTTGATTTGGTTCGTTAATAGTCCTAGTATATTATGGTCATGACAACCATCAAAATAAAAACTTGCAAAAGATTTATTTACCTTCTTTATCTCATATTATAGAAATGCAACAAAAAGAATTATTAAACTTCTAATAAATAATTAAAAATATGTTTGAAAAACGTGCTAAAAAATTGTATTCTTAAAATTTGGGGACCCCAAAATGATGATAGTTGGTCGGTCCTTGAGACGTGCAGCAGTAATAGAAAAAACAAAGGGACAAGTTGTTGCATCGCTATCCAAACTATATAATTAAAAATTGATATCATTTCCTAAAAATGTTAAGTCTTTCCTTCTTTCCCATGTCCAAAGTCATCCAACATTTTCTATAGCATTCAACTATTGTTGTTGTTGTTGTTGTTGTTGAAAGCGATGAAGCCAACTTCTCTTACAGTTCCCTTAGTCCAGGAAATAGCAAAGGAGGGTTTGGCCATAGTTCCAGAGCGTTATGTTCTTCCACATAACGAGCGTCCAATAATATCTACCACTACTCCTTTACCCCAAATTCCTGTCATTGATTTGAGCAAATTGTTGTCCCAAAATCTCAAGGGATCTGAACTGGAGAAGCTACACTATGCCTGCAAAGAATGGGGTTTCTTTCAGGTTTGTTTTTCTTTTTCTAATTTTAGCCTTCTATTTCTGCCCTCTTTCCATGATTTCTTTCTTTATCTTGCTGATAAATCATTGAAAGAATTACGCAGATACAATTTGTGTTTTAATTAAAAAGTGAATGATTTATATAACTATTATGGGATATATTGCATTTTGGACAACAGTGATATTGTTCTAAGACGGAATTTTAACTCGACGTGGGATTGATGGGTTCACTGCTTATTACAAGTAACGATTTATAATAGTAATACAATGAAAATGACGTACATCATTATTATTTACACCCATTGATGTTAATTAACATATTAATTTACTAAATTAAACTGATAAATTCAAATATAAAAGCAATTGAATAAAAGTAAAGAAATAGAGTGATGCTATGCAATTTAACAAACTAAAAGGAACTATTTCACTGCTTACTGGTTTTGGCAAATGAGAAAGACTGCAAGGAGTATATTTTATTAAACCTTCGCGTGTGACAAATTCAGTTTGGAGCAAATAAAAGAGACACAAAAATTTAACATTGTTTGATATGCAATATATGTATGTTTGACACACAATATATGTATATTTATAGCTATAACAACAAGTGATATGAGACTAAATTAGACTAAATAATTCTAATAATTTTCTTATACGATAATATTTTATAAATAATGATCTTATCTATCCTTTATCTAGTGTAGTACATTTGTCATCAGTTATCCTTAAATGCTAGTGTAAAGCTTCAACTTATTTGTGATAATTTTGGTCAATATATCAATTGTGTTATTTGATCTTGAAGTTTTCAACAAATATAAGTCTCCACCACTTATTAGGTCATTGATAAAATAATATTTTATATTAATATGCCTATATATGGAATAAAAATTGAATTTTTAGTAAAACATATAGTACTCTAAATATCACTAAATAATGGAGAATCATCTTGTTCTTTTCTCAATTTTTTGAAAAATCTTGAAGCCATAGTATTTCATTGTCTCATTTTTTACTTTAATGGTTGAAAGAGTAACTATACTTGAAATTTAAACTTTTAACTCATAGTAGTATCACTTAAGTAAAAATGTAACATGTGATATTTTTTACCATTTAAATGATGTGAGATTGCTTTTGCTGAAGTAAAAACACATTTATGAAGTTCTTTTAAGATATCACAGTATCCACTTTATACCTTCCCAATGTTCTTTATTGGAATTTGATAGAAACTTACTAAGAACTCTTACTGTATGTGTTATGTCAATTATGGTATACACCATAGCATAATTAAACTTTCTACTATGCAATTAACATATAAAGCAAGAACAACTTATCTGTCAACATACTTTTTTATCATAAACTTTCAAAGTTATTCATAAACTCATTAAACGTCTTGTATTACTGTCTTGACACTTGTTTCAAGTTATACAAACTTTTGTAAATTTTGTATACAAAATTCTCCTTACTTGAAATTTCAAAACATTTTGGTTGTACCATATAAATGTCTTCTTCTAAGTTCTCGTGTAGGAATGCAGTTTAACATCTAACTGTTTTAAGTGAAAATTTTTTATTATTACAATACTGAAAATAACTCTAATAGTAGTAATTTTGACAACATGAAAGAAAATCTTTGTGAAGTTAATTCTTTGCTTATGTTAAAACTCTGTCACTACAAATCTTACCTTGTATCTTATGTTTGTCGTTAGGTTCTTCTTTCATTCTATGGACCCACATGTTTTATAAGACTTGCTTTCCTTTTGGTAACTTAATTAATGACCATGTTCCATTCTTCTAAAAGGATATCATCTCATTTTTCATTACTACTTCCTACTTAATAAAGTTATTTTCTTGTATGGTCTCAATAAAATATTTTGACTCACTTGCAAAATATTTTGAATCATCAAATAAATCTTCATGAGGACACTTGTTATTGAGTTGAGTAATTGACATGTGATTGATGAAATGGACTAGTATTTGAAATATAAAATACCAAAATTTTTGTGGAACCCGAGTGAGAGTTGTTGCCACTATATAACAATGTTTGTATTTGACTATGCCAATATGTTCTAGAGTGTAGGGTATACGGAGATAGTGAGATATGTCCCTAGAATTGAAATAAAGTTAAAGCTTTATATATTCAGTGTCATCATTAGTGTAGAAGATGATTTAAGTTTGTGAAAGAATATTGTTTCAATCTTTTTATGGAAATGTGAAAATATAGTGGCAATCTCAATTTCACTTTTTAGTGGATAAATCTATAAATAATAAGTAAAGTGATCCATAAACACAAGATAATATTTTTAACCATTTAAAAAAGTAATAAAATAGAGTCCCCAAACATTAAAAAAAAAATTAAGAGGAGTTGAAGTTTTGATAGAGAATACAGAGAAAGAGAATTTGTTACTTTTATTGATATGACAAGAATTATAATATAATTTTGTATTGTCTAAAGTGCTAAATTTGTCACAACTAAACAGCATTGGAGAGAGCACTTCATTTGCTGAACTATCAATGACTAACACAAAAAGTAATCATTACAGCTAATTAATCATGGAGTCAGCACTTCACTGGTGGAAAATGTGAAGACAGGTGCTCAAAAATTGTTCAATCTTCCAATCGAAGAGAAGAAGAAGTTTCAGCAGAGAGAAGGAGACATTGAGGGATATGGTCAACTCTTTGTCGTATCTGAGGATCAGAAACTTCAGTGGGGAGATGCGCTTTACATGTTCACTTTGCCACCAGAGAAAAGGAAACCCTACTTGTTTTCAAACTTCCCGTTGTCTTTCAGGTTCTCTTTCTTTACTCTCTAGTATTTGCTCTCCACTTTTTGTTTTTCTTTTCGTCATAATTTGCGGAATTGATGATAAATTAATGGTGTACCTGTTACAAAAACTGTTGTGGTTATGGATCTAATTTGTATATTAACAAATTACATTAGCTTTAACTCAAGGTGTAAATTACATCATCCCTTTCGAAAATAGAAAAGTTCCCCCCTTTTTAAACTTAAAAAGCAGAAGTTCCATATTAAGATTTGAAGAACTTTCTTCTCTTCTTGCAAGAGTTTAATTTTGACTCCTGATTTATCTCGAGATATAACAGCTAGATATGTGAAAGTTTATAGAAATAATATTTTGAGAGTTAAAAGAAGCTTTTAGTGCTAGTTTTTCATGTTAACTTATATTTCATTTGTTTAGCTTATTTTTCATAAAAAGAAACACTTATTTTTCCAAAAAAAAATATTTCTAAAAGTTTTAATTATTTTGAGAAACTACTTTATGTAACTTCTGCACAAGTATATAAATATAGCTACTGAAAAATATGAGTTTATATATATATATATATATATATATAATTCTAACCAAACAAAAATAGCTTCTACTCCATATGCATTCATAAAGTCACGTTTTTTAAAAGTTTAAACAAGCAAGGCCTTTTATTTTGGAAGTTATTTAAATAGGATTGTGATATTGAATTATTTTGAATATAATATAAACTAAACCAAAACACAAACTTTAATTCCTCTACTCAGTCCCAATTAATGCATTATCCCCTTTCGTATCAAAATAGGAATGTTGTAAATTGGTAAATTGGTAAGAAAAGCATTCTAAACCTGCAACATATATACCTGGATTTTCTTGAAATAAATTTGTGTGGAACTGTGACTTTTTTGGTTTATTTTTGTCGTTTTATGATTCGTGTCTAGGGTATTATAGAAATGTGCAAGTATTCAATTATTTGTTGTTAACTAGTATATCAGTGACATATTAATAAAATATTCATAGATGAAATATTGGTGGTGTTATAACATATCCTTGACATGTTCACATATCCAATTATTGTATAAGGTGAGAATAAATGTTTTTGGATCCGACCAGAACATGCATATTTATTAAATTCATCGGCTTCACCATCTTCACTTTGGTTGCAGAAATGATTTCGAGGCCTATTCTGGAGAAGTAAATAAACTTGCCATCCAAATCCTATGCCTAATGGCAAATGCCCTCGCAATGGACACTAGGGACATGACAGAGGCATTTGCCCCAGGGAGTCAAGCAATGAGGCTTAATTATTATCCACCATGTCCCCAACCAGAGCTTGTGATGGGACTCAATCCCCATTCTGATGGTGGGGGCCTCACAATCCTTCTCCAAGTCAATGATGTAGAAGGCCTACAAATAAATAAAGATGGACAATGGATTCCTGTTAAGCCCCTCCCTAATGCCTTCATCATTAACATTGGAGACGTGCTGGAAGTAAGCATTTCATTTACTATCTTAAATTTTCATTTTGTTAATCTTAACTTTAAGAGTTTAAATATTTAAAAATAATAAAATTTTATTAAAAAATATATTCATTATATCAATGATACAAAAGTATAATAAATATTGTTAGTTATTTAAATTCAATGTTAAAGGTTGTGATTGGTATTCTTTTACTATACTATGTATAATTTTGGCAGATAATAACAAACGGAATATATCGGAGCATTGAGCACCGAGCAACGGTTAACTCGGAGAAGGAGAGGCTTTCGATAGCGGCGTTTAGCATTCCTCGTATGGAATCAATGATAGGTCCAGCACTGAGTCTTATTACTCCAACAACACCCGCAGTGTTCAAGACAACTACTTACGCAGAATACTACAGAGGATTCTTGTCCCGAGAACTTCGCGGCAAATCATTCATTGACACCATGAAGATTTGAAATGCAAATCAAAGAAACTCTCAGAAACATCATGCAAACACATAAATACTACTTATTCCTTTAGAATGGTTTGAGTAGTTTCGAGTGGTTCCGATCACTCTAATAAATACTATTATTCAAAGTTAATGTCATATAATCGTTCTCTTTAAAACATGAGTATGATCTGCAAATTTGTACGTCTATTTTAGAATAAAGTGTGACATTATATAGCGGTTGACAAATAACTATTCTCTAAAATTTTAAAAAGAAATATTCTACCAAAGCTTTTGTGTTTGGATTTGTTATTCACGTCAGTTGAATCTGAGCATACCATGCCTTCGAGCATTGCTTATGCGCACCAGATAAATTAAACATATTTTTTATAAAATGTGTATATAAAGAAGTATCTTTTTAAACACTTTTTTAGGATAACTTTTAGTCGTGTTATTTATTTTTTGGGTATATTTTTAAAATATGTGTATATATAAAATTAAAAAAGTGAAGAGTAAAAAGTAAAAAAATTTAATATTTAATTTATTTTATGATATCAATTTTTTGTTGTTTAAGCATTATCCATGAAAATTTATAATAAGATGTTTTGTTATTTGTGAAGAATTCACTTTTTACTATAATAGAGAATTTTTACTAATATTATATATATATATATATATATAAAGTAAATTTTTTTAAAATATATTCATTAATAATATTTTTATAAGTTATACTAAGTTTTATACCACCAATCATATACTATAAAAATATATTTTTATTGAGTTAATTATTAAATTATAATTTTAGTTTAATTTAATTATTTATATTAAAATTTTTAAAGAATACTTAATAAATTTTACTTTTATATATCTCAAAAAATATATTATTTAAATTTTAATAGAGATTAATATCAAATAAATTAAATTAATATAGAAGTATAAAAACATATGTTACTAAGATAGTTGGGATTAGGGATGAGAATGAGACTGACAGTCCAAGGCTTATGACTTAACCTATTTAAGATTTAACCTGACTTGACTCATTTATTAAAATGGTTAAACTTAGACTTTTAAAAATACCTATTTAAATAAAGAAGTTAGGCTTAAACTTTAAAAAAAACCTTTCAAACCTATTAGACCAGTATAATTAAATAATTATATTATTTTATAATTTATATTTATTTGTAACAATTTAATATAAATATAATTGTTCAAAAAAAATTATATATATAATATAATATAAAAATAATTTAGTATTTATATTTTAATAATATAATAATTATAATTATACTATTAAGTATCAATTAAATTTTTTTGTAAAGCAAACTATCAACTAAAATTTTGTACATATTATTATATATAACATAATTTAATATTTAATTTATAATAATATAACAATTATAATTATACTATCAGAGTATCAAAATTAAAATTTATCGTTAAAAAAAATTAATTACAATTTTATCTGATTTCTAAAATATCTCAATTCATTATTAGAATTTATTCTTTCATAATTTTTATTTTAGTATTTTTAATTCAAATATTTTTTAACTTTTTAACCTTAATATAATTTTTTAAAGTCATAACTACATAAATCAAAATTAAGAGTTGTCTTTTACAATTATTTGTTAGATTCTATGTTCTAGTATCACTTTTGATTTATTTTTTATGTATAATAAATATACTAATTGTTAGCTTGGTATTTGAGATTACATAATATAGACATCTACCTTTTGTTATCTTTAAATTATTTGAGATGTGAAATTTTGTAAAGTTATTAAATATGATTATATTGAGATATGATATCTATGAAACTATTTATGTATATATATTTTTTAAATATAACATTTAAATATAATTACTTATCATATATTTTTTATTTTACTAGTAATAGGTCTTTCGACTTGCTAGCAATTAGTTATTAATTCATTAGCCTACTTATCCGTTAAATTTAAATGTAATATTATTTAAATATTTTAATATTAAATAAGTTACTAAATAGACTATTTGACCAGGTTAAACTTCTAAAATAGTTAAATCAAGCCTAAAAATTTAACATATATAAAATCATAGATATAGACTTAAGATCTAATTTTGTATAATAAGTCATACCTATTTAACCTTAACTTTATCCCATTCCAATCCTGTAATTACAAAAATATTATCATGTTTTTTTATGATATTGTACAAAATATTATTTTCAATTTTTTTTTTTTGCAATTTTTAGGAAACAAAAATACATATTAGAAACAGTAAGATATTTTTTAAACAAAAATAGTTAAAAATTAATCAAATAATTTTTCAGGATCATCTATAAATAACTAAAATAATTTTCATATAATTATATTTTATTAAATTTTTAAAATAAAATTGGAACAGTTTAAAAAGTCTGAAGATATATTTTGTATTTGTAAAATTTGAAAATAGGTCTGTGGCTATGGCAGTCAACTTTTGCTTAAATACGAATTAAAAAGTATATAAATTTATTGCGTTGTTATATCTGTCAAAAGTTTTGAAGTTGCAGAGAAATAGAGGGGTAAGGGGGAGAGCAGATATGAAAAACACGTAGGTGAAGCTTTGCATTAAACGGGCATATGATCTTATTTATTGACTTTGAAATGGAATTAAGGTAAAGTGTGAATATGACCCTCCAAAAACTTGATTGAATTCCAAGCTCGTTTTGATTTTGTGTGTTTTGGATGCTGAATCAGAAGAGTCACTAAAACCTACCATTTGAATTTCTTGAGCAACGGTGGAAGTTCCCTCGTTTATGCACTTGGGAGGGATAAGTTACGTACGCGATTGCTGTGAATACCCAATTCAACTAGGAATTGTCAATGTTCGTACACGTGTTTTTCAGATTTACTCTAAGATCAATTATCTCATGCATATTCAATCATTCACTGTTATTTCTTTCCAAAACAACTCATCTGAAACGAGTAAGACCAAGGAATTATACATTTTGGAGAAGTTTTTATAAAAAAATATCATAAAAAATAATCAATTTTTTTGTATGAATTAAAAATAATTTATACTTTTTTTATTTTTTTAGAAGTTATACGAAAGTCATTTAATTTTTTAATTAAAAAAATCATTTTTAATATATGAAAAAGAAATTTTCATTTTTATGTTAATTTTTTTTATAAAACTTCTTTACAATTTCATTCAAACAAATCATTGGTATTGTAAATCGTTATTTTTATCTTTTATATATATATATATATATATATATATATATATATTCCAAAAATATATCTAAATATAAAAAAAACATATTTAAGTATTTATAATTATGAAGGGTACAAGAGATATTTTCCTAAATATATTGCAAGTACACTAACAGTATGACACGTCTCATACTAATTAATAGATAATTTTTCTTGCAAAAAAAGTTAGAATATACAATCAATGCTTCGCATGAGTAAATTATTATACTTTATTTCTTATAATTTATAACTTTCTCAATTTAATGTTTATATTCTTTTTATGTCATTAAAATCTTCATATTTTTTTTTAATGCCACTTAATCCTCTGGTAATACTATTTTTTGGGGTCACTTTAATTTTCATAAAAGAGTTTATTGACAGAAATAAATATATAGAGAGATAAATTAAAAAGACAAAAAATTATAAGAGGGAAAGTGTAATTTACCCTAATATAATGCATGCTCCTGATAACATGTACTTATGGTAGTTGTTGATCCTTAATACAATGGTAATTGTTTATATAATTAATAGCATGAATATAAGAGAAAGTCAATTTTTGCGAATCATACGACGCAAGTTGTACAAACGTTCCTTACTTTAATGGTTATTTTGTCTTCAAACCTGCAGTTCTGTCGTCACTAAACTGACTTTGTCACTGTCGTTATTATCACTGAATTTTCAGCGGCAAGAAATAGATGTTAGATATATGTTATCATTAAAATGAAATTGATATTCTATTGGTATAAATTTAGCGTAACGAGCGAAGACGAAAAATCTTATTAGTAATACTTTTCTTTTAAACATGTACTATACTATCAATAATGATAATGTTTTGTTTTTTTTTGTCAACTTTGAAAATTTATATTAAACTTTATCTAATGGCCTCACATCACTAATTCTATTGAATATTTTGGAATCTGGAAAGCAACACTTAGTTGCCACACAAATGGTTCCTTTCACTTCCAGCCAGCCATTGAAGATTTTTTCCCTCCTTCGTCAAACTTTCAGGCCTTGATTGTTTTTGCCTTGGGTGTGAAAGCTCTGTTCTGTGAAGAAAATTTGTATAATAAATTTGTGCATTTTTCATACTATAAGGAGAAAGAGAAAGAAAATAGAAACTGTGAGATAAGATAATTAAGGTGATAAAAAATAATATTTATAAAAAATAACATAAAAATGTTTTATATGAGTAATATAACTATTAATCTTAAGAAGGTTTGAATTTTGCTTAAAACTTAAGACTTGACCGCGTTAAGCGTAAGCTCGTTAGACCAGTTGAAACTTGAAAACGACACTCTCGGTCGACCCTCGTCAAATAGAGAGAGGGTGTTATTCTAAGAGGATGGGAGAAAAATCGAGAGGGACTATTGAATATTTATCACTTTTATGTTATTGTTTTCAAATTAGTGATTTTTTAAAATGTTTTTATTATTAATTTAATCAATCAAGATTAAATAATATTTTGGACAAAAGTTAATTCAATAAAAGTGATAATAAATACATTAAAAAAATTAATAATATTTTTTTTGAAAAATATTTGTTTTTTTCTTAGAAAAATAAATTTTTATTATTAAAATACAAAATTTTAAGGTACAGGTGTCAAGGAAAGAAACAAATTTTATTTTTATTTTTAAAAAATAATTAGTTGACACTCAAATTTTGGATGTTAAATAGACGAAAAAAAAAGAGAGATCGAAAGATAGAAAATAAAAAATATAATAAGTAATATGATAAAAAGAATTAAAAAATATATATATAAAAAAAAATTATATTAACATAAGTTTAAAAAATCTTATACTAAATTTAAACATTTTATTTAACTTATATCTAACTGTTAATAAAATAATAAATTATAATTCGTTAAGTTAAATAAAAAATTTATAATATCCTTTATATATATAACCTTGTCGGATTAGTCTTCCGTTGCTTTGATATTTTGGTACCACTTCCTTAGTAATTTACTTCTATATACAAGTATAAGTGGTGGGTCCTAAATCATATTTAAAAGTAATTTTAAGAATTCTTTTAAATAAAAGTATTTTTAGGTTTTAGTTTAGTTATTATATTACGTAATTTTTCATATAAAATATATTTTAATTTGGTGGAAAACTTACTAATATACATATAAATAGGCCTCAGCGATTCAAATTTCATGCCGAAGCAAATATACTGAGAAGAAGAAGCGAAACAGAAACATCGATATTTGATTGTGGCTGTAAAGTGCGAAGGAAATGGACCTAAAGTTAAACTATCTTGCAGTGCCCTCTGTGCAGGAAATAGCAAAGGAGGGATTGAAGAGTGTTCCAGAGCGTTATGTTCGTCCCCATCATGACCGTCCAATAATGTCATCTACCACTAAACCTTTGCCCCAAATTCCAGTCATTGACTTGAGCAAATTGTTGTCCCAAAATCTCAAGGGACCTGAACTGGAGAAGCTACACTATGCCTGCAAAGAATGGGGATTCTTTCAGGTTTGTCATAACCCCATACACAAATTAATGCAATTTTAATGCTACATAAAAGTGTTTAATATTTTAATTACTATGTTGTTAATTAATTAACATAATTGCAGCTGATTAATCACGGAGTGAGGTGTTCATTGGTGGAAAAAGTGAAGAGAGGTGCTGAAGAATTCTTCGATCTTCCATTGGAAGAGAAAAAGAAGTTTGCGCAGAGGGGAGACCACGAGGGATATGGTCAACTCTTTGTGGTTTCTGAGGAACAGAAGTTAGAGTGGGCAGATATGTTATTCGTCACCACTTTTCCCCCACAAAGGAGGAAGCCTCACACCTTCCACAGCATCCCTTTCCCATTCAGGTTCTCTTCCTTCTTTCTGTCTTCATTGTTCCTCCCTGCGACGTGAGAAATTGCATATTTTCCTTTCCCAAAATGGAAATTTAAGTTCTATCTTGAAGTCTGAACATTTTTCATCTCTCTGGTCATATCAAGTTTAATTTCAAGTTCATCGTATGCTAAAATACAACATTTGATCTCCCTCAAGCTTGTTATTTTTGAAGTTTGGATTACATATTAACTTTACTAAAAAGAAATTATGAGGAGGCAAGACCAGTTGATTTTAACCTTCATGTTCTTTTTTCACTTTTTCAGTTTCTAATTTCAAAGCTTATATACAAGCTCTCAAACCCAAGTCCTATGCCCATTACTTTTAATTTTTATTTTGTAATATTATTCCTCAATATTTATTATAATTCTTAACTTCACCTCTCGTCTAATTCTTTTTTTTTTCCTCTTTTTTTAAACTACTTTCTAAAAGTGTTTACTAATTTTATAAGATGTTTATAATTTTTATAAATTATTTATTTTATTTTTCATCATTAAAACCAAGTGGGGTTACTGACAACCTAGTGTAACTATTTATAGTTACACGTTTACTTTTGAATCTTTATTTTGTCCCATAAAAATTAAATTTAGTAAGAATTTCATTCAAAAGTCTATTTTAACCAATGTTAATCCAATAAAAAAATATTAATAAATGATAATTTTATATAGAGGTATATTAACAGTTGAAAAAAAAAATAAAAAAAAATACCTCTGTAGGAGACAAATCTCAAAAATTAAGGATTGACTTGCATTTTTTATTTTTATTTTTTTGCGTTCTAAGGCAAAATTTTATTTTCCTGGACAAGCAAAATAACACTTTATTCTCTTGTTTCGAACCATAGACATTTGTGTAAAAGAAAGTGTAAGATACAATTATACAAAACAATATGAAAAAAATATGCTGAAATAAACAATGAAAACTAAATAACGAAAAAGATTATTAAATATAGTACAAGTTATGTAAAACTGGTTATATATTCCTACCCAGATTATATTGATTATTAAAATGGGTGTGGCACGGTATCTACCTTCGGTTGCAGAGATGATTTAGAGACTTATTCAGAGGAATTAAGAAACCTAGCGCTCCAAGTTATTGACCTTATGGCGGATGCCTTATCAGTGGACACCATGGAAATGAGAGAGTTATTTGGTGAAGGGACTCAAACAATGAGGCTGAATTATTATCCTCCTTGTCCCCAACCAGAGCTCGTGATGGGACTCAATCCTCATTCTGATGCCGGTGGACTCGCCATCCTTCTCCAAGCCAATGAAGTTGAAGGTCTTCAAATAAGAAAAGATGAACAGTGGATTCCTGTTAAACCACTTCCTAATGCTTTCATCATCAATATTGGAGACATGTTGGAGGTGATTATTGCTTCTTATTTTCATTTTTAATGATGATTAGCTTGCTTGATCAATGATTTTTTTAAATTTAAAAATACACTTAATTATTAATTAAATTTTATTAAAAAAATATAAAAATATAAGGGAAATTTGCATATTTTGAAATATTTTGTTAAAAAAGAAATAACTAACATTTCTCTTCGGGTTACTTTATCAATTACTTTGCTAATTACCTTTTCAACTGATTTGGCAGATAATAACTAATGGAATTTACCAAAGCATTGAGCACCGAGTAACAATTAACTCAAACAAAGAGAGGCTTTCCATAGCCACATTTTACAACCCTGGTATGGATGCTATTTTAAGACCAGCACCAAGCCTTATTACTCCCCAAACACCAGCACTGTTCAAAAGTATTAGTACTCCAGAATACTACAAAGGATACCTTACGAAAGAACTACGTGGTAAATCATTCCTCGATACCATGAAGATCCCAAATGAAAATGTTCAGAAAAACTCTTAGTGGGTTACAACTGATGATGAAAACATATATAGAAGTTAAAACATGCGCAACAAAAGCTCCTCTGTAGAGTTGAAGTTTACTTTTGTTGCAGTAATAAAATGTTACGCGGAGGTTATCCTAAGAATTGAGATCATAAATCTCAAATTCAATAAAGACTTAGAAGAATAAAACTCAATATAAGTTTAGCACGAGCTATTATATATTTTTCTTTATTGTACTTTTTTTATCTGTTTGTTTTTAACTTTCATTTTAAATGTAAGAGAGTAATTCTTACATTTATGAAAATGCATGTCTTGTAGAGAATCGAAGTAATCTTTATAATTTTCAGACTATCTCACAAATGCACAAAAAGAGAATTAAACTTCAATTGAAAAATTTGTCGGGATTCGATTTCACCGCCATATACCGTAATCCAACTAAATGGATCTTAATCCAAGTTTTTAAATTCATGCATATCAAATTCTCAAACAAAAAAGGTTCAACTTTGATTCACTGATATATAACTTAACCCTTATCCTAGGTTAAGTTACCTAATCTCGGTACGTAGTGTTTGTAATCTTTGATTGTGCAGGTATGTCAAAATATATGTGGGTAATATTCGTTAAATAACTCGGTTAATTAGTTTCTTATATAAATCAATGATTTTGTTAATGGAAGAACTCTAATTAACCGTGAATTAAAAGATTTTTCTTCTTTCTTATACTAATTTTTAATTTAAAGAAACCATAACCTAATAATTTTATAAACAAAGCAATAAGAAAAAACAAAAACGGATAAAACAATTCTTGAAGATAGACGTAAATAAATTCATATATACAGGGATGAAAAAAATGATTATTGAAAATAGAGATGGATAATGATTGAGTTTGCTTGGCTTGGCTAGTGAAACTTAAAATTAAAATAAACTGACCATTTTAATTTTTTTTAGTTGATTCAAACTATTAAGTCATTGTTGTGCATGTCTTATAGAGAGTCTTTCTAGCTAACCTTCCTTTAAAGAATGGGAAGAAAAGGTCTGATTGTAGTTGCTAGTGAGAGTATTTGCTAGGAGAGTACAAATGATTGAGCATGCATGTCATGAATGACTCTGAACATGGATCTTTTGTTAAAAATACATTATAAAATAGAAAACCAAAAAAAGAAAAAAAAAGAAAAAAGAGGAAAGAAAACTAGAGCGTCAGGCGTAAAAACAAAATCATAAACGCTGAAGACACAAAAATGAAGGACTCCACAGTGTCCTTCATAAAAGAAGGGATATTGATGTCCCTACTCTAGAGTTACCAAGTTAAATCTTGTTGTAACAAAAATATTCTTAATACTAATTGAAAATAACAATTACTACCTTAAATTTAACTTGTCTTCTACTTTTCTTTCACCCCAAGCCGTTTTAATTTTCGTTTCTAGCGCCGTCAAAGCAATATTCTCTGAAGTGTGTTTTTCAACATCCTTAATCGTTATCGTAGATTAAGTTAATGTTCCTCTTCTTTATTCCTTTTTTTTTATTAAAGACATTTTAACAAATTTTGTGTTTTGTCTCTAAACCAAACACAATACAAGACAAAATAGATAATATTCTATACTTAAATTCAAACACAATACATAAATACTATTCATGATTTCTATATTATTCCTTATCTTTATGTCCATGTCGCAGGAGTGTTTAGGAACAACGTCCAAATGTTACCTTAAGAACTTGTTTGGTGAGGAATGCTTAACATCTACAATAAGAGGGTTGTGGGCCTACAGCTCAACAACAAAATTAAAAATAAAAAAAAAGATTGCGGGTTTACCTTTGGACAACAAAAGAAGAAAATAAAAAGTTGCTACAATCTGAATTGAATGGTTCGGCTTTGAAGTCCACTTAACATAGTCATAGATTCATTCACTATTTAGCATTAGAAATGGTAATAATAATTAAAATTTTCTTCGACTTTATAACCATTTATTCAATGTGAAGGATACACGTGGCATATGCATTTATATTTTATGTGCCCCTATCTTTGTTCATTGTCCATTCTATCATTATTATTACCCTTTTTTTTTCATGGAAAATTAGAAAGAACTTGTATTTGACTAAATCAACTCTTTTCAATTCAAATATTAAACTCAATTTACACATAATTCTATTTATCCAATTAACATTTTTAGGCCTATAATTAGCTAAATTTTAAAGCAGGAAAAAGAAACAATACAGAGAATACATTAAAGCAATAATAAAATTTATATCTTAATAAATTTTACATCTCTTCTTACATTTTTTATTTTTATTTTTTTATTATATTAATAACGCTTTTTTATCTCTGACTTCACTCAAGGTAAAATACTTAAAGATGGTGTATAGTTATCATCATATATACATATACATTGACATTTATTTATTTATTATATTGTCAATTACTTTTATTTTTATCCGTTTCAGGGTAGATAACGGTCAGTGTTGATTAGATATTTTCCTTATTCACATTAAAATATTCAAATGTTGGGTGTGGAAAATTTGTGAGCAAATCTGAAAGTGTCTTGTTCGGTTAACTAATATAATTTAAGCTCGTGAGTGGCTTAGACCAGTCATAGCCATGGAATCAATTTCTCTTCCGGTGCCCTCTGTCCAAGAAATAGCAAAGAAGGGACTAAAGAGTGTGCCAGAGCGCTATGTTCGTCCACATCATGAGCGTCCAACATTATCATCTACCATTACACCCTTACCTCAAGTTCCAGTCGTTGACGTCAGCCGATTGTTGTCCCAAGATCACAAGGAATCTGAGCTTAATAAGCTGCACTCTGCATGCAAAGAGTGGGGTTTCTTTCAGGTTCCTTATGTTCCTCTCTCCTTATTCTTCTTAATTCCCTTCTACTTGTGCTGTTTCAATCCTTTCTTTCTTCATCTCACACATAAATCTATGTAAAGAATTACATACAATATCATTGAAGACATGTTGCATTAGGTACACCTTAGAAAACCCGTTTTTTAAATATATATGGTGTAAGATTTATTTTTCCGTCTCTGATTTTGACTACTGTGGCAACCATTACAGTTAATTAATCATGGAGTCAGCAATTCGTTATTGGAGAGTGTGAAGAAAGGAGTTGAAAAATTCTTCAAACTTCCAATTGAAGAGAAGAAGAAGTTTGGTCAGAGACAAGGAGAATTAGAGGGATATGGTCAGGCCTTTGTTGTTTCTGAAGAACAGAAATTGGAATGGGCAGATTTGTTTATCATTCTTACTCTCCCATCACACTTAAGGAAGCAACACTTGTTCCCTAACATCCCTTTACCATTCAGGTTCTTCAATTTTATTTTTTCCCAGATATAAACAAGTTCATTCTATCTCTTCATAAATTTAAGTTTCAATCAAGATGTATCTATTGTAACTAACACATTTGACTAGTTTATGTTTGGTCGCAGAGATGATTTAGTGACCTATTCTGCTGAGTTGAAAAACCTTGCAATCCTAGTGATTGACCTTATGGCAAATGCCCTTGAAGTGGACCCCAAGGAAATTAGAGAGATCTTAGGTGAAGGGCTTCAATCAATGAGGATGAATTATTATCCACCGTGCCCCCAACCAGAGTTAGTGATGGGACTCAATCCTCATTCTGATGGTGGAGCCCTAACTATCCTTCTCCAAGCCAATGAAGTGGAAGGTCTTCAAATTAAAAAAGATGGACTGTGGATTCCTGTTAAACCCCTTCCCAATGCTTTTATCGTCAACATTGGAGACTCAATGGAGGTAACTATTCAGGACTTGTTTCTTTAACATTTTTTTATGCACAAAATCATGACAAAGAAAATTACTTTGTGAGAAAACTGTGTTTCCAACAGAGATAGTGTCTATTTTGGGGCTGATTGGATAGTCCACCACCAAGTTTTCTTGCACAAAAATTGAAAAATACTTTCAACATGGTCTGCAAACGGAGAACCCATCAAGCCTAAAATCGAAGTCTTGTGACAATAGCTAGATCAATACCTAGTTATTTTGTTTCATTTTATTTTAGATTAATGGAGAACATACCCAATGAGAATCTTCTTAGTTTGCAAGGATTTTCTAATCTTTAATTTCAATCCTCACGAACTGATTTGGCAGATGATAACAAATGGAATATACCGAAGCATTGAACATCGAGCTACGGTTAATTCAGACAAGGAGAGGCTTTCCATAGCCACATTTTATAGCCCCAGTTTGGAGTCAATTTTAGGTCCGGTACCAAGTCTTGTCACTCCAAACACCCCAGCGGTTTTCAAAAGAATTAGTGTAAAAGAATACAGCGAAGGATACCTTTCACGTGAACTTCGTGGGAAATCATACCTTGATAGCATGAGGATCCAAAATGAAAATGACAAAAACTCTTAAGAGCTTCACAATTAATTGAGAGAAAAATTAAGCATACTATCTAAAGATGCTAAAATGTGAACTCTTTCCACCCCTTTATATATATATTTAATGTTATGTATTATAGTTTGGAATCAATATGCAATTTCCTTTGTGGTGATTACTTGGCTTAGTCTACTCGAAATAATGGTTAATAAGATTGGGTAACAGCTAACATGTTCCACTGCTGGGCCTATTTCTCCATTGGAGGCCCACTAAGCATTCTAGCAACAGAGGATCTCGAATTTATAAGACTCACACTCTTGTATCTTTTAATATATATTTTTAATAAATATGCACAAAAATTCATAAACATTCACAAAGAAAAGAAAATTAAAACTTGCTTATTAGTGAGTGGGTAATCGTAATGTATGTATCTACTACCTACTCCGCTCCGGCAATGACGATTGTGAAAATGCGCTAAAAAAATAAAAACTAATTCAAGACTTTATTCCTAAAACCTGAAAATGATTTTGAAATATATTTACATAAAAAAGCTTTTAGGAGAAAATACAAAACCACACACTTATTATTATTTTTTTATTTGACCAATAAAAAAACTTTTAATATAGTATAAATTCTCCGAATGACTTTAAAATAATAATTTTATCAAGTTAACACCCATTTAAACAAGGATGAATTTTTAAAAAGGAATGCATGGTTGATTTCCTTTAAGTAAGATTTTGAGTTTAATTGCAAAGAGAATAATCTCATCATATTGTAAGTATTTTTTTGTTCAAGTGAAATTATCTCTTGTCCATATATTTATAAATTAGATCATGCACATTTTAATATTTGAAGAACTAAATTAAAGTTAAATGAACTTTTGAAAGATTAAATTAATAATTTAATCTTAAAGGTTAAAATTATTAACTGTTTATTAATAATATATATATATATATATATATATATTTGTTATGTTGAAATTAATATGTATAAAAATATATAACATATATATAATTATTAAAATAAATCATATTTTCCTATTTTGGTAAATGATTAATTCATAACATGTGTTCTAAATTTATCCGAATATTGAAGAAAAAAATTGATATATTTTTTAATTTCAACGCGATTTATAGAAAGTTAATAGAATGAGTTAGAAAGAAAGTAATTTTCATCTATTTTACCTCTTTTATTTAAAATTTATTTTTAAAATAAATGTCTAAGCTTTTAATTAAAAAAGTATGTATTTTATCATTTTTGTTTATTTACCGATCATTATTTTAAAAATAAATTACAAAATTAAAATATTTAACATAATTTTTAGATCATAACATCAATATATATTTGGTTTATAAATTTTTTTTTTTTTTTTTGTCTTTCACTTAATATTCCAACAAACGTAAATGTAAGACAAACTATGTGGTAAGAAGTTTTGGTTAGACCAAATAGTTAATGTTATAAAACAACGTCACATAATTCATTAAAATAAAACTAAATAAGCATTGACCTAGGAAAAAAAAAGCTTATAAAACGTAACAGCGAGCACAACTTGCATCTAGATATACTACTTTTCAAATAGGAGTGTGACAGAAAGATTTAAATATTTTGATCCCAATAACAATCCAAACATTTCCATCATTTACTTCATAATTGATGTATCAGTTAAATTATTTAAATTCTTATGATTACACAGTTTATGAGAACATAAAAGGTTAATAAAAATAATGAATGATACATATAACTGACAACTATGCCTTCAATTATTTGTTTATTTATATTAAAACTATACGATTCTTAATTTTTGTCTCTTTTTTTCGTGCCTATATATAAAATGTCAGTGTCGTTGTGCACGTTAATTTTTGTGAAAGAAACTAAAACTGTTATATTAATTTCACTGTTTAGAATAAGTAAAAAAGAAAAAAAGCATACTAAAGAATAAATTTAGAAGAAAAAATTAATTATACACACATATATGAGCTTTGTAACCGGCTAACTTACAAAAATCTACAATTTTGAGTCTAAGCTTAAACACATGCATGTTATCTGTTTAGTTGTGGATTTATACAAGTTAGCCTATATAGTAAATTCACGAGCTAACATGGTAATAAAATATAAGTAAATGCAATAAAATCTTATATTACTACACTGGCCAAAAAAAAAATAAAAAAATCTTATACTACTGCACCATTCTTTTAAGTTAGTTAATGTATATTTAATATCAAAATTCTTTATATAAATATTAAATTTTATAATTTCATCAATTATAAAATTAATTTTTTAAAACACGTCTAACTCATATAATTTCATTACATTTAGCTTTTTAATGCTTTGTATTAATAAATATCAATTATTATGATTGGTTTTGATTTCTCATTAAAAGTTATCATTCAAGTTATGTTACCTTAAAAAAGAAACAAAAAATAGTTAGATAAACTACACTTTAACTTTAACATTAAGAAAAAACGCTACACTGAATATTTGAGAAAAACTTAAATTAATTATATATATATATAAAATGTGTGTGATATAAATATGAAAAAATATACCTCTAAACAAGGACAGACACAAGGAAAACTTCTTAACACACTTCAATAGTTTTTATTAAGTTTAATATTAAAGTAAAACTTTAATTTTAATTAAAAAAGAATTAAAAAAATCATAAATATTGCATCTAAATTTCTTTTCATTATCTTAAAAGTTGCATACCGTGTTTTTTATAAAAAAAAATTAATACAAAAAATAAAATTTCTCTCTTAATTTTAAAAAAATTTAATATTTCTCTGTTTTTTAAAAGAAAATCTTAATTTACCTCAACACAGTACATTTAAAAGAAACTCTTAATTAGCGAGAGTTCCAATGTGTATGACCTTATGAAAAGTTGAGTTACATGGGTTGTCTAACATCATTTTCAATGTTTTGGTCACCAATTGGAAGATAATGACAAACGGAATTTATCAAAGCATCGAACACCGAGCAAAAGTTAACTTAGAAAAGAGAGGCTTTCGATTGCTCCATTTTACAACCCTGGAATGGAAGTAATTCTGGAGCCAGCACCAAGCCTTGTTACTCCAAAAACACCATCACTGTTCAAAACGATTAGTGTACCAGAATACTTCAGGGGATACCTCTCAGGAGAACTCCGTGGGAGATCATACCTTTGATAGCATTAGGATCCAAAATGAAGATGCATGAGAAAAGCCCTTTCAATCTTGCATTCATACAAAGCTTCTGTGTATTTAACATTGCTATGGACTTCATCATTTTTTACTTTTCTATGTTCTGCATGTGCATGTTCTCCTCCATGGTTTCCTTTTGTTTTTAGTTTGTGGCGTTTGCTATCGACATAACAAATTTAGGGTATTTGCTGTATGACATAATGAATGAGGTTTTATACCGTTCTATATCCATTGTGGCATCGCACAATATCTATACCATTTTTTTTTGGTCAACCAATCTATACGATTATATGATTTGTTGTTACATATAGCAGTGCCACATAAATTTTGACCATCTTCACAAAAATAAATTTGCAACCGTTTGGAGAGGTGGAAAAAAAATAAATCCATAAATGGAATCATAAATAGATTTTGGACAAATATCTCAAATTCCACTTCTAGTATAGTCTACATGCATTCAGGTTAGCCATCCTGAAGCCCAATTGGAACTCAACGATCAGCCAGACCCAAAAATAAAAATGTACCCAAACTTTATTGACTTTTTCTTTTTGGGTCCAGAAACTCTAATGCCTTTATTAATACAATTTAGACGATTGGAGAAATAAATTTATTGTCTGTTGAGAGTAGGGATAAAATTAAGTTAGGTTAAATTAGACTTTACATGAGTGATCATGAAGTTAGGTTATTTAATAGGTTTCTATCAAATATAATAGGTTTTTTTTAAACTTAAATTTAATCTATTCAATTAATTTAATTATTTAAAAAATTTAAATGAAGTCTATTACTTAATCAAACTGAACTAAACTGAATTAAGTTAGGCAAGGTTTTAAAAAAATAAAACCATAAGCCTGTATGAAATAGCCTGAACTATTTCTATCTCTGATGAGGCACAAGACTTCACTTTTTCGTAAGCATAATAAACTTTCAAACTCGACTTGCGTTTTATTACGAGTTTTCAAACTTCTGAAAAGAAAAAGTTCACTCTTTTCGCACTCAGAAAAAAATATTGACGAATTTTGAAAAGTTTAGTGGGTTCAGTTGTGGTTACGGTCGCAATGCAGCCGCGGACTGCACATAAACCATGTGCAAGTGACATTATATATAATTTTTCTTCAACTTTGTTTCACTTGCGAAAGCAACAACTCAACCAACAACTCAATAAATTTATCCTCGGACAACGTGAACTTAGAAGAAAACATCAATCTGAAATTGTGCTTTCAGTTGAAACAATGGAAGTAACATCTGTTCCAGTGCCCTCTGTCCAGGAAATATCAAAGGAGGGATTGAAGCGTGTTCCAGAGCGTTATGTTCGTCCCCATCATGAGCGTCCAGTAATATCTACCACTATTTCTTTACCCGAAATTCCGGTCATTGATTTAAGCAAATTATTGTCCCAAGATCTCAAGGGATCTGAACTAGAGAAGCTAAACTATGCATGCAAAGAATGGGGTTTCTTTCAGGTTTGTCATAATCCCGTACACGAATGTTATTCTTATAAAGACTTTATTCTTGACATAGGCATAATATGTATTTTTTTAAGAAAATGTTACCTCAATTTATAGAATTGAGTGTAAACACCTAATTTACTATGGTGTTAATTAACTAAGATGGGGCAATCATTGCAGCTAATTAATCATCGAGTGAGCTCTTCATTGGTGGAAAAAGTGAAGACAGGTGCTCAAGAATTCTTCAATCTTCCTAAGGAAGAGAAAATGAAATTTGGTCAGATAGGAGACGTGCAAGGATATGGTCAAGCCTTTGTAGTGTCTGATGAACAGAAATTAGAATGGGCTGATATGTTTTACATGTTCACTTTGCCACCTCACTTAAGAAAACCACACTTATTCCCCAACATTCCCC